GCCGCGCCCTTCAGACTCTTGGAAAATCTTTTTTTAGTAACTTTTTTAACCATTTTGAAATTTTTAGACAAGCAGCTTTCTCAAGCAGCATTTTTCGTAACGGTGGCTTACTACCAAGTGCGAAAGTCGAAATCGATCCGATCAGCCCAACTCCACCCCACCCCCAAAAAAGGTTTTTCAACGGATTTCAAAAAATTAGACAATCGACTTCTAGGAACGACACCACTGAACCGAACTGAACTGAACTAAACTATGTTCAAATGTGTAAAAACATTAAAAATGTTTGTTAGATTTTTGTCGGAAAATCTCAGTTTTTTGCCCCTCCTATGAAATTTTCTAACTGGGTCTCTGTGATATTTTTTAGGTCATTTGTGTTGCTTCAAATGCATGTGAGGTGTGACCTTGCGTAGATTTTGAGTACCTTGTTAAAGCAGCTGAAATAGTTTTTTTGTGGAATTGCTCATCGTTGTGGTTTTTGCAGGAATTGCGCCCTTCGAGCTCTGTTGCTCTTTCCTCCTGATTTCATCTGTTTGTCTCGTAGATCTTTAAACCAATTCATGTCATCCTATCATAAAATATTTGACATTAATTCTACGTGAATGCTGCTATACTAATTTTCATAAATAATCTTTTAGGCTGGTGCAGGGCCTCCGACGAAGGGGGTGGATGGCCATTGCCCCCCTTTTTTGCAGACCAATATAACTTTTCACAAAATCTTTCTCACATGACATTTTCGCAAAACTTGAAATTGCACAAATTTTCCCTTGCCCCAACCCCCCACCCCACTATCCAAACTGTGTCGCAGCCCATGTAGCGGGAAGTCTTTCTAACGTTAGTAGTGACGTCACGCGAGGTTTTACACTTTGGCCACAACACAACACATTTTGAGCTGTATAGCAATCAACAAACAACATTTTAAGGTTTTAGTAGTAGTTTATCCAGGCGCGCAACTACGGGGGGGGGGGGGTCCAGACCCCTGCCCTTTTTCTCAAAAGGGGAAAAGTGCCCTTTTTCCTGGAAAATTGCTTGAATATTTTAACTATTACGCTAAAATGGTTGGTCATACAGTAAATGACACACTCCGGAGATGTAATGGACCTCGCAGGAATACAGATAAATGATTTAGTCAAACTTTCACGCACTTGTTGGGTCGAACGTCATCATGTTGCAGTAATAGAGTCTATCTTCAAGCCCCAACTCTACAGCGTGTTTTATGATGCGCTAAGCACTGGCTTTGAAGAAGAATGGTTCTGGGACTCAAAAACCAAAATAAAGGCACAAGATTTTGAACGGGATAGAGCCTCTACGACCTCTGGTAAAAAGTTACAAGAATAAAAACCAAGACATTTTTCAAGCCTGTCACATAGTTGACAGGGTCATAGAAGACCTTTGCATGAAACGAGCGAATGCAGAGAAATATTTTCGGACTGGTATTAGCAAGCAGTAAATATGGCCCAAAAAGTTGATGTTCAGCTGTTTCGTTCCTTGTCAGTATTACAAATCAGCTGAAGGCAAGACTTGGAGACAGAAACCAGCTGAAGGCAAGGCTCGTGGAACTGTTCAAGCTCCTCCCACTGTAGTGCGAAGCAAAGAATTCAATAATAATATTTCAAAGAGCAAAATGTCTTCGGATATGGAAGATGATGGGCTGCTATTCAAAAGTGAGCTGGCGCTGGGAAAAGGAGATGACAGCAGGGTCGCCGAGAGGGGGACAAAGGGGCAAATTGCCCTAGGGCCTCGAGGTCTAGGGAGCCTCACAAAGCAATGAATTCCGTTTTTAAATGGAATTTATTAAAAGTAACAAAATTACAATTAAAAAGTAAAACATCTTAAACGAATTAGTGAATTTAAGCTATTTGCAAGGGTGTGGTGGCAAAATTTTTGCTCGCTCCGCTCGCAAGAGGCATTGTTTTTCCCATTTCCCCCCTCCTTCGGGCCTCCTAAACTTCATCACACCTCACCACAAAATAAACCGTACACCACAACTTTTCTCTATTGATCAGTTTCCCTTGTCTCGCGTACAATATTTACAGATTTACTAACTGCTCATATTTTCGGTGTACCTAAACAAATGCTCCGGTGGACCTTTTCTGAAGTTTAATTAGTGCCCTTTTTGTGTCTTGGACCCCTGCCCTCTGAAATTTCTGGTTGTGCGCCTGATATCTCAACCTTGTCCCCCTCTTGTCATCTACAACTTGTGAAATAGGACTTTCTGGGTAAAATTCGGTTTCCAAAGTGCAATTATTTCAATGGATTAAAATCTCTCTGGCAATTAGCCACTATAATGTTTTCAAGCAATGTTAAGAAGCTACAAAAAGAAAAGTTTTAAGCATGTGCCTTTTGAGAAAGTGCAATTTGTGACAATTGCAAGCGCTTCCTGAGTCAGAACCTTCAAAGTTGAAACAACATGGATTGGAATACAAGCCTACAGGTTGAATTAGCCACAAGGCCTCCTTCAAAGTCACGCACACGGGCACATTATTTTTCAACATTGTCACAGGTACACGGGTAGTCAACTGAATTATTCACATCAGAGTAATCTAAAAGGATTGCGCAAGTTAACATAAATACCTCTTTCGGTCTTCCAACCAAGTCCAATTCCTTCTTATTCTGAACAATTCCTACTACATCCATTTGAGCGATGTAAAATGGCCCCTTCGATCCGTACATAGTCATTTCACTCACACCACAACCAATCTTTGTAGCTTTCTTCCAAACAACTTGTGTAAAATGCCCAATGGCTTTTCCATTTTTTGACTTGCCCGTTGTCCAGTCATAGTTCTTTTCTTCATCGTGCCAATCTTTTACTGCTATAAGCCACGAGGGTTTTATTGGCCCCCATGCAATGCATTCTCCCCCTTTCCCGGCGGCCCAGTCCGAATGCTCAAACTTGTTGCTGGCAGCGTTCGTATCAGCAACTGCTTGAGCCTGGTCGGCCAGCGTCCTGTCCCATTTCAAAGGAGGCGCTCCGTGATTGGCACGGTACTTGTTATGTGCCTGGACACACTCAGTCTGACATTTCTTGTCGCAGCCTGCAAATTACTACCACTTGTTTTATTGTCTATTATAGTCAGCTACAATTATTTCATTTCTGTGAAACCTCATACTAAGACAATACTACGATAAAGAAATGGCAGTATAAATGGCTTATAGAATTTTATTTAAACAAATAAAGAACAAATGCAACAAGGTAGGAGGTTAGATAAACAACTGATATATAAGTTATGCTGGTGTACCTGGCTTTTACGTTTTTTAATAGTTTACTGTTGAAAATATTTATCCCTGAAAACGCCTTACCGCTTGTTGCTCCAATATCTTTTGTTTCTTGACCTGGAATCGAAGCAATCTTGTGAACAGACAATCGACGAAATTCCACATTTGTTGACAACATTCAGATAGTGAATTTAAAGGGATGTGAGCAAGAATGAGAATTATCGGGCTTTGGGAAATTATCTCACCAGAAAAATATCCGAATAATTCTATCCGAATTTATAGTAACATGAATTTCAAACAATTAAATGTAAATTGGTCGATATCTATACCATATATTGTAGAAGTAAAATATTTCTCGATTTCTGTGCAAATTTAGTATTTATAATAAACCCTGCAAAACATTCAATTTTTGTTAGTAGTTATACTTCAACTGTAAAATTTTAGGATTTGTGAAGTAAGTTAGAAAAAGTTGCAAGTCAACTAAAAATTTAATTTGCTAAATGTGAGTGAACTGGTACCGACTAGAGACTTTTTGAACTGCACACATGTCAATAAATTTAGCTGACCAATTATTAGATACATGTATATGTTCTAATTTTCCAATTGTTTATGTGCTGTCAAAATCTGGTTTAGAAAGCTTTAAATTCTCATATTATTAATTTAAAGCAAAAATGAAGAAATTTGGTTCTGAAAATATTTACTGTTTAGTTTTTGAAGAACCATCTCCATAATATAGGTCGTATAGATATATTCGTAATGCTGCTAGCTTGAAAGCTTGAAATACTTCTTGCCTCATGCCCCCGGGGTAAAGTAATTTTAAAAAATGAACATTTTAGTATGGCCTCTTTTGTGCCGGAACCTTAACCATGACCTATTATCATATCATACCCCATTACCATAGCCTCAAGCATCATTTACTTCCATGTTTAATCCTAAGTCTAACAATGTGTCGCAGATTAGAATCTAAAGTTGGAAGAATTGACATAATAGGGGCATTATGGCACAGATTTGTGTTGATGACAGCTAGTGCATTTGAAAAAATCCATGAAAGAATCGAAACATGACCAAAACAAGCGGCTGACTTCTCTCATTCCAAAGAAAATCCCTAGATACAGCCCTATCTAGATGCAAGCATCTCTTAAGGCATATGTCGATGAAAGTAACATTTCCTACCGTCCGATAATTCTTCTCCACCTTGCTTATTATTTCCTTTTTCACCATTGCTTTCTTTCGATTCTCCTTTGCCTTTTTCTTTTCCCGAGTTCCCTTTTTCAGTTTTATCATTTCCACCCTCGTTCTCGGGTACTTCGGTTGCCTCTTTTTCAGCTTCCGATTTCCCTTTGCCCTCAAATTCTCCTTGTGCAGTGGGTAAGCCCTTCCCTTCTTTTAAATCCTGTTTTATTGATTCTGCATCATCACCAGTCACTTCTTCAAGCTTTTTTTGGTCTTTTATAATGTCATCAATGTCCTTTGAGAAGTTATCTGCAATTGATGAAGTCAAACACTCAATAAGGATGATAAGATAAGAACGTACTACATACGTATGGACAATTATAGGCCCTATTACCAATGCAGTTCGTATCCATTTTTCCTATTTTATCAGTTGTTTTTCATTCGATTTGAATTTGAGATTAGTGTGGTGTTGGAATACGTACAACAAATGTTAAACTTTAATAATGTTGAAACAAGCTTATGATTTAATCGATTCTGAATATGAAAATGTTTGAATATGAAAATAAAATGCAATTACATATCATGGGAAAAGGTAGATTGAACTTCACCTTGAGGACAGAAATCGCATGTTTTTGAGCAGGCTATCTCCATCATCTCTACTTTGGTTTTGCAAAATCCCTTGTCTTTGAATGTTTTGCAAAACTCTCCCATGTCTGGGTCATCTAAACATCTAATTGGTGCAGGTGGAGCAAAACCTGAAGAAACGAAAGTGTTTTTATATCTGTGTTTAAATGAACACAATAATTGGTTCTAAAACGTTGAGAATATATTTTGCATTGTCAAATTATCAAAGTTGCAGAAGCAGCAAAGATGAGAACCATTCGTTTCATGTAGAAAGCATGTAGAAAGAGCAAGTTGAATGTTTAGCAACCAGCACTGCATAGTTTCCTTTGTCGTACCATCTCTTTTTAACGGAAATAAGGAAACAAATTCACCGAGAAGTACTTCCAAGGCTACTTTTCCAATTTGATTCAGCCCCTTTTAGCCAGTGGCGGACTGGCCCACCGGCCCCATCTTTGCAGAAAAAAGGCCCCATTTTAGGAATGTGGGGCCTTAAGATGTCCCATTACGTTAATCTGCCCGGCATTAATTGTAGAGATCTCCACTTGAATTTTTGCCAGTTAGCAAAAAAGTAAGGAGTGATTCAATAACAAACTCGGCGTTAACTTTTTCTTTGACTCAAGCCATAGCATTAAGATAATGCGATGCGAATGATACTTCAACGGGGGTTGCTGCATCGTTTTAAAGATTCGTTTACCGAATAATCTAGTTTTTTGCTTGCGCTAGACCGTTTAGTATAAAACACGAACGGGTAAGGTATTGCCTCATGGAATGAAAAATAGAAAAAGGCTTGAAGTAAAACAATAATAAACAACATCTTCAAAATGTTCTGCGAAGATTTCTTTCTCGAATGAGCATGTTGAAAAGGCTAAGGCTTTAGCTTTCTATTCCTGCACACTTACTTGTGGCTAAAGATGACAGTTTTTGACCGGTGAAATGTGTTCGAGAAAAGCCAATCTTTTCAAACTTTCTCAGTAATACCAAGAAATGACGTCCCTGGTGATACTTTCTCCACAACTACCGATAACCAAGATCATAATCTCAACTTTTAGCGACAAACGCAACATTTCTGACACACATATAGCCTGTAGAAGACAGTAACTAAATTTTCTCAGTAAGATATTTTCAAAAGTAGAGAGTCAAACTATGTCTACTATGAGTATAAAGCTTTTAACGCACTCCAGTTGCATCTTGTCTCCCTTTCTTGTTCAGTCTACAATGGTAGACATGTGCTGGAGCAAAACTTTTGTTCCAGCTTTCTATGCGTTACACGATTCTTTTCTGATCGAAGCACAAACAAGGAGGAGGAGGGCTGAGCCCACCGCTGTTTTGATGTATATAGTCAAATCTATTGAGAAATAATTTAATTTGAATATAATGAGAATATAATTTGAGAAATAATAATGAATTTATGGTACCAAGAGTAAGAACAACCATTTATGGAACCGAAACTATCAAATATAGAGGGCAGCGTCTTTGGCTCTCTTTACCTCAGCACATAAGGAATTCTCAATCTATTAATGAGTTTAAGAAAGAAATTAAAAGCTGGAATGGCACAGACTGTACATGCAAACTATGTAGGACGTTCGTGCCACAGCTTGGTTTTTTGTAATTCTATCTTTTAAACAGCTCAGGTTTTTATAGTTTTTTAATGGATCATTTGGTATTTAAAATTGTATGTATTTAATCTCGTATGTATTTCGTTGATGTAGTAGTTTTAACAGTTGGCTTGGATTAGCTCATTTCTTTGTAAATAGCTATGTAGCGCCAACTTTAAATAAATTGATTATTATTATTATTATTATTATCTGATCCCGGCAGTTCTTCGCTATCACCACATCCCTGAGCACATTCAAAACATTATCTGCAGCCTTTACGCTAATTTTAAAACATCTATCATAACCGATACATTTCGTACCCCTTTTATACCGGTAGGCCGCGGTGTCCTTCAGGGTGATTGCCTTAGCCCATTAACCTTCAACCTTTGCTTTAATACTTTCATTCATTACATCTCAGATAATAAATTCAACCAGTTCGGCTTCTATACAAACTCCTTAAACCCTGTCCATTGGTTTCAGTTCGCTGACGATGCGGCAGTGGTTACTGGTCAAGAAAACGAAAATCAAATTCTCTTAAACCACTTCTCTAGATGGTGCTCTTGGGCAAACATGCATATTCGGGTTGACAAGTGCTCAACATTTGGAATTAAAAAATCATCTACTTCATCTGTTCAGTTTCTACCCAAACTTATTGTCAATAAAAACATAGTTCCCACTGTTGAAAAAGACAAATCTTTTAAATATCTTGGTAGATACTTCAACTTTCCTATGGATAATAGTGATCATATGTCAGAACTATTGGAAACTGTCAACTCGTTAATGTCGAGTATCGACAAATTGTCGTGTCATCCAAAGAACAAAATTCTGTTATACCACCGATATGTGCTATCCAAAATTTCCTGGAACCTGACCATCGCTGATTTAAGCAAGACATGGGTGACAGAGAATCTAGACAATGTTGTTTCAAGCTTTGTTAGACAATGGCTCGAGCTGCCAATAAGTGCTTCACTAAGTAGCCTCGTCATTCCAAAATCGAAGTTTGGCATCAATCTCATTCTTCCATCTACCAAGTTCTTACAATGCCAAACAGTTATCCGCAACTCTTTAAGACTGTCCCCAAACCAAGAGATTCGCTCTTTATGGAAAGACTCTAGCACTGGTACAAACATACAATATGACGTTTATCGCAACACAAAACAAGTTCTCAAATCCATCCAAAGTGAACACGAAAACCGCATTGAAAACGTTCTTACATCTCAAGGATTTATTATCTCGTGCATCTTAAAATTTGCTTCTAAGGGAACTAATCAACTTTGGTCTAGTGTCCAGCAAAAGTTACCAAAAAACATTTACAACTTTACCATCAAATACCTAAACAACACTCTTGCCACTAGGAAAAACCTCTGCAAATGGTCAATTACTCAGTCATCTGCCTGCTCTTTCTGTCTCCAATCAGAATCATTACAGCACATAGTCTCTCGCTGCAAGAATTATCTTGAACATGGTAGGTATACCTGGAGACATGATTCTGTACTTCTATATTTGGCTAAAAACCTTTCAACACCTAGAAACAGCTCACTTTACGCCGACCTGCCTTCATTTCTATCACCTTCTTTAATCACAGGCGACTCCTATCGACCAGATCTTGTCTTAATAACTGAAGATCGAATCCTTTACATGCTAGAGCTTACTGTTGGGTTCGAAAGCAACATCGACGAAAACAGTACACGAAAAGCTAGGAAATATAGCGACCTTATCAAGGAACTGAGCCCTGCCTATAAACGTGTTACCTTTGTTAACCTTTCTATGAGTGCCCTTGGCATTCTGGGAACCTCATCTACCTCTCTCTCTGACATGCTACACCAACTTAATTTTGACTCAAATCAAACTAAATCCATCTTGATGAAACTCATGAACATTTCTATCCGCTGCACCTACTATATCTTCTGTCGTCGAAACAAACCATGGCTAAGCCCCGAACTAATTGACTTTTAAATATTGTAATGCAGATAAGCCAATTATATGATGCCTGTAAAAGCGAGTCGTATAATTGTAAATTTAAAATGTATTCAATGAAAATGAGATGTTTAAAAAAAAATTATTATTATTATTATCTGGTTAGCATTAAAGTAATCTACCTTTCTAGAAATTGATTCAAAAATCTGTCTGTCCTTGCAAACACTGAAATTGAGGGCCCAATGAGAAATTTTTTCCGAATTTGGAACTACTATTAAGTATCGTATTATTGCATTAGGAACAGTGAGCCCTAGGCCCAGAATACTGAGTGCTTACATGGGGCCCCGAATCTTGGAAAATGTTTTTTTCAGTACTAACATACATCAAAGTGTTATTTATATTTATTCTGTATCCACTTTTCTCGTTAGAGTCTAGGTGTAATGGCAAGAGAAGAGGGCCCCTACTAAACAATCCAAGTTGCCATTTCATACTAAAATGAAGAAAAATTGCAACAATTTTTGGAGGGCCCACCGGGCGATCGCCAGGTAGCCTGACCGGCCAGTCCGCTCCTGACCTTCCTTTCTAGTTTGCCGTTTTTAGATCTGCCATCTTTAGTTTAAGTTTCAGTAAAGATAAGGCTTCCTCACACCTCAGATATTCTGTAATTTAAACTTGCTATCCTTTCTGCATCTTAGGTTAGTTTTCTTATCACTTTTAACTGTGTTTTTTCGAGAAAGTCTCTTGTGCAAAATTACTGAAATCCAAATCAGACAGAATTTTTATTATGTAATATTAAATTTCAATTAGAGTACTCAGCGCCCATTTGTAATCAATAGCTCAACTTTGCTATTTCAGCTACATATGTTATGTTGCTTAGAAATTGATCAATTATGATGAAATGCTCACTTGGCCACGCCCTAATTTTCAGACCACACCCACCTGGACCCCTCCAGGTATTTGTGGCCGGTTAAAAATTCTAAGCCAGTCCGCCACTGCTTTTAGCATTGCATGGCAACCAGCCCATATTCATTTAAATTTCCTGAAATGCAGTGTTCAGCTGGGACAATAATTTATCCACACACTTCCCACCGTCCTTCTAACCTTTCATAGCTTCTATTAGAATGCTTTTCAAGGATTGATGAGTTTGAGGAGCACAGTTTTGTGGCTTGCTCAAATGGCCCATGATCTTTTATATAACAGTGCAAAGATTTGCAAACTGTTCTTATTCCAATCACTGTAGTGCAAACAAAATTTTATTTTAGTTTTGTGTCTGGAACAAAAAATTTGTTCTGTTGAATATTCATACAATGTAATTATTATCAGATTTTGTTATACAATATATTCCATATTATCGATAATTTGAATACGATAACTTGGTTACATTGAGTTTTAGGAATTTTCGCTTAATGTTAGATTTGAAGAAGAGCGCTCTTAAAAGAAATCAAAATCTGCTTAGAATTGTGTTACGCAACACATATCCTCGAAGTCATTACTTTGCCCCACTTGCATACGCAACATATCGTGCCGCGTACAATATTTCGCCCTCTCTACGGCTAAAAAGGTTTCTAATCGTTGTACTCTTGTACAACTGTATTCAACTCCACCGACTGATTTTACCAAAAATATGAAATTAATACAGGTTGACAGTTTCGCGTTTAGCCAAGTGCCCAAGCAGCAATTTTAAGTCATGCGAGTCTAATACAAAGCCTATCAAGAGGTAATTTAAAATAATAGGCCGTCGCCTATTTGTCCGAATGTTGCGATAAAAAAGGACAAACTGGAAGGGACTGGAAGCAAGAAAGAAAGAAATTTACGAAGAACGATATGAACTCAACTAAGGGCATGATTCTAGGAACGACGCTGTAAAAAGTACAATGCTGCATTCTAGTTAGTGCAAGAAATTAAATAACCATTCTTCAAAATGTGTGATGATTAAAACTGTTTGATTCTGGTGCTGTGAGGATTAAGTTCTATCGACTTATCCAGTGACATCCTCATTGCTTGCAGAGCACACGGTAAACAGTTTCGACAACATAGCAACACATTTCATAGCAAGGAAAAACATTCGTCAATTTGGGTGATGGAAAAGCAGAAGCCTCTAGATATACTTGGCTCATGCTTTTTCAGAAAAAAGAAAACTTGGTATGCAACTACTACCTGTACAACTTAAGTATGAAAAAATATCTTATGTCAGCCAGTGAAGTTCTAAAAGCCGTTCAAAAAGTCTGAACAAAAATCTGAAACTACATTTGAGATTTTATTATGAAAAGAAAAATACGTACTGATCATAGGGCTAGGGTCTGCAAAGCATTTTGTGGCTAGACTGAGCCACATAAAAAATAGCTGCTTCATACTTTCGGAGATATGGTTATCGTTTTCGTGTATTTTTTGGTACTCAACGTGAATAAAGTATGCAGCGATTTCTTGCATTGTTTACTTAAGCCTACCAATGATTTGAATGAAACCACCTGCGTTACGCAAGTGTCACCGTATTTTTCCAAATCGTGAGCCGTGTAACCTGACTGCAAACATAGTATCAGCCATTGAGATCGCCATCCCCTATCAATATTGCAATTGTCATATCAATCATTCCTGTACCTGCATTTCACAAAATTGAACTATAATTAAACAAGTTAAAGCAAGTGAAACCCGCATACAAGACTCTTCCTCGGCAAATTCTTGGCTTCCTCGGCAGTACAGGGCAAATTCTTGAATCTCTGTCCCTCTATGATGAACCTTATCGACTGCGCAATGATATAGGGCATTGGCTGGTTTTAAAGGGTACATTCATTTACATATATTTCAGCTGCGACAGTTAAGAAGCTTAAACAAGTGTCATCAAACTAATGTAAATGATTAGTTCACAGAGGTCTGTATCAACATGCAGTGCTCTGACATGTGAAATTACCTGCTAGGGAGAGAAGGAAGCCACAACACATAAAGAAATGTACCTTGACAATATTTTGAAACAAAGACTTTTTCAAAAGGCTTGCTTAGAGAATATGGAGACTGAAAATTGGACCTGACTCGCTGTTTAATACCTATTTCGATGGCGCGCTAAGCCACCTTGGAACTTGTTTCTTAAATGCTAATTATAACAATAAAACAGCGATATTCCTTCAGCGAAAAAATAAACTTGAGAAAATCTAAAGCTATGCATTGAAAAAGTAATTAAAAAAACCTGATCTTCCAGGGAGTCGTTCTTGAGGGGACTTGAATAATTTTCAAGGCTCATCAAATGCCTTTTAAGATGTGTTTTGAACAGGCATAATGATGAAAGTTCTCTTATATTAACTGGAATGCCATTCCAAGCCTTAATGCTCGAGTAATGAAATCCTTTTTTGGTTATTTCAAGGTTTAGCTTGAGAATGTGGAATCTCCATAGTTCCTTGTATTATAATTCGATGTCAAATATCTTTTTTGGAACATATAACGTTAGATGCCATTGCTGTATGTGTATCATCTGCATACATATTTGCTTTGGAGAAGTCCAAGCAACTCTCAAAGTCATTAAGGTACACAATGAAAAGAAAGGAGCCTAAAAATGAACCTTGAGGATGGCCACAGAAAACGTGACTTGCGTGTTTCTTTGCATTGCCCCTTGTTTACAGAGCAAACAAACTGTTTAACATTCCCAATGAAACACCTTGAAGCATTGCGCGCATTTTGCGTCTTTTTCTACAACTCATTTAAACACATTTCTTTTATAAGCAGGAATTTGTCTAGAATGATAAGAGCTAGTAGCCCTCTAAGCACATGAAATAAATTTTTGCACTGTCAGTTTCATGCTAATTCATTATTAAAACTCGCCTTTGCTTGCCTGGTGGAAAATGAGGAAATCTGACGAATGATTTTTTTTACTTTTGAGACAATGTAGACAATTGCTTTTGTCACGCCCTAAAGACTCCCCGATGCTCAGGAAGCTAGACCCCATTTACACTGTGCCGGATAAAATTTATCCGCATAAAAGTTGTTCGGATTGATTTGCGTTTACACTATGCCGCACAAATTGTGTCCACTTTGCCCTCCCGTTTACACTGTGCCGGATAACTGCAGTCACATGACCTAAATCATGCACAGAACGCCCAAAATGGAGTCTTCTCTGGGCAACAAAGTAATAACAGAATTGCCGCTAACGTAAAAAGATTTCATTCTCTCTTCAGAATCATCTGCTTCTCTTTTAGACCAAATCCAAAAATATTGTCAATACAAATTAGGCCTAGTTTGTTTTAATAGTTTGTTCTTGAAACAAAATGACACTGAACTAGCAAAGAAAGTAGGGAAAGCTGACAAGAAAGCTGACAAGGATGCCAATTTTACGTGGACTGGCAAGATACTGCACTTTTAACACGAGTATTTATCGACAACAAGGCAGCCAAGATGGCGAAAGGTCTTGATTGGGAGACAGTGAAAACTAAAATTGAATGAAATAGCCAATCACTTTCGAGCAAGATACGATGTGGATGAAATTTATCCGGATAAAAGCGTTTACACTGTACCACATAGCTACCCGAACTAATTTCATCCACTTTCCTAGGTGAACTAATTTTGTTCGGATAGCCGCTCTTAAATTCATGCGGATAGCGTGGGTCTAGTGTAAACGCGACGACTATCTGAAATAATTTTGATGCGGATAAAATTTATCCGGCACAGTGTAAACGGGGTCCTAGTCTCTAGGAAAGTCAACCAAATGGGTACCCAGACAATGAAGCTGACAAATGAGCAAACATTAGACAATGCGGATTATAAAATTATGAAAGGGGGAGGTATTTCAAAGGAATCGCCTTTCCTGGGGGTCCTCATTTCAAAGTTTATTCAATAATGATCAATATAATGATCATAATCATTGAGGGAGCATTTACTCGAGAGGGAGTTAAATCGTTGTAAGGTACCGGCTTTTGATGGTGATTTTAATTTCATCACTTCTCCTACGAGGACTAGAAAGTTTCCAGCTTGAAATCTTTACCATTCGGAATTTAGTCAATGAAACTATAAATAGAATGTAAATAGTAAATAGAATACCTATCTGTTCAGTGAAATAGTTCGCCTGACCTGATGGGAAACCAAAAATCTTTGAAATGGGCTGAACATGAGAATCTCGTCCAACAAGAGACAATTCAACACTTGCTATACTTAAGGAAAATTATTGATTGCTAGTGGCAGGTGGGCTCTGGAGCTAGAGCATAGGCTTCTCCCTTCATAGTGCAAATATTGTTGGTAATGGTGTTTGTTTTTAAAAAGCGTTATCGCTTTCAGAAGCAGCCGTGATGAAGGCTAACTTTAGCAAAAGAATGCTATTATCAAACAAAAATTTGACTTTCTTCGTAAGTGCTGGTCTAATTTTAGTTTTTCTAAAAAATCAAAAGTTTTTTTAACACGGACAAATTTTCCAAGCAAATTTGAAACGACTGTTTTCATAAAGAATGAGTCAATTAAACAGGATAATACGCCTAAAGATATCAGTGATCTAGTTTGTCCATCTGAATTAAACTGCTACATCAGAAGACATTTAGAGCATTTAAAAGCACTCTGGCAATCAAGACTTCAAATAAATTGTATTTGTTTTTCAAGCAATTTTCAATCAAATTGACAAGAGACTGATATTTTTGTTGGGGAGACCAACGAGTGAAACTCTTCTAGTGTGCGAGGCTACCCTCCAATCTGGATTCAAAAAGCATGCGATATCAAGTTTAATGCGCATGCTCTTTGATTTCAGTCCTGAGGGTTTGTAGTGACTCTACTTAGGCCTGTTTACATCAATTTTTCCTTCTCTTTCATTCCATCATTTTCCCACATTCTCACATCGCAGCACAGGTATCCTCTACGTCACTCTTATATCACACATTCGCTAATCCCTATTGTTTGTCAATCTTTGCCACGCTATTCAATTTACTCCTCACCTTTACTCAACCTTCCTATCCTTTGTTTTCCTTACATCATTTGTGTTAATTTTAGATATTCATTTCTGTATATAAGCATGTTAATTTATATGTAAGTCAGTTCAGTTCAGAGTTCAGTTACAATCACGCAACGCACTGTCTCTCTCTCTGGCTCCGTGTTCTCTGCACGTAAAATAAGACTCGCTGGGTTGGAAATGACACGTTAGTCAGGGATGGATTTATTTAGTGACTGCATTGATCGATGTTCCGATACACACTAAAGGTTGCCTCATTCATTTGAAGACTTTCTCTTCTTCGATTCCCAAACAAGATCGAACATTGTATCAAGAAGTCGAGCCAGATCTCAAATTAACGTTTCCACATTTAATGGGGCAAGGTTTGCAACTTGCTGCTGGTTTTCGTAACTAGCAGCATGTTGAAAGTTCAATGTTTACATCATTTTGGCATTGAGAAAAAGAGAAATATGTTGAAAAATGAGCATTAATTTTCTAATGATAAATTCTTTTTGCAAAAATGTAATAAATAATCTGCTTTCAATCTAATAAATTTACAAAAATAAACTTCCATAATTTATTAACAAATGTTACACAAATATTTTACTGCATTTCATTCAATTTTCGCTAAACTATTCTCTTTTGCATAAAAGGTTGGTAAATTAGAAAAATACAAGTTACAAGGACTGTACACAGCAAAGCCCTAGAGGGTCCTTTTACATTACTCCTGTTTATTTTCTGTGCGAACGTCGACTTTTCAGTCTTCTTAGAAACTGAAATAAAATAAAATGCTTAATTTAGATAAACCATTGAAACGTCAAATCTCAAAACGTAGCTGGCTGGAGGAGTAATGTAGCTACCAATTACTTTCGGTTGGCAGTGAACATAAAATCACGATCAGCTAAATGTTAAAAGAAAGTAGCTTGAAAGGGTGTTAAGAATAGGCACAAGGGAACTTACCTTTTGCCTCTTCAAAGTGTATTGTGTCGATTGCAATGTCACTTTGAAAGGTCTTTCCTACTGCTGCTTCAAAAATTATCTAAAATTTGATAAAATTCATTTACGAATGTTTTAAAAATGAATTTAAACACAAGTTAAGCTTATCCAAACAAAATCTGCAACAAGCTAATCGGTATGCAAATTGTAAAATATAAAAAATGCAAATCCAGAAAAGCTTAATATAATAATGATTGTTAAGAGTTTGAGAAAATATTGGAATTTTTTGGCAAGCCTTAACTTAAACTTACAATAGATGTTGTATCAAAATACTGAAATCCCTTTAACGATTTAGAAAATCATATTTCGTGAAACAGAAATGAAATGTGACATTTGCAGTAGGTCTCAAAGTTGCAAAGTAGCGCGCACCTGATAAGGTACTGGGCACGAGTAGTCGACTCTTCCAAGCATCCACTTTTGGCCGTGGTTGCCGCCAAGCCTCCAGATTTCTCTAGTTGCGTTTTCCGCTCTGATCAAAACACGAAGATAATTGACACTTCTTCCATGCATATAAGTAAAGAACTTAAGGCTCCTCGACCGAGTTGGTTTCATTATCCCGCTGATCAGCCTGGCGTACTGTCCGTGTTTCGCAGGCGATGAAGACTCGAGGTAAATGTACTTCCCCTCTAGAATGCAAGGTTTTTGTTTATTTTTTTAGCAAATATTTGTAAACTATGCTGATTAGTGCAACAAAATATTCATAAAAGTTATGGTTTTCTATAACTGAGATTTGCATAAGACAACTCACGTGAATTATTTGAGTGGTCTCCTGGAGGACCCGTTCCTGCGGTACCAGTCCAAAGGTATTTGCGATGAAACTGAAGTGAATTGTTCGAATTCGTCCATGTACAGAAAGGATTTGCGTCGTCGTCGAAGTCGCAATTGTCACTTCCTTCAAATAAGTGGCACAAAGTTTAAAAAGTTATACATAAAAGCAAGATAAGATAAAGAGCAATTTTTCTATCATAAAAATTTACCGTTTCGTGGCACATTTGTAGCAGCCTATCACGGACTTACCTTTATTCTTTCACGCACGACTAAGCGATTATGGCATATGGGTATAGCGGCTCTCCCATCGACCACTCTGATTTTCTTTTGCATAGAGAACATTTCCAAGCACTAAAATCTCTACGGGCTAACAATGACATCTTTATTACGAAACCTGATAAAGGGTCTAGAGTGGTAATTTTGAACAAAAAGGACTACATCAATAAAATGGAGGTAATTCTCCACGACAAAGAAAAATTTGCTAAATTGGGTGATGTCGAAACACAGGACAAAACAGCCAAACTAAAGTGGAAACTCCAAAAACGTTTGTTGGAACTGCTTAACTCAAAAGTGTTGGCTACAAAAATTTATGATAGGATAAGATCCACGGGCTCTCAACGACCACAAATGTATGGCCTCCCTAAAATACACAAGCCGAACGTCCCACTTAGAAATATCTTGTCTATGATTGGCTCAGCAGAACACGAACTGGCTAAGTGGTTTTCTGAAGTTTTGGACCCTGTTTTTCAAAAAAATTCAAAAATTGCATAAATGATTCTTTTACGTTCGCTGAGTCCATGCAAAACTTGAACATCGAAAACGAAACATCTTTCATATGTTCTTTCGACATTAGTCGTCTTTTAACAAATGTCCCTTTGAATGAGACCATCAAAATATGTGCCGACGCTTTGTACCGGAGCGAGCTTAATAGTCCACCATTCCCAGAGGAAGTATTCATTGAACTGATGGAAACTGCAACACGTTCAGTTGAATTCAGCTTTAACAATGAAATGTACCAACAAAAGGATGGTGTCGCTATGGGTAGCCCTCTGGGAGCTGCCTTGGCCAATATCTCTGTTGGCTTTCATGAAGAGCGTTTTTTCGACTACGACCAAAAGCCAGGTGTCTATTTTCGGTATGTGGATGACACATATACCATTTTCAAAACAGAGGCTGAGTGTGATATTTTTCTAAAACACCTTAATAGCCTACACCCAGCCCTCCAGTTTACGTTTGAAAAGGAAGAAAATGATTCCTTGCCATTTTTAGATGTTTTGGTCGAAAAGTATTACACTAGATTTCTTACCAGTGTATATCGCAAGCCTACTTTTACCGGTCAGTACATAAGCTCGACATAAGCTGGAATTCATTTTACCCAAAACAACGCAAAGTCAACCCTGACAAAACTTTAGTACATAGGGCACTGATGATCTGCTCGAAATCTAAACTGCACGCTGAACTTGAAAAACTTAAAACGATCTTTTTGGACAACGGCTATCCAGAAGATGTCATTTTACCTGATACTAAGGAGAAGATCGCAAGTTTATCAGCTGTTCAAAAGTTTGGTCCGCAAAAGTGCCCAGTTTATTTGAAACTATCATGAATTGGTAACACTTTCTTGGGATTCGAGAGTCAGATTAGGCAAGCCATCACAAAATGTTTCTTTGTTGTCAATCCTCGTATTGTTTACAGCACTAGGAGAGCCCTTCCATCCATTTATAAAGATTGCGTTCCTACCAACCAAAAAAGTTCCGTCATTTATGAATTTACGTGCCAGTGTGATTCTGGCTACGTAGGACGCACAACCCAAAGATTGAGGGATAGGATAAAACAGAAAAAACCGCTACTGTGTAGACAAAAGGAGTTCATTTTCACCTTAGGACTCCACTGTGAACATTCTAATAGGCAAGCGGCACTGATTGGTCAACCTTTACAGTCATGTGCTCGTGTTTCTGATTGGCCTATTTCGATCCACAACTGGCTATATATATTTCTTAGCGTAGAGTTTTCGATCTTTCTGACGTTTTAAACTCTGAAGAGTGTCAGACGAAAAGCTTTAGTTTACTAAATGTTTGCCTTTTTCAAAGCCATGTATAAAACAGCATGTTCCTTTCAACATGAGAAACAAAACTGCCCCTCAAAAAGAACAGCCTCCTCGATCTTGTAGGTCTAGAAACACTGTTAAAACAAGTGATTCTGCCATCGGTCAACATCTTTTAGACAACCCAGATTGTGCAAAACTCTATTATGACGACATGTTTCGGATAATTGGCAGAGCCCGGTCGTCCTTCCATCTAACAGTTTTGGAGTCTATCTACATACAAACGAAAAAGCCGCCATTGTGTAGACTGAAGGAGTTTGTTTTCTCTCTTGGACTCCAATGGTAACTTTTTCTGTAGGCACGCGGCACTAATTGGTCAACTATACCGATCTTGTGCTTGCTTTTTTCGATTGGCCTATTTTGATCTACAACTGGGTATATATTTTTCATCGTGTTCTTTCGGACCTTCATTCTGACGTTTTATGCTCTGAGGAGTGTCAGACGAAAAAGCTTTTAGTTAATATGTTGTAAAATGTTTGCTTTTTTCAAAACCACTTACTGTTTTAAACAATTTGTTGAGAAAATGGTAAACAAAAAATATTTCAAGTCAGATTTAAAACAAGAGTTTCGGAAATCAGAAAACTGTAAAAATTGCCAGTATTATCATCAGCTAAAGAATGTTTTGCTTTACAATCTAACTCACCTGAATCACAAAAGCCGCTCCAGCAGGAGACCGATTCTGTTGCCGTGCCAGCACACGTCCTTCCTCCAAACTGAGGTGCTGGTTCGCTGCATTGCCTCGTTCGCCATCGTTTGCCACTACCACAGGGCGATAAGCAAGCAGACCATAATGACCAGGAGCTCCAGTGCCCATCAACTAAAATGCAAAAGAGAGTACAATAAGTTTTTGGTACTGCAAACTTTGAAGATGTGAAGATGAACTAGACACTAAAAGCGGAAACATATCACGCTGAAGCACTTTTCGTCCGACACTCCTCAGAGTAATATCTTGTGTAGACAGAAAGAGTTCGTTTTCGCTCTTCGACTCTCAAACTAGACGAGAGGTTAGCGGTCGCTGATTGGTAAAAAAATAACCATTTCAACGCGTCTTGCTTCCTTTCATGTTGGTTTCGATCGACACCTGGATGAAAATTTTCTGCCTTCATTTGGTCGTTATCCGACGTCTATACACTGAGGAGTGTCGGACGACCGCATGCCATGTTTCCGCTATTTCGTGCTTTTTCAAAATGTACAATATTTTATTGTTCGGGAGCCGAGTCTAGATCCATAGTGTTAGGGCTATATTTTATACATTTGTCTGAATCTGAGCCAATGAGAAAGTACCTCATATGTACATGCGGAACGGACCTTCGAACAAATGCTGCTTCATCTCCCCAATAATTTAGGTTATGGAGAACATAACAGTAAATGAAATGCAAAATGATATTGAAAGTGTCACAGGTCACGCTGAGAAGATGCAAAAGATTCTAGCAGTAGCTATAACAGTGAGAGAAAGGCACTTACCTCTACAATGGGAACTATCACAACTTGCGACTTCTTTCTGCAAATTTTCATCTGCCTGAGCTGCGCAACCTTCCTCTCCACTCCTGATGCAGAGACGAAAGCGTTCCCTTCTGCACCAATTATTTTGCACTTGGCATGTGGTCCATGAATTCCACTGTGACCAACCTGTCCTTATTGGTTTGTCTGAAAAATGAGAAATATTTTAAAATGCCTCTCGTAACATTACCGTATTTCGCTCTTTAGATAACGTATCTTGGTAAAAAACGCCGGTACTACATATGGTTTGGTTCAAATGACGTGAAGAGAAAGTTTCAGTTACTTCTGACGCATAATGTGTGCAAGGGAAAAAGATCCAAAACATGCGTGGAAAGTCAATTGAGATGTCTTAATCACAAAGATAAGCACCAATATGAGCTGTAGAAGGAGCACCAATAGGATCTAGACGAGTTTTAACATGATACAAACCCTCAATGAAAGTTATATCATCTATTGCTATGTCGCTCTGAAAATTCCTTCCGACGGCTGCTTCAAATGTTATCTAAAATGGAATTCAATATCTTAGCAAGATATCGTTTGAAGTGGCTCAAATGTAGAAGTTGATCTGAGGTTAACTGATCTAAAGTTAGGTACATGGCATGGCAGTCGTCGTCGAGGAAAGCATTGCGTACGCATGTGAATGGTGGTATAACTGTGGAATGCTTGCTATATGAGAACAATTGACCCAGTAAAGCAATCAGGGTGCGCATAAAGTGATAAATGTGTCTTACTAAGGGTGTATCCCTTAGGAATTTGTAAACTTGTAACCATGTTATGGTAAAATCACGTGGGGAACTTTCGCTTTTAATTTTGGCAGGATCAAAATATAACGCAAAGCATCACAAAAGGGGACTTCTGCGTTTCAAGGAGCATGGTTTTCCTTCGTCTTCCAATGCTGACAGGTCTTGCAGAAAAGTATGATGAACATCCCACGGTGTAATATTTTAGCAGCACCACCCCTCATTTGGCAATACCCTAGATTGACACTCTCTGAGGGGCAAAACAAGGCAATTCCGACCTTTAAAAATCCTTAATTTTGACGATGTGCTATTACTATGGCTGTTCCAATTAGACTACTCATGGCTGTTCCAAATTTTGGTGTGATGTAACCACTTCTAGGCGAGTTTTAACGCCACAATGGATAATCTATTCTATTTTCATCCAAGAACTAGGGGATCCTACCATCAAATAAAACTCTTGTCTCACAAAATGCAGTTCTTCATCGCCCCCCCCCCTCCGCATCGAGGCTCGCTGTGCATGCACAGCTCAGTATGTTCTGATTAGAGATGTATTCCTATTGGCTATTTCAACTCTCGAAGAACTCAAATCGGAGTTCACTGAGTCTCTTACAATTAGGATTTCTAAATGTGACGATTCATAATGAGTACTATTAGATGTATTGGTCAAGAACGTACAATATATCTCACACTCAAGTATCCTTAATGAACACATTAGTTCATGTTTGTGGACCCAAGCACAATGAGAAACATCAGTATATTTCCACGTATATTACACAGTGCGACCCTTAATTATTTTCTTTTTGGTGGGGTTAATTTGCTCAAATTCTAATCACCGAAATCATATACGCCGTTCGCACGCTACACCAAAGAAAATGGAGCTAACGTATAAAAGCATTTGTCGTCGTCATATCATTACGGTCATGTTAACAACTCTATTCACATGCGCTAGGTTTCACATGCAATAGGTTGTTTACTCTCATTGTACATTCATTCCGTCCGTATTGATCGGCACGGATGCGGATCAATAAACTGTAGCTCCTACCTGATACGGAACTAAGCTGACAATCCTCAGTTTGACTTCAATCCATTTCTTTCCCTGATTCCCAGACATTTTCCAAAGTTCGTTTAATGCTTGGTTCTTTTTTTGAATGAAAACTCTTAAATAATTTACAGTACTGCCATACATGTATGCATAGAATCGCAAGGTTCTGCCAACAGTAGGTTTCAGTCTCTTACTGGTGACTCGAGCTCTTTCCCCAAATTTGACATTTGATGACTCGAGGTAGATATAAGAGCCATCTGCGAAGAAACCGAGGGAGAGTGAAAGTTAGTTGGCAGCATTTCTAGGCTACCCACTTTAGCAGACAGGAATCTGCAAATGAAGGCAATGACAGAAATCACGATTCACGATTCTCACGTGGCATCTTGAAGAGAAAATGGAAGTAAAATGACTCACTTTTGTATCTTGAATGGTCGCCATCTGGCCCAGTTGAGTGGCTCATCGTGCTGCCAGAATGACGCGTGAAAGTCAGCTCTGTACCGGCATTCTCCCAATGACAAAGTGGGGTTCGGCCGTCATCAAAGTCACAATCATCTACAAAACAAGACAGTAAGGCTTTGTCACATAATTTTGTCAGCGACAGTCAAGTACCCTTGCGAGAACAAGGCCTCGTTGAAACTGAATCGTTAAGTATGCACACGTTTTTGAAAGAATAACTTGATTTTAACTAATCATTCTGAGCCAAAAATTGTTCTTCAGTCATTCTTGAGGGACATATTATGTACGTATATTCGAGATAATCGAGAAAGCAAGTTTGGTCGTGAGCACTCTGCTCAGTCAGGTTTTTGCTACTTTTTTCTTCGCCAGGAAGGCATTTTAAGAAATGAAGCATACTAGCACGATACAAGCTTGACAATCGTAATTAAATGTTTTGTGAGACTTTCATTCGCTTAGAAAGCTGTGTTACTTTTGAAAAAGTTCAGGGCAAAAAATTTCTTTTAAGATATGAGGCCGGCAGCCAAGCTTTTCGAACAATTTTTCCTCTTCTGGCTTCTTCAAGGCTCTGCTACCAAGGGTGTTTATTCGATTGATGCGAAAACACTCCCATGTACTTTTATGTCATATCATTCTTTTATGTCATATGTCATGTCATATTATGTTAGATCTTCATCACTAAATTGTTATGGTCGAACGATGCTTATTATTCTATTTTTCAGAATTGCAAATAACTTTTGTTTTCATATAGTTTTAATTAAACATAGTCAGGCCCGTCGGAACCGGGGGGCTGCGGGGGCTGTAGTATGTTTCCTTTATAACAGCGTACTGAATGAGAAGGAGAACAATGGGCAACCTCCCCAATATGAATTTCGTTCCGATGGCACTGATAGTGCATGTAATTGTATATCCTGGACAAACTGTCTTTATATGTACGTATAACATAACAATTGGTGCAAATTTTCAGATAAAAAATTCAAGCTTTTAAGTAAGATAATTTCTTCTGAGGTTTTATTTTTTGGGTAATTCGAAGCCCAAGTATCATTAAAAATTTAGAAATTTCAGCTACATTCTAGAATTTGTCTTTAAGAAATGCCACTAAAGGTGCTGTCATTAAGTCTGGATGGTAATGGGGTGGAAACAAACCCCTGAGTATGAAACTCTCTGAGGATAGTTTGTGGGGGAATATAATTTTTTGGGGAAAAAAGGTGTATGAAATCGTATTTTGTAGATACATTTTTTGAAAATTTTTCTTAAATTGGTGGCAATATCTTCACGTTTTATGACTCCTCAAAACCAGAAGAGCCAGATGCTGATGTTGAAATATAATTTTTATGTCTCGTTGCAAAAAGTTACAAATGTCCTCTGACAAAACGGTGGGGGTATGAAATGCTTTTGCATATTTTTATGGAGTTTTGGATTTTTTGCAGTTTTTTCATGGGGTTTGAAATTTTTTGATGCTTTAAATGATTTCCTTTTGTCCTGGTACCGGTCAGACTTAGTGTTAGCTTCCTAAACGACACATATTCAGTACCACAGTTGATTGGCTGATAAAATCGTGAGAGCAAATTTACATCAGAGTTCTGAATCTATCTGCCATCAAACGTGAAAATCCTGTGAAGGAGCGAACCTTTGACGGCATTAGGCTCAGCCTTTGAAGGTCAATCCATAATTTTTCAAATCTTCGAAATTGCATTAACGTCTAACTGTTATCTCATTACAAACTTAAACAATATTGCACAAAGCAGCAGTCATATTTAGCCTTGAATATCTTTAGCATATTATATATTTGATTAAGATTATTCAGCAGGACGATGTAATCCATCGAGCGACTCACTAATAGTTCTATTATTTTATCTTGCTAGAAAGCAATCGCAAGAAAGAATACGACTCGCCATGCACGGCTTGTCAACTTGCAACTTGCATCGTTTTAATTCATATTTTGTGTGCATAATCTTATACCCTGTCAGGATCCCTATCTTTTGGTACTTGAGCAATCTGACTGCCCCTGACCGTTTCATAGACACCATATTTGTCTTGCAGAACAAAGGGAATTAGTAAAGATGGATATGAAAAGAAGGCCACAATTGCCTGGACCTCATTTAGAGTTCTCAAGTAAGAGTGAGAAAAGAATTTAAGACTTGATAAAGGAAGCATAGCTCTCGATTTATATTAAAAATGATATTAACAACGAATGGACTCATTTCAACGGCGGAAATTTCTATCGCCTCAAGGAGGGCTTTCCAAGGACTTCTCGTTGATCTCCACGAGTTGATCCAACAAAGGAAGCAATTTAAAATACTGAGCCAGCATATGGGATAATATCGTAGTTTCACATGAAAGGGAATATTGTCTTATATTTGCAATGTTGGGAACGAGAATGAAATGGCAGCTTGTTTAGTGTCTTGTTTATGCCGGGGCTCAATTTCTATATTAAGCCAATATTTACGATAAAAAACCTCGCGGTTTGTCACCAAAGGACGAATATATTTTATAAGGCAAGGCAACCTCCTTGATTAACGTGCTTATGGGTTAAAATCTAAATCCGCAGTTTGCCGCAGTGCATAAAAACCTGGCAAACGTTGAAAGAAGAGCTCCGAAGGTGCAGAGTGTGTTACCCAAAACATCCCTCTCCACGAAAAAGGAGATCACAGAGATGTTATATTTCTTAATTGTCGTGTTTCTGAGCAAGTTGACAGGACAGTGCAATCTTTGAGAGGGGTACAAATAAAATTAACTGTTTCCAGTAAAAAAAGACAACGCAACACCTCTTCTCCAAAACAATGTTTGTTGAAGATTTAGTATCATGATTATCTCAAATGGATCCAATGATTGAACCACATCGAATCTTAGTATAAACAACATTGTTCAATGGGGGAGAGGGGGATGCTGTATAAGATATTAAGAGATTTATTGTGATTTACAGAGACTTTTGGCAGGCAATATCAGTCGTCGGCCACTTATGTGCTTGTCAGTAGCTAAGATATTGGCTTTTCGATAATTGCGAAATAATTATCTTTGTTACATCCGTTAAGTGAACCAGGCCCTACAATGATACCGATGAACGCTTTAGCTTGCCCCCAAAAGCTTCAAGTAACATAAGTAAAATACTTTTATTTGTAAAATATGGTTGTTCCTACACTTGTTTATCAAGGCTGCCCCCCCCCCCCCAACAAAAAGTTGTATCTCGGCCTTTGGTTTTTTTAACGAATTTCCATTATGATAATTTGAGTTTAGTGCGTAAGCGAAGCATGAAAAGATCTTGCCCTGCAACTTACCATTTTCGGATCTCTTCGGCCGATCGTTGATTCCATCGCGACCCTGAATGAAAACTGCAGTTAAAAAGGTCAGGAAAAAGCATGTTCTGACAGGAGACATGTTTGCGCTCGTAATTCAACACAGCTCCAATGTGATATCTTCAAATATTGAAACAGCACAAAGATTCTGTCTAACTCGCGATTTATTTTGGGGAATTGTAGTTAGACTCGATTTCAGGTTTGACCTGCACTACATTCGCAGTAGATTTGCTTCGACATCGTGTCCTTCCTGACGCTGTCAAACAAAAAATGCTTGTTCTTTGAGAAAATAAACCACTTTTGTTTTCTAGTCTCCGCCAGAAATCACGTGATTTTTCGATATAATCATTCATTACCGTAATGTTCTTGGCGAATGGCGGGTGCTTAATCGTGCACCCCGGATCATTTCCGGCACGGTGTTCTTGATTGCAATCTGCTCTGTTTGTTTTCCTGCCTGTGAACCCGCAAGCATAGAACTCTATCCATTTTCACAAGTAGCGTCAGAAAAAACGGAAATCTACGAAACATGAGACCAACACATGTTGGAAAGGTTTGTCCGAAATCTCTGGTGTTTTCGTCAAATATTTACACTTGCCTAATACGTGGAAAAGGACAAACGCAAAAGATACAAAGTAAATCGGCTGGATTGTTGATAAATACATTGCCAATATTCTGATGCTTGACCCGACTGTTTCTTTCATAACCTAGAGGTTGCCTACTTGTCCTTTTGAACATATCTCTCAGCTTTGAATGAAAACAAACAAATTTACTTTTGTCAACATTCACCAGACGGACTTAAGACAAATATTTCTTAGCTGTCATTTGTTTTTATTTCAAATTTCAAGCCGATCGCGTCCCTGTAGTTTTTAGGCGATTTCCACATGACAAGAACGGAATATAAATTCCATAAACAATTGTGTTTGTTGGACGATCGCCGAAGTAGAAGTATTTCCGTAAATAAAAACAAAAATTTTCAGAGAATGATGCGGTTTTTTGAGATACACCACGGACAACAGAGGCTTATATGGGCGGATTGTCCAACAAGCAGTTGGAATTTTCACAATTATTTTTATGAAACTTTGAAAATGTTCAACGCTGAAAGTTTCTTTATTTTGTTAGATTCGAGAACTCAAGACGTTTCTTCAAATTTTTGGATGGCAACTGTTATGTTCGGCAATGTGCTCAGTGGCATATATAGAGTTCTTAAGTGGTGATGTCACAAAAAGCCAGTTTAAATGATTCTCCATTCTAGAAATGTTTTTTTGCGGTACTTTTAGAACTCTATAGAGATACTGAAAAATAATTTGTTTGGTTAAAGCATCGCAGAATAGGTCCTAATTATTACTAGAAAACCAATGAGTCTCTTTAACAAAAACTTGCTTTCCCCTTATATTACCATAAGTCCTCGAATAAGCCCCCACCTTGGAATAAGCCTACATCCACAAATATTTTTTGAATATAAATGGAATATTCTATTTTCTTTTTTTTCGACGATGAGGAAAAAAATATTAAGTGTCATAAATGTCATATTGTATTTTGCATGACCTCGCCTGCGCACGTAAAGCCGGGAACTCTTTCGTCGGAGATTCGCAGAATGGACACCCCCAGTGGTATTCTAAAAAATTCTGTTGTATCCGAGTGTATCTTTAAGCTTTTCAGAATTTAAATCTGAAACAGTAAGTTGTTTTCCAATATCGGATGTGGAGAATAAAATTCTCCTATCACAAGGAGATACGAAAATACAGTAGGAGGAAGCCGGAAAGCCCAGGCCACAGTCAATTTACAGCGCGCGGCTCAATAGGATCACAATTGCGATCAAATGTTCAAATCAAACAGATTTAGAATTGCGCTATTATTTTCTATCACTTGAAACTAACTAAGTTGATTAACACGCAGTCATTGTTTAGTGACGTTTCTTCACGCGATCCTCGGAAAAACGTGAGCCGAGCAGTGACATCAAAGTGTCTTAAAACTGTGCAATCAGCAGAAACAACATTTCAATCTTTTGGCTGGAGAGGCAGTCTCTAGCAATTTCCAACTGCTTTCTTGAACTTGCTACTAGTCTCTCTTTTTATTTAGTAATCTGAAAAACAAAGAAAGGGAAAGAAAAAAAAAGGAAAGGGGAGGAGAGAGACTTGTAGCAAGCTCAGATTCTCCTTTCTGCTTTTTCCCTTTCCTTATTTTTCAGATTACTAAATAGAGAGAGAGACTTGTAGCAAGTCCACTGCTCTGTAGCCGAGTTCCGATTTTTAAAGTACAGGTTTTTAGGTAAAATTACCTAATTATTGCTTCAGTTACATGCGCCTCGTTTTCCTTTTGTTCAAGAATTCGTTTCGCTTTCAAGCGTTCGCAAAATGCGAATCCTACTGTTTTCTAAAATCGCCGAATTTAAAATCACATTTATTTTCAGATGCTTCAAAGAGCAAAGGCCGCAAGATCAAAGACTGTTGCTTTGCAGATAAAAAGAGTTTAGTTTTCCTTTTGGATTCTTCACGTGCTTAAAACCAAGTTAAGTAATAGAACTAGAACTATCATTTCATCTTGTTTAAAAGATAGAGATTTCCCACAAAATAGCAAGCTTATTTTGGGTAATCTTTTGGACAAATTTTAGTCATCAAAGTTTTTGAAAAAACTAGCCTGTTATTGAGCAACTAGCCTGAGCTAAAAGACTCGATACAAAAAAACGTGTGCCGGTAGCTAGTGTTGGGCTACTCTACTATTTGAAAGTATTTTTGGTTAGTATTGGTTGATACACGTTAGCGTGAAAAGGTATCAAAGAACAGAGATTGATTACTACACGAGCGAAGATTTGCAAAACGTAACGAGAACAGCTAGAATGAATTGAACCAAGGCTAGATCAATGGGAGACAGAACTTATCCAAATAACCATAACAAATTAACTCACAATAAAATCCGATTACAGTGGTTATCGCATTATTCATATTATTTTGCGAAACGAAGGCAGCAACAAGATCTCAGATCGGCGCCATTAAAAAGCTCAGTTTTCCGATTTAAAGCCTATTAAACATTTATTGGTCTTTAATTTCCCCCCTGATGGGAGATGACACAGAAGTAACCTTGATTCTGAAGTGAGCGATAATTCTATCTAAGATAGAACAAACCCTATTGCATTTCACCCACGGGGAAGAAGTCGTATACCAATACTCCGGGTACTAGAGTATGACGGCAGCTTTGATCGCTTAGCCAACATTTAACTACCTTCGTAAAAAATTTCTCTTGAGCCGAAATAGCAAATCAATGACAGCCATTCACTTCATATTTTTGCAACGTGATACTATTTTAATCTATGTTAAAGGTTAAAGATGCAACATGTGAGAAAAGCTTGATGTTCGTTTGATTCTCAGAACTGAAATATGAAACTATAAGAGGGTGCGACAATCACAAAGGGCGTTATATCGTTAATCAGAAAGGCGACGGTACTCCTTTGTTTAAATTCGAATTTCTATGCCCAGCTTCGCCGTCCATTCAAGCTAAGATCTATACTGATAGCATATGGGCTGGCCGAGTCTCCACAATTTGGTCAAACAAAGGATCGTTAGCAGGGTAGCCAGGTCTAGCCAGGTCTAGCCAGAGAAGTTCTTGGGATGTATCCAGCATGAGCACTGGCGAGCATGAGATGTAAGCAGTGGCGGCGACAGAAGGATTGAGAATTCAATCCCTCTGCTTTGTTATCTCTATGAATCATGCCTCAACCCGTACCAAAGCGCAAAGACGACGACGCTAGCTATACATCTCGTTTTCTGCAAGAGAGAAACAATGTATCAAGCAGGTCCTTTGGTTAGAAAACAGAACTTGTTACAACCCAAAGAGAACCATTCTCATTTTCCGTTTTGAAATTGGAGAAAAATCGACTATCGAAAAGCTGCTGTGCAGAATAATACTGCTAGGGGGGGGGGGTTGTGTCCCGACAAGCAGTTCTAACAAAAAAGCATTAGTTCTCTGTGAAAAAGATTCAAAACAAATTAAAATTACAAGTTGGAATCTTTTAAGAAAAGAAGTAAACAGCTATTTATCATCATAAAATTACAAAGAACAAAAATTGTAGTATATTGAAAAAGGGTGGTTTAAGTGTCAATTCTCTATTTTCATTACCCTTTTTGATAAATCGAATTTCATAATATGAAACGCAATATTATTTTGATACAAAGTAATGAAAAAACAACCCACCGTGAAATCTTTTAATTCGCTTTAATGAGCGCAACCTGTCTTCTAATTTCCCCTTCGACTCAGAGAAGCGTAACTTAATGTTTTCTTTTGCTCATCAAAAAAAAGTCATATCCGCCTCGAATAATGCAAGCCGATGTGAAAGAATTCCAATGAAATAAAACACACAAAAACATACTGTGTTCGAATCTTAGCAAATCTCTCACATCCGTCCGTTAGCTATTGCCAACCTGCCTTGGTTTCCTTACATGAAACTTGTAAGGAGAGGTTGGTGGAAGACTCATTCTTGACGCGAGAGAGCATGGTCTGACTAAATAAATCGGCGGGATAAGGACAGCCCTAGAAACAACGTCGTTTCTTTCACGTTGACACATTTATGATAATTCGCATTGTTGAGGTTGAGGAGTTTTCTGCGAGCCACATGAAGCGAATAAATGCAACTGAAAAGGCTACCATGTGTAAAGTATAAAAATACTTCTGTACAAAATGTTGAATGAAAAGGTAATGTTTCGTAGAATATTTTAGGGGGCCAATTGTTTCTCTGTTACCGTTTCTTTGTTACCAGGTTCGCTAGAGGCAGAATTCTTAAGTAGAAGCTTGCAGAAAAGATTACCATCAGGATCACTTAAAGAAAAATAAAAAATAGAAACTACTGCCAACAAAAAAATCATAGTTGGGGGTTTCTATGTAAAAATCTATATAAACTAAAATACTTGACTAAGCCTCCACACAAGCAAAGAATTGTCAATGGACTCCGGTTGGGAATCTTCAGTGTCACTTGAAGAACTGATATCAAAATGTCGCTGGCCAGACGTGGATGCAACCAATGGGGCATATGGGTGAATGCTAAGAGAACAAATAAAAGTACAACAGGAATGATGGATGGTTGCCAGACTTTCAAGCAAACGAATTGCGATGTTTCAAGTTGTCTTTGAATATACTTCACACAATTTACAGACTGAAAGTTTTTCAGTTGTCAAAGAGAGCAAATTTGAACGAAAAATTTGCTATCAATGCATTCAAAACAGTGCTCAAGTCAAAATTGTCTTTTTTAAAATGAACATCTAATAGCATTTTTCTGCATCAATTTGTCAGAATGAATTGACAATAAAAACACACGGGATAAATTATGAGTCATTTTTATTTAAAGGTGTATGTATGAAAGGAAATGGAAGAGTAATGAAACAATAGACACAAGGCCTTTATTGCTTTTCAACGAGGACAAACACTGTTATTCACAAGCTCTCAATTTTCAAAACAAGGTTTACACAAGCATTTACCTTATTCCATTTACTGCATCACCATGTGCAGGGAATGTGTGCGGGCTTGATGGACGAGTGGGTTCTAGCTCCCATACAGATATGCATCCATTGGTATTTCCAGAAAACAGGTATCGATCGGACCTGATGTAAATCAGAATTAATATTCAGGCAAATGCTTTAAAGAAAAGCCACGAGGTCTTCTCACCAGAGCAGCATTAACATTTTAAAAGTCGTGAGAAAGATTACTGGAAGGAGAATGGATATTATCAGCCGATTCTAATTTGCAGAAGGTTTGAATCGTAATATCGATAAAAGAATGAGGACATTACCAATGTATGTCAAACTGGACTTTTTGATTGGTTGCTACATCTCGGTTCAAAGTGAAAAGCTGTCTGTCCAAATTTCGAAGATCCCAGCAACTTATTTCATCGTTCTGGGGAATGTAGAAGTATGCATTCAATGATTTAAGATCGACTGTAAACATTGCATCTAAAATGCCACCCTTTTAACTGTCGCTCTTGATGCAAAATTATACACAAAATATCGTGATCCAAATAGTTGCAAGGTCTTTTTCAAAGGGGGGATATCAAGGGTTACAGGGACTGGGCGCGAGTGAGTTTCAGCACGTTTGATAACAAAATAACGATAGGCAAGTCCTTTAAATATCTCAATTCAACTTAAGACGTTTCAACCTTTGCATGCCATCGGCGTAAAAAGTTCATTTGTGCTCATTTCTGCTCATTTGTTCGTTTGCTCATATATGTCAAAATGTTTGAAGACGAATATCAATTAAAAAACGAGAATTATCAGGAGACGATTTAGCAATGACGTAAATTGAAAGATATGGAGATAAAAGTAACAAACATATTTCAGGTCATTGCCAAATGATCAGGCTCTTACGATCAATGGTATTATACAACAGTTCGCTTTCTACTCGACACAAACAGAAAGGCTTAGAAAATAGAAAAGCAAATCCAATCTTAATGAAATCCACTTGAAAATAATCAACTTTGCTACATGCAGTGCGAAAGCGAATCTCAGAACAATAGTGAATGGTTACATCAAATAGTTAGCATGTTTGCGCCAAGTTGCCTTGTAAACAATATGACAAGTAGGAAAATCAAAACTTCAAAAACACTGCGCAAAACACTTCAGTTTTAATTAATTGTCAATCCCTGTGTTGACGATGAATCCAAAATTCCACTAAACATAAGAATGTGGATCCAGAGTTGTTGCATACAAGAACTAGGCAGAATATCAAAAGACAATATATTTTAACATATATTAAAGAGATTATTTAGAGAGACCTTTCTTGCACCGGCATACAGGTAAAATCCGTCTTTTGAGAACTGAACTTGGGTCACGGCACCTATTTTCCCTGGCAACATGCATATCAGATCAGCATCGTCTTCGGAATAGATCCCTACTAGAGAGGCAATGAATTAATTTAGCTCTAAAGTTGTCAACAAATGCTGCATTTTAAAATAACCTAAATGCTACCTCCATGACCAAAATTCAAGTGTTGAATATAAATTAAGTCGCGCGTCATTAAATGATTTGAAATACTTTCTAACAATTCCTAGCTGTACATTTTATAAGATGGTTCTGCCCTTGGATAAGAACTTCAATGAATGCCTCTGATAGGTCACCTACATTACTATAAACAAAGGCGAAAAAGTGCACAGTCCTGTGACCATGCTCTGGGTTTAAACTTTTTAAATAATCAACAAGAACGAGCCTGGTATTATGTTAACAAAAATTTTGATATCAAAAGTTTTGATATCACTAAGAAGACTTCAGCAAAAATGCAGGCAAAATATCGCGAGCTAAAATGAACACAGGGAAACGTGTAATCTTTAACATGGCGTATTTGCAATGTGGAATATCTGTACTTGTAGAAGTATCAGACGTAAATGTGCCTTCAGAATGCGGGAAAATGTTCTTGAAAGTTTCCAGCAATTAATGATTATTTTACAGTGTTCCCCAATAACAGGACACAATTTGATTCACTCAGATATTAAGAGCGATTAAGTACCATTAGTTAGTAACATAAGACATGAAATTGAGCAACATGTACAGAGAATGATAAAAATCTAATCAGAAGGCCTGGAACTAGTGAATCTGGATGAACCTGGAACTCTGGAAGGCTTAAGACATTTGGTGTTATTATTCCTTACGATGCGAGTTTACGCTAAAAATAGACGGTCGCAAACGTGGTTGGAGCGAAAAAGCAAAGTTTCAACTTGAAAAGAAAGGTGAAAGTGCATATTTGAAACATTCAGTACAAAGTGGCTTTTTCAATGACGGTTGGACAGAGTGTAATTTGCTTTAAAAATCTTTTCTAAACCCCATAGTTTTCTATGACTGATTCCTCAAGCATTGTCTTTATAGTTTTCAGGAATTTTCTTCCTTCTATAGATTGAAAATTTTCTTTAAAAAAAAGAAACATCGCATCTTGAAGGCAATTTGTAACAGACTAGTCTAGTTACAACATATTCTAATCCCTTTTCCGTTGGCTTATAACGTTTCTCGATTGGAAATCATGTGTCCATGCCTGGTGAACAATATACGTTAATGGGTCTACTGCATAGAAATTTATTAGAAGAATATATGCTCTGGGCTAGAATATAGCTAAAGATGAGAGTATTTAGAAGTTCTAACTCTTCTTGTCCATCATAAATTAATTCAGAAATGTTAACATGTCATCAAGATTTATTGCAATGGGTGATGTCGAAACAAAGATTCCAAAACTGTTATGAAACTACAGCGGCCTAGGCCAAAGTCTTATCTGCAAAAAGCGATATATTACTCAAGCGATATACTACTCAAGCAGAAGCAAGATCTTCCTTGCATTTGCAAAGAGTAAAGAAGCAAAAAACAATGTAAATGTTTTCTAGTTGGTTGATTGCAACAGGATGTCAGTTTTTGGAGAAAAAACCAGGTAGAAACCATTTTTACAGTAGTCCTAAAGAATAAATGTCGAATACTTTTTGCAAACAAGCGACAGCCATTAGTTATGCAATAGTTTGTGACACACTGTTTGATCAGCCAGGGATTTGAGCCATTTAAGCGAGGTGCAACGATTCTAGTAAACACATATTAACAAGGCAACAACTGTTGCCTTTTCAACGCTGTCACAAACTTTGTGTTGTTTACTCTATAAAGAAATCTTACCACATTTTCCAAACGAGCCAAGAGCAAAGACTTTCCCCAATGCCTTTGAAAACGCGATGCTCGATATAATACCGGACTGGGTAAACACTGTATTTTTTACTGTAAAAAACAAGATAATGATTAAAACAACGAAACAATGATTAATTAATATGTTTAGGAAAACATAGAAAAGTGGAAACCCAAATGCTCGTCAAAATATGTAACGTTGGATTGTCTAAAATAATATCAAGCATGTATACAGATTTAAATTGTAAAAAGATAGAACAGTAACACTCAAAGCCCCAAAAAGCGACAGAAGGCCTGCAATTTGCACTGGAGATTTCGTTTCCCTTCTTCTTCAGGTGCCGGCTACTTTTCGTTTCTTGAACTTCAGTCTAGTTCTAGTTGTAGTCAAGGCTTGCTTCTCCTTTCGTAACTTTTTGATCTTGTGATAACGAAGTAAATATCGTAGTACACAAACAACTGCTAAAGAGAAAAATTTTACCGGCAGTTGCATATTCCATACATTCACAGCCAGGTCGGTTAGTGTCAAACACTTTCACTGCCTTATTAAAGCCACAGAATATTTTATTTCCATCCATGCTAAATGTTACTGAGTTCGCAGCCACAACTTCATCCTGAAAAAACCAAAGACATACCAAAAATCTTGAATGCATTGAAAATGATACGAATCCATGTTATAATTGGGTTGCTTTGCAAGGCTACAAAATATCACTTGCTTTAAAAAGTTTAGAAGATTACCGCTACAAAATAACATTTGAATTAAGAGGCTACAAGTAAACCTTTTATTTTGTACGTTTCTATACTCATTTTCAATAACCTATACTCATCATCAACGACATTTTCAATAACCTTGATACTTACAAGATGATTTTTTGGCACATAACTGCATCGCACGTCTCCTGTAAATGCATCCCACAGATGTAAGGGGTGATCCTTTGAAGTTGAAATGAAGCTAGAAACAATTCATAATTTGAGTCAACTATTTTCATAATAATTAGATAAGAGGTCCTGCTTTACGATTCTGTATGTTGCTTAGTTTAGCAGAGATGGCATAACTATAATGATCAGTGCTACCGAGGGCTACGATGGGCCCCAAAAAAGCCCATGCGCGACCTGGCCTATGAGTCAAAGTATTGCTGATTAACTGTTGATGCAACACCAGGTGAATCCCACTAGGAAAAGACCATATTCGTTATGGAGATTTTGATAAGAAATTTAGATTTTCAAATTTGTTAAAACATCCATGAATTTTTCTAAAGTAGACAATTTTCATAGCAAGACAAGAAGAGACATGCAACATTTATTCAGAATTTTCTTTCCGATCATTTGATATCGTTTGATGAATACAGGCGTCAAGGGTCATGCCAACAGGCATACATCTGTAGGCTATGTATACCAAAGTCTTTGTAAATATATCTTGTATAGAGTTGAAAGGCTTTGTGCTGTGAGACAGACTGAGTAGCAAATCAAAGGAGAAAGAAGAACTCAGATAAGTTTTATCTTTGAATGAGTGGGTACATGTAGAGCAATAAAAAAGTAGAATATTGGAGAGAATAAAATCGACGAGAAGACAGAGTTCTGTGGATGACCAGCATAAATTTAAGGAGATTCATCAAAGTCTGCTGATTAGTAAGCAAGCAAGAAACAGCAAGCATTCCCACTTTAAATTAAAGCTCTAATATATTAATTGATTTGTGCTTCTGTGCATCAAGTAATGTAATGTATGAATATAAAATGCATACGATAAATATAAATTTACATGTGTTCATACAGAAGTGTGTTTGCTCAGTTCCAAAACCAGAGAGAATCAATTGAAACCTACCTTTCCATTGATGATTGATGACATCATAGATTTATTTCATGACACAAAAAACAGTTTTATTCATTTGGAAGAAAGTAACACCAGTTTCTCTAGTGTGTTTGCTTGCATGGTTTTGGTATATACACTCGGGTCACAAAAGTATGAAAATATTGCCTAAAATGGGGGCTCACAAAAGCCAAGGGCCAAAGCCAACAAGTTTTTAAAACAGAAGTTCAGTGATAAGGGGTTTTGAAAATAAAAGCCTTCGGTACGAAAAATTTTGCGTAATTCTAATGGCTTTTGAATGAAAATATATTTGAAAGATCTTCCTGTTTTGTGGGAAAAATTAGGGAAGGCTCGACAAGTGCTTCAGAAGAGCTCTGGAAAATATTATCAAAGGATTCATAAAAAATGCCTTAAAATACAGGCGAAACTTGAGAAGCATAAGATGATTCAATTTAACTTGAGTCTTATCACGTGCACCTTTGTTCTGACTTCAAATATTAGCGAGAAGATAATTTCAGCTGAGATATCAGGCTTTAGTTTATCAATAATGATATCCTTGAAAAATTTCTAATGATGCCGTTTAGTGATAAAAATAGTTGGCTTGCTAAATAACATCGAAAGAATAGGTTTAGATTACTCTTTTCATTAATTTCAAAGGCATTATGAAAGTAGAACGGTTTGATTTAATTTTGATTATCATGTGCTTTGATAATGGGCAAATCACAATTTAAGATAAGAAGTTTTTTAACATCAAATGTAGAGCAACTCACCTTGTGTCAGCATTGACTTTTTAAGATTAAAATAACTTACTCACTTATAATTTATGGGACACTGAGAAGATTATGCTTAACGAGAAGTGTCCTGGTCCTTCCTCTCGATGTGACCACACGTCATGGCTCCTACGCCTGGAATTACATAGGGCTGGCGACCCTCCTCGTTCTGGGTGAAAGTTTGGTCATGCCAGGGGCCCAAACAACGGACCCTTGGGTCTGTAGTCAGCGCCTCTAACAACTGAGCCATCCTCGCACCTACATTTTCATGAATACTTTGAAAAAAATTTTACAGACTTCTTTGTAGCAGTGCTTTGAAGTCTGGCTGATTTCTTTCCCTCAAAACAGCAAACCAATCAATAAATTTTCTTTTAACCGAAAATCGAAGGAATGGAAATTGCACTTTCCCATGATAAACTATCGTTCCCAAGCCCCTTTGCCTCTAATTCTGATTTTGAAATTAGTTGGCGTTGCCACTGTGACCTAGTGTTTCCATACTTTTACAACCCAAGTGTACATTCAGTGTCAAAGCAGATCAAACAAAGACAAGAACATGAATATCTTCTTTGTTCTATCAAAGCTTATTTCAGTTGAACATTAAATAGAACAACCTTTTATACTAAAGTGAGTTCATTGGCAGGGGCAAAATCATATTTTGACAATGAAAGTGATCGCAAGCAAGCAATAAGTGACCATTTTTTAGAAAATCATAGAAGAAGAATCTTACCAGCATGTAGGGTGATCATAAGAGCTCATCAAAGGATACCAATCAAAATCATACACTATCTCTCCCTCTTTCATCCTTAAAACTGGATCCTGCAGAAAACATATTCTATCATTAACCATATCAAGCTACAATATTCCAGTAGATTGATCCATGAAAAGAGTAACAGGGCTCTGGGAAAATCTTGCAGAATCTCATATTATAGCAAAAAGTAGAAATTTGTTTCTTTGTGATATTAACAGTGGGGCTTTAATAGACTTATCAGCAATTATTCTCTAAAACAATGACATTCTCAATAAACAGAACACTACACTATAACCTTTACTGCTGGTGAACAGATATTTTGATGTATCATTTTTGGCAACTGTTTGTTGGAATCCAACATATTTAGGTATCACAACTTTTGTGAAATTAATTCACAATATAATGCCCTTTTGCCATAAATCATGTGTAAATCATGTATAATGCCCTTTTCCCACAAAAATTTTCAAAAAACTGCCTGCATTAGAGCAGCTCACAGAGACATCAATTTAAGGAGCCTTTTTGAACAGACACAGGCACCATGCAGCCATTGGGCTAGCAGTGGCTATAGCCCCTCCACATTTTTGTAAAAATAGGTAAGAAAACATTTTGGAAAGTTTACTCTAACTATGCTCTAATGCAACATTGAATCATATACCCCTAAGGAGTAGCAGTTTTTCTTGACTGGGAACCCTTTTTGTTCATTTTCTAGGTGTTTTTCTTGCTGTTTCATTATCCACAAGCTAATTTTATCTATCTTTATAGCTATTGATATCTTCTCTGAACCAATTTTTTTATAAAACCCCAGTAGAAATAAGCCAGTATTTTCAAAAAGGGGCGTTTTCCGGCGTTCTAGTGGGCGTGGCCTCAAAAAATCTCTGTCATGCCCTTTTCAGCCTTCCCACATTTAGACTAGTGTGTGGTCCCTGAACAGGCATCATCAACAAAATGTGTTAACCCCAAAGTGTTCTTCATTAAATGTACAACAATGATTAGTAAATACCAGGTTTAAAATGAATAGAAACTTTAAATTGATAAGTCAGAAAGCCAAATTGTTGAGGGCCAGGCAGATTTTTAACCAGAGATTCTTTACAGTAGAAAGAATATTCATTTTGTCAACCAAGGGTGTCTAGCAAAAAAGTGATTTCTTTGCAAATAAAAATTACAACTTGGAGAGGCCAAAGTTGAATTATCAAGATCTATCTGGAAAGACCTTAAAAGGGTTGTGATTAATAAAATTATGACTGCTATGCCTTCCTTCCTATGATTTCCAATCTACATGTGCATCCAGTTTTGCTCTATTTTAGGTAATTGAAGAAACAGCAATGAAAAACAAGCAAATAAAATTTTCAAATGTGAACAAACCAGTTCTTCAGGGATTTCATTTGCAGAGGACACATCTTGCAGAAATAATGTTGGTATGTTGAAAATCCTTAAGAAGTTGTCATTGCTGTTTGTAAGGATGCACAATCCATCAGGAGACCTTGAAAAAAATATTGCAACAAGGGTTATTTTGTAACTATGAACATAGGCAAGGTTTTGATTTGCTTTTATAGCTTCTAAATTCACTTTCGGAATCTGAATCTCTATATGGAATATTTTCATGATCTGATTTTTATATCATGATCTAATTTCATGATAATTCATAATGGAAGTGATCTACACGATTTTTTATAAGAAACCAGTTAATACTAAACCTAGTACTAGAGCCCCAAAAATTTAAGAAACTTTAGAACTAAATCAATATTTCTAAGAAACTCTGAAAAAAATAAGATGACTTTCTGAGCCGGAAATAATACATCAACAATCCATTTTTGCTTGATTTAAATTTGCTAACACATTTTTATTTAAAGTAACACAGGATGTTGTCTACTTATTGGTTGTCTCGATAAAAAGTACCCCTGTTTCCATAAGAATAATGAACAAGAGATACAATATCAAATCTTACTGTTGTGTTATAAACTTTGATACAATTAATATGCGAGGGAAAGTGCAAAATTTGATGTTAAATGCTTATCTGGAGATAAGAAACTTTTAAGAAACTTTTAGTACTAGAAACTGTTGAAAAATTAAGAAACTTTCCGTACTAGGACCCAAGCTAGGTTTCTTATAAAAAACGTGTATATACATCACATTTATTTTCAGTAAAATCTGATGCTTTTCATGCTTAATATATGAGCATTCACAAATCTAATGTTGAATAATGCAGTAGGTTATAAGCACAGAGGAAAACATTGTGCCCAGTTGCAACCAATCAGAAAAATATTTTTATTCATATATTTGAGGTAAGCCAGGAGGTATCTCTTATTGTGCCAATGGAATTGCAAAAACTTTTGATTTTGAAAAAACCTTACATTGAAATTGTTTCTTCATTTGGCCTATTGCGTAAATAAATTTCAGATGCTAGCAGCCAATTTAAATTCCAAACAGTTTTAAGTGTTTTTACAATTATCAATCTCTTTAATTGACAGAAAAAAATTGGCAACTGTAAGCGAGCATTTGGACTTGATTTTATCAATTCTACAAAAACGCAACTGGGTGCACAATGAAGAATAATAGCATTGCTATTTTTCCCTTACCAATTTTCGAAAAGATAAATAGCTAAAGTTGCTTCCTAACATGCGATGGCAAGGGCTAAACATTCAAGGAGGCTAAGTATTGGTCATGCCTGGATATAATTGCTTCATAGGGATAAAATGCTGAATTTTTGTTGACTCTCTCATAATTATGGCACAAGGCTAGGCTATGAAATGCTCAATGTTGAGTCAAATGAGAATTTCAACAATCATTTTATCTTGATGTAATAATAGATGCAAATCCTGTGATGTGAAAGCAATAGAAATGGCATTGAAATGCAGCCAAAAACTTGATAAATCTGACCATTTGCATCCTTTTAGAAAACAGTCATCAGAGTTTCTGAATTCGTTTCTTGATCCTGCAACTAAATTCAAAAAATCTTTTGACCCAAAATCAATTTCAAATGTCGGAATTTCCTCATGGTTCAATGTTTCATTTGAAACCATGACATCCTCCATTGCAATATCGTCTTTAGCAGTTTTGGAAGGCAAATCAACATTTACTTCACAAGTACCATCTTTATCAGTTTCTATTTTGTTATCTTTAGACGCGGCGCATACCAATGGATCGTCTTTTATTTCACTTTCAGTCACTGTTTCACTCTCTAGGTGTTGCTCCCCAACTGATCCATAACTAGCTATTCCCTCTTCTTCACCGTCCGTGCTGGTTCTATGAATGGAATATGAGCCAATGTCTTCTGTTTCAACACTAGCCACAAATTGAAGTCCAATGGATTCTTCTCCATTTCTTCCAGCCTGTACTGGGGTGAAATCCTCTAAATCTTCTTCTAATCCAGCATTCATCTTTCTTTGGTGCCCTAAATCTTCCATATGTCTCTCAAATAGAAAAGGGCCACAGTTTTCGTAACTGTCTGCATAATTTGATCGGAGCTATAGGCCAGGATCAGATACAATTCATCATCAACTCATCGTGTTCCCAATGCAAGGATCTTCATCATTCTTGCTGGAATCAAATTTGGGAAGGCTTTTGATGTAGCCTCGTTTAGATGGGCCAAGAAACAACATAAGTTGGTGAAGTTGCTTGTTCACTATGCTTGTTATGAGAAATTAAGCATAGGGCTCAAATCTTGATTGGCTGAGAGCTTGCGCTAAATCACGTGACTGAAGTATAGCTGCATTGTTTTGGGAAGAACAGTCATATCAAACATTGATTTGCTTCAGTATTGGTTAATTCATTTGATGGGTGTGATAAAAGATGATCGTGGTCATAAGAAACCACAACCGGTCTTATAAAATCGCATCTAGAGCCCCCTTCCAAGAACTTTTAGAAATCAGCCCTGTTCAAAAAATTACTTTTTATTCTGACAGTTTTACAGTTAAACGCTTCAAGCAAAACAATTAAAATGGCAAACAATTTGCATCTCTTTATTCTAAAACTAAATGTCAAACAATTTGCATCTCTCTTTATTCTAAAACTATCATAAGTTACTTTTCGAAGAATCAATATGTAGACCTTTCACTGAAATGTCACGAAATCTCGAAACCCTTGCAATACTTTTAAAAGTTGAATTTAATTTTTTGAAAATTCACTTTGTTACAACACGTCATCATTTGCTAACTTTTGAAATTTGAGAAACATGCGGGTAGTTCCTGCTTTCAAAAGTCTTCATCATTTCTATCTCCTAAATTTAAAATTGCAACGGACTGGAAGAGACGGGCGTGAAGAATTGTTCGAAATATGAATTCTTATGTCACAAGGACAAGAATAACCCAAAAATTTACCTTCAAACGCGTTATGTAAATCATGATTCAAAAATTGGCAAAGCAGGATTCCAACACTCACAGAAACACAGTAAGTATTTCTAATTAGGTTTTGAGTAGCTTTTTTCCCTTTATGTACATATATTACGATTCTGTTTGGGTGTCCAGCACATGTTTAGAACTAATCGTTTCACGCCCCACAATACTTAGATACCTGTGCTTCAGCAGAGATGCTCAGGACATGGTACAGTCGCAAAATAAGTCATTGTGTATCAGTTTAAAAGCTTCTCCGGCTAGGTGGAGCATTTTTACATGATCAGTTGAAAGCTATTGAGAGTTTTTGTCTTGAAAAGGGAAATTCTCTCATTTTTGCGTTGATCAAAGCTCTAGTAAAGACTGCATGCGTTGTTCGTCAGAGTTTTTTTAAACTAAGCTGAGTCTAATGTGATATTCAGATTTAAAGCAACTGAAATATGCAAAATTTTGATTTTATGGGGTAACAGCAATAATTGACTTGAAATTGTGTTAATTTTAAACCCCTTGGACGTGAAGGTATCCTATGGCTAGGTTTACAACGCTGTATTTTCTTAACAACGCAAAATCGAGGTCATGTTCCACGGTAGATTTGTGGGAAATTTATCTGTGTAGGGATGTAGTTAAAAAAATTTGAAATTTATTGTAGCAGATTTTACACGTTATTTTTTTAATGGACGTTGGTAAAAATGCCCAATTTTCGGCTTTGGCCTAAGTTTGTTTACACTTTCCGGGGCTGTGATTGGCTCAGCGGCGAGAGAGGTCACGTGATTTAGCGCAAGCTCTCAGCCAATCAAGATTTGAGCCCTATGCTGAGAAATTAACGTTTAACTAGGTTCAACTAGAATTTTAATTGAAGCTATATAAATTAAGTGAAACGATTTCGATGTTTCTTCTTTTAAGCTAATATTCTTAAAACAACAGCCACATATTTCTCAAAGGTTTCGAAAAGTATAATTTTATTATTGTTTCTTGTCCTTTCTTGATGAATTTTGTTCTATTTAGCCAGATTTTGTGCTATGTTAATTAAAAAGTTGAAATTCTCTATCATTTTTGTCAGTGGTATTAGCCGCCGACTGTGTTTTAATTAAAATTAAATTGATTTTGAATTTTGAGCTTTTAATACGGCTCAGGCATTGTAGTTTCTCCTCTTGCATTGATTTGACTTGATACTTTTTTAAAAACAGTAATTTTAAAAAAAGTAAATCCCTATAATAATGTAATAATAATATGCTGAATTATAACAAATTTGTCTTAATAATATTATAAGAAATTTATTGTTTATAATAATGTAACATAAATGTCACTTGTAGGCTTATGGATACATGGAAAATCTCAAAGCATCATGGAACAAGGAACTATCGAACCATGTTTCTCAGATTAATACTTCTACTTGAAGTGAAAATTGACCGGATGAAGATAATAGAAATTTAATGAAATGAAGCACTGATATCACCAGATTCCTTGAAATTTGCAGAAATTTGCTCTGACGGCCAACAAAATTGATCGAATAACTAAACCTTCGATCGTAGAGGTTCTGATTATAGAAGCTTTTGAAGTGTTTGTTAGGAGATTTTCAAGGGACCTGAAAAATTTTTTTCGAATTTAGTAAAATCGTGAATTATACCAATGTGATTCTAAATTGTGCCATGGGCGTTGTGACTCCTAGAATTGGGCCGGGAAAAAATCATCATAAGAGGGCACTTTCTTTTGTCTGACATCTCCAATCACAAACCACAGATCGCCAATAATAATAATAGTATATAGCTGGAAACAATGCACCTACAAAAAAGTAAAACGCTAACAGTTTTTATCATTTGTAAAGAGGCATCTGCAGTCATTTTTGCTGCGGTGTTCGCCTTCTCTCTCACCATAATCTGTTCCAGTGATGTGCCTAGACAATTTTGTTTGGTGGGGCGTTCAGAAAAAAGTGACCAACTTGACTTTTTTGACCGATTATTTCTCCATAGAAAATTCATTACCAATGAAATAGATGATCACATACACACTTAATGATAATAAGTAAGAGCAAATGATGGCATGAAAGTATAAGGAAATTAAGTTTGGGGGAACTAATATTCCTGGAGTTCGCGTTTTTGGGTGAGTCCATGAGCATCTTTTTGCGAAAAGCCAATTTTAGGGAAATCTGCAAAAATGAACTGCGGCTTCTTTTGAGCTCCTCATAACAATAATTTCAGCACATAGAATTTCCTCTAATCTATATAATTGAAGAGCAAATATGGCTGAAAGGCCGCCGAGAGGTTTCAGAGGTTGTGGCGCAAAATGGAAAGACGATGCCCCTGCGAGCGGAGCCCAGCCTCAGCTTGTTCTTTATTTTTTTAACTTTTGACCAATTTGAGGCTTGTTTTCATATAAAAGTTGACTATGACCAATAAAATGAATGGATTATAGGTTGACATTTGGTCAAACTTCCTATTCAATGCTAAGGTTCCCGCTGCATGACCAACTTTCTTGAGGTCTGCAGACAGGCTTTATCTAAGACTTGAATAGTTTGTTTTAGATCTTTTAGCTACGTCCTTCTCCATTTCGACGTTTTGTTCACTTCCATTTTTACAACCCTTTCCCTTTTTTAGGAAGCAACATTTTTATGAAGCTACTTTGTGATTATCTGAAGCAAAATGCATTTCACTTGAAAGAAGAAAACCGGAGCAAACACACCTAAAATTTACAGTACAGTGAGAACAAATGTGGTAATCGATAACATTTTCATGCAAATGTTCGTGGCCAGGGAGGCAGGGGGGACGTGGCCCCTTCTGCTTGACATATTTTCGAGGGTTAAATTTGGTTATATAAATTTGCAACATTTGTCATAAATTTGATCTTTATTTGATATTGAAGACCGGGACAGTGCCAATTTTGTGCCTACCACAAAGTTTGAAAATTTTGTCCCAGATCTGAAAATTCATGCAGTTATGTTGCATAAGGTAAAACAAGGAAGAAGTCGATCATTACCATCGCTTTCTGTCAATGAATATTCAATTTAAGAATATAGTTTTATTATTAAAATTTGCTCTAAAAATGCAAGTTCCGGCGAACTTGAAGCATTAAGATTATAGAAAAAAAATTTCCATCGGCGGCACCCGGTGCCACCTCAGGTAGTAACTTTATTCTACCCTTGTCCTCATCTACTAATCTACAAGGTTGCAAGATGTCAGGAACTTTCACAGCAAGTATAAAAGAAACAGCCACAAAGGTAAAAGTGCATTTTAAATATCTTTCCAGCTAAAGCGAAGTTTATATGCTTCTCTCCCCCCTTACACTAACATGAAATACTTCCATTTGACTAACATAATTTACAAAAGTCTTGTCGGAAAATTTTTCTTTCTGGCCCCCTCTAGAATTCATACGCCCCTGCAAATGTTCAAAGAGAAAATACTTCCATGCTGGTAATTCTGAAACATACACGTTGATGCAAAGAGTCCATTGTTCTAGCCTTCAAATTTTGCCTTTTGGTAATCCTGAATGGCATCTTGATTGAGACACAGTACGAGGGTATGCAATTTCATTTAATGATTGAAAAACATTCAGCAGCAAATAAAAATGAAATGAAATAAGCAAGCAGTGACGAAAGGACTGCCGAAGATAATAAACATATCTTTTATGCTTAGATTTGCACTTTTTGATATCTTAGAAAGTGATATAGCAAATGAAATAGCTTGGAGATGATTTTATAAGTGCCTCCCCGTTAAAGCCCCTAACGAAGAAATGCCTAAACTGATAAGCCTCCAGGTGGTTGGTTCCAGGATTAACAGTTTTTCCAAAAGTAAAAGCCCTTCTATCAGGTCCCCAAAACCTCACTTGAGTCACTTGATCATCCCGGTGTTCCGCCTAGCCACAACACCCCTTGACAGAGCTGGCTGTATTTCGTTTGCTTCAAACTTGCTTTTATTTTTGACGAGGAAATATTTAGGTCATCTTTAGAACAAGGTTCGTTAGATACAAAGCGTTCACCACCCCCTTTCACGCCTTTCCAAATTTCTCTATTTTTTTATATCGAAACAGGAATAAACAAATACCTCAGTATATGATCTACTATTATTAGTCATCCATGTTTCAAAAAAAAAGGTAACAATAAATTTATGTTTTAGTGATGCTATCAGTCAGGGATGAACTCTCAGTATATAACCTACCGTTGAGAGTCATTCATGTTTCAGAAAGACTAGTAATGTCAAATTTATGTTCTTGGTTTTCAAAGTTGAAAAATGAAAATCAAATACTTGTATCTCAAATGAAAACTTCTCATCACGAAAACTATTAAAAGCAGCATAACTTTCAACCGCCAACTGGATTTTCTGCCTCCCGATTAGAGAGACTAGAGAGTAACCCCAGCCTATAAATCAGCCGACCGATCACTTATGGACAATTACAGGCCGATCTTTGTTTTGTCTTAAATGTTCGCATGTCCTGTTTATAACCAACTTTACAGCTATTTAGAAGAAAGTGAACTTTTTTCGCAAAGGCAGTTTGGTTTTAGAAAAAAATCATCAACACAACATGCAGTGATCCTCTTCTCTGACTGTATAAGACAAGGCACGGATAGAGGATTATTAACGGATGATATAGTGGATAACTCAAGGGTATTAACAAAGCTACCCCTATATGGAATCAATCGTAAAGAACTGAAATGGTTTGAAAACTGCCTGTTTGACAGAAAACAATTTGTTCAATTTAATCGAGTCAAGTCTGCAATTCAATCTGTGTCCTGTGAAGTTTCTCAAGGATCCATTTTAGGACCGTTATTGTTCACCTTGCTAATTAATTATATTTACCTTCAACTAAACCATTGTGATATTATCCTATACGCTGATGATGCAGATATTTACTGTGCACACAAAAATTATAATAACATCGAGAGTCAATTAAATACCGACATTGACCAAGTTGCTCAATGGCTCGCCAATAAAAAGTTAGCTGTTAATTAGAAAACAACAAAAACAGAATTTGTCCTATTCGGAACCAGTGACGGTTATTAGGGAGTGAGGAGGGCAATTACCCCCCCCCCCTCTTGAGTCCAAAAATCGGCAAAGTTACCATTCGGCAATATCTGGTATTTGCTATTTTCAAAAAAATTCTAACATTGATACTTGAATCATTTGGGCCTTGTTTCCAACAGCACTCCTGATAGGTCAAGTATATTGTCAGAGATTTTAACGCAAAATGCCTTTGAATGCCTTCTGTTCAAAAGCTTCCAAAAACAACAAGGAAACGGAAAAGGGGAGAGTCAGTTGTGAAGCAATGTACATGCATGAAACCGGACTGTGTGAGGCCCTAATCTATATAGAGCCTATCAAATATATTTACTAAAGCAGCCAATGCTGAGGGGTCTTTCTCAAAACTAAAGACAAACAAGAACAGTCTGCAGCAACTCAAGGGGCTATAGCTTCTCTCAATTGAAAATGAAGTTGAGGCAAAGAAATAAAAACAAAAATGTTTACAGCTTGATAGACTCTCTTGCAAACATGTCAGAAAAGAGGCTGGAATTGAAATAATTCGAATATAGGGATATCTCATCAAGTGAATTCAAATAAGACTTAAATAAGGGATATCTCATCAAGTATTTGTAAAATTTCTCTGAGGAGGCTTTTACTGATTCCGTTGGGCTTATTATATTATGGTATGGTTTGAGAATTTTGGCGTACTTTGTTGTTATCTTTAACCATATTTTTTTCATATTTCGCAATATTTCGTTTCGTTTCGTTTATTATAATAAGCCTTCCTTTGAACCCTGCTTGTTATATCGTGTGATAACCAACTTCATGGTTTTGCAAATTGTTTTGAAATAGGTTACAAACCAGTTTTGAAAATTTGAAATTTAATATCGTGTATTAGAACGGCTTCGAAACTCAAAGAAAGTTGATTTTGAGTTTACATCAAATTTGAGGACGGTTTAGCTTAGGAGAAGGGCAGTCAGAGGCAGGTTTAGCTTTTGCTGGACCATGAAAGTCATCACATCAGATCTTAGGAATGGTTCAAAACCAATTTTAGTCACACCATTTACCATGTAACAGTCGGCAAATTTCACACTTTTGCCCCTCCTGAAAATTTACGAAAAACCGCCACTGTTCGGAACGGGTCAGAGAACATCAAGATCAGCGCCACTAGAGATCAAAATGAAAGGACAAAGCATCACCGAGTCTAAAAGCTATGGATATGTAGGGGTGACACTGGATATAACCCTTAATTTCAACGACCATTTGAAAAGACATCGCGATCGAAGAAACAAAGATTTGAAACCGTTCATGATAGAGCAAAGCGTGTCATCAATGGAAATAGAAAACGTCATGTCAAGCCTCCCCGGATAAATAATGTTCGAAACAGACCATGTGCATTAGAAGTTTTTAAATGCTTAAACGACATAGCGCCAAAAGCTTTTGAACATTACGTCACAAGGAATAATAACAAAATAAATACTCGCAAAAATAACAAAAGTTCAGTCATCCCAAAAGGACAGAAACTGGACGTAAAGCCTTCTAGTTTGAGGGAGCAAAGATTTTCAGTAACCTACCCAATGACTTGCAAACTGGAGCATCATTTTTTAGATTCAAAGCATCCAGCAAGGCCACAGGCAAGATAATTAATTTTCAAGAAATTACTCGAACATCTCTTAAAATTGAAATCTTGGAAACAGCCTTGAAATAGCAGAAAACACAGAAAGCTGCCCTGGGCTAATTCGTTTTTTGGCTCTTTCAAAAACAGGCCAAAAAGGTGGATTTGGAAGGTGGATTTGGGAGGTGGATTTGGGAGGTGGTTTTGGAAGGTGGATTTGGGAGGTGGATTTGGGAGGTGGATTTGGAAGGTGGATTTGGGAGGTGGATTTGGGAGGTGGTTTTGGAAGGTGGATTTGGGAGGTGGATTTTGGAAGGTGGATTTGGGAGGTGGTTTTGGAAGGTGGATTTGGGAGGTGGTTTTGGAAGTTGGATTTGGGAGCTGGATTTGGAAGGTGGATTTGGAAGGTGGGTTTGGAAGGTGTATTTGGAAGGTGGACTTGGAAGTTGGATTTAGAAGTTGGATTTGGAAGGTGGTTTTGGAAGGTGGATTTGGAAGGTGGATTTGGAAGTTGGATTTGGAAGGTGGACTTGGAAGGTGGATTTGGAAGGTGGATTTGGAAGGTGGATTTGGAAGGTGGACTTGGAAGTTGGATTTGGAAGGTGGTTTTGGGAGATGGATTTGGAAGTTGGATTTGGAAGGTGGATTTGGAAGGTGGATTTGGAAGTTGGATTTGGAAGGTGGATTTGAAAGGTGGACTTGGAAGTTGGATTTGGGAGGTGGTTTTGGAAGGTGGATTTGAAAGGTGGATTTGGAAGGTGGATTTGGGAGGTGGTTTTGGAAGGTGGATTTGGGAGGTGGATTTGGAAGGTGGATTTGGAAGGTGGTTTTGGAAGGTGGATTTGGAAGTTGGATTTGGAAGGGGAATTTGGAAGGTGGACTTGGAAGGTGGATTTTGAAGGTGGTTTTGGAAGGTGGATTTGGGAGGTGGATTTGGAAGTTGGATTTGGAAGGTGGATTTGGAAGTTGGATTTGGGAGGTGGATTTGGAAGGTGGATTTGGAAGTTGGATTTGGAAGGTGGATTTGGAAGGTGGATTTGGGAGGTGGATTTGGAAGTTGGATTTGGAAGGTGGATTGGAAAGGTGGATTTGAAAGTTGGATTTCGATAGCTCTGTTTATAATAACACTTATTCTTTTTGCAAAGATCGGCACAAAAACGGCAAGTATGAACGATAATCAATCTTATCAACGACAGCTCAAGCATGGACTTGAGCCTTTAAAAATTGCACTTAGAGGCATTTCCAGCCCATCCAACAGTAAAATATTAAACTATTACATTTTTTCAATTGGTGAGATGGACCTTAAATTTACTGGCTTGAAAAAAAGCTACGATAAAGAATTACGTTGGTTTTGCTTATTCCTTTCGGACAGAAAAAAATGTTGTAATTTGCAGATTGCCAAATTTGAGAACGCTAATGAAGCACTACCCCCCCCCCCCCCATCCCCCATATGAAACTCAGTTTCCTGCTCAAAGACATAAGTAAAAATAGGGGGACAAAAACAAGGGGAAAGAGAAACGTTTCTCCTTGTCGCTTTCACAATGATTTAATAAATTTTATATAAATAGCTTTGATTCATAGAAGCAAAATTGAAGATAGCAGCTAAATAATTATGATGTTAATTATGTTGATTGACATGTCAGTGGCTGACACCAGTTTAATTTCAATGCAACAGTAGGAAAAATTGGAAAACTCTAAGTATTGATCTAGAAGCAGCTTTTAAAGCCATTGATTTATGTAGGATTCAATTTGCTTTCTTGCTAGTTTAACAGTTTCCGGGTCGGCTGGATTACTGCCTCTGCAATGAAAATAAAACAATTTTTTTAACATAAAAAATATAGGTTGTCATCAATTCTGACTTTCCAAGTTACTAGTTAAAAGCAATATGATCATTGGCATAAATGAATGTAAAAAACATTCAATCTGGGAAACCTAGAATAAAAATATCATAATAATATCGCCTACATGAAAAGAAAAATGCAAGTATCTATAAAAATTGAGAAATAGCCTTCATTTCTCTCTATCTCTGAGAAAGTTTGACCATGGATCTATTTCCATGTAGCGTGTTTATTATTACCAGTAACTTTTCTGCAACGCACTTCCAAAAAACAAGAAGCTTTTATATAAAACATACTTATATAAATGGTTTTTCTGTCAAAGAATTTATGAAAACGACACATACATTCTCCTAGTTATTGAAAGCGAACATGGTAACACTGAGGATTGCTTATTGCTCTTCTTAATGTTCCAGTTTCTTCGTTTAATTATCTAATAAGGTTTTACAATCGTCTCCCTTCTTTTCTACAGCACTGTTCGTATTAGAGATTCTTAGGTCTCGTACCGTCGTTTTATTCTTTGCACTGGACATCCGTTTGTTAGTTTTGATACATTGCTGAGTACTCCATAGTTCTTTTTCTCGTTAATCTACTCTTCTTCATGATAGAGCTATTAATTACTAAAACTAAACCCCTTATGCTTCTATTTACCTACTTTGATCATTTTATCGATTTCATGATAGAGCTGAAGATGGTTCTGAAATGTTTGAATTCGAATCTTTCCTTATTGTCGTAACTGATTACTCTAAATGAATTGTCAAACGTTTTCTAGCATGGGAACAGTCATCAGATTTTAAGCAAAACGTGTTCCTCAAATCAGTGTTTCAACATTCCACAAGCTAAACGAGTGCTACAGCTAGGAAAGTCCTTGTAGGATCTTGAATTCTAAAAAGAGCTCAACAGAGCACATTCCTGCCAGCATAAGGTCCGTCAGGACATACTGTTCTTCATAGAATAAAAATCAAAGGTAACAATAATGACCATCATAAAAGTTACTGTAAATTTTAAAATTTGATCTGTAGTTGTTCACTATTTAAAAATACATTTTAATCCCATTTTCAGTCGCATCCCGAATTACATAGCATAATCGTTGGACAATCGTATCTTGGGGGAAATGGCATCAGTCCTAGAAATCTTTACAAGATCTGTCAAACTCATTAGCAAAATGATAGGCGAATGAATGGAAATTTCTAAATAATGAAATTGAAACGAAAAAATGAGTCCGCAAGGTAGCCACCTTAAATCCAAATGATGTGCTCCTCCTTTGACAAGCACGGCTCGTAAATCTGGAGACAGGTCTTCCAGAACCTGCAAAAAACATTTATTGAAGAAATATATATATAAAAACATTTAAAAACATAGGATGAAAGATTCAGGAACAAGCCTGCCTACATCCAGATACAAAAAGGATTATTTTTCAGCTTGAAAAACGAATTTGTTTAAATCAAACCAATTCCTTTTCTAACTCGGCTTTGATGCAATCACATTAATCTCGGGAATCACATTGCTTTTAGCTGCAGAATATCCCATTTGAAACGTTAAGCATTTGGAAAAACCACTACTTGCAAAAAATTGATTCAAAGTATAACTTACACCACCGGGCATCCATGGATCCAAATCTCCATTAGGGAAGATAATCTTTGATGCGTGTTTAATGTCATCAGCTGAAATTGAAAAGACAAATGCACTAAATTTGTTTAATACCTTGATGTTTCAGTAATTGAACAAAGCAAGCCATCAAGAAATACTACGCAAATCTGGCTAGATTTTTTTTCGATAACTACATCGAACTAAAATGCAACAGAAGGGAACAAGTAACAAGGAAAATGAGGCTTACAAAACTGGAATTTTGATGACAACTAACCTGTTCCCCAAAAGTTTGTTGAGACCCAACTCAGTCTTGATTTACCAAGCAAATATTTTTGGGAACAGTATGCTTCTCTATCTTCTAATGTAAACGGCATGGCTGGAAACATGTCTGTGACGTTTGTGCTTCCACCGGGAAGAATCATCTCAGTGCAAGCCTGGAAGTCGTAAAAACAAACTGATAAAAAATCAACAATTTTGTCGCAATTTCGCACCATGCAAAACTAAATAGAAGGGTCTCTAAAAGGAAGCTAGCAGTGCAGCAAAGACCTTCCAAAAATATAAAACTTAAAAGTTCAGCAAGATGCCACTTGAAAATCCATACTTGATAGTCCCAAGCAATAGCGTCATTTCCAAGGCCACAGCCAGTGGGGTCTGCACAATCCACAAACTCGTCGTACACATTGTGACACTCCTTTTCTTTTCCATAGAGAAGAACTGCAAAAACAATAATCGAGCGCTTCGCTACAACCAAGTAAACAATTTACAAAATAACTTTGCAAAAGGAGGCGGCAAACCTCTTTATCATCAAAATCAATATATTGCTACGTAGTGAAAGTCAATACCAGATAGTAATGTTTACAAAGAAGAAAGGTCTAAAATGCATTGACCAACATTCAATACTTTTATGCACTAAAATAACACGCAAAGCTGCCAAGTGGAGTCCGAATTGGCATACAGTGAACAAAACTTAAAGGAAAATGTATCCATAACATTATCCTAAAATCATAGGCAAATCATTTTTGTAGCTGCGACTGCCATCCTTTCGTCACCAAGAACGAGCATGTGTGACAGGTTTTGCTTTCACTGTCTTTCTCAGCTGTTTAGGAAGTGGTGCTGTCTAAGGAACAAGAGTAAACTTAAAAAAATCTCACATGCTACTTCTGCAAGTGCTTTTAACTTGTCTGCATTCTGTGCCATATAGTTGCAAGCAACGTTGATTGGAAATGCTGGAAGAGGTGCAAGGAATGTGGCTGGGTAGGGGTAATCACCCATTGCCATCAACGTAAAAGCATTCCTAAGCCATCCAATCACAAGCTTCACCTGCAAGATAAACCATTTAAAATTGCCTCGAACAGTTAAAGACATTGCATGGTATCAGCAAACCGATCGGTGTGCGAAAAAAGATACATTTTGCTATGAGCAGAAATCTTGTATAATAAATTGGTATGTGAGTGACGGGGAAAAAAAGCTGAGATATTCTTGTCAAATTTTTGTTCAGCTGGCCATCAATTTTGCAAATTTTCTTCAAAGAAGGAATCAAAGGACATTTGTTCCAAACCACATTTCATCCATCTTGAGAAAAAAGGAAACTAAACCTCTTGTATTTAAAACTTACAAACTGAGGAGTATTTTCAGCACTGCAAAGTTTAAATGTATCTTTGATCTCTTGGATCCCTTGAAAAGAGAAGAAAACATTTGGTAAATCTCTAGCGTTAGATAAGTTCAGAAATCAATAACAACAAACAAATGAAAGAAATAGTACAGTTGAGTATAAAAAGACAGATGTGGAAACTTTTGAAACCGGCGACAAAAGACAGTTAGAACAGGTAGCCAGGGTGGTGAGATTTGGGGGGGGGGCAAAAAGCGAGTTGATCAAGGGAAAATTGGAGTCCACACCTTTTTGAACGCCAAAAAACGCCCTTTTTGCATATATTTTTTGCCATGGTGGGCACCCGCCCCTCTTGCCTCCCTCTCGCTACGCCACTAAGTTAAAACTGTTTTTGTTGAACAATAGTGATGACGAAGTTAGTTCAAGAACCGACAATGATGATGATGATCATGATTCCCAACGATGAAGATAATTATGAAGACGATGTAAATGAGGAAAAGGACGTTGTTGACATTAAAGAGATAAAAAGGATGCAATAATTTGATTCCTAACCTCATGTAAAAGTTTTTCTATGCGAATTCTCAAAAATCATAAATGCAAAAAATTTTGTCTGATTTTGAATTTCGTCGAAGAAAATTTCGTCAAAATATTTGTCCGAAATTTTGTCACGAAGGAATTTTTTTGTAGTTAATCTACGCTAGTTTAAGTCCCAAACTTTGGAAGAAAGTGTAAAAGTATTGAGACTGAACTTATAAAAGGGCAAAATGCTTAAACCAATGGGAAGTTGCTTCAGGACAGCTAGAAAACAACAAACACCCATTGAAGAATTACCACTAACACAACCCTTAAAAGCTCTCAACCTAAAGAATAAAGAACCAGAGGTAGCTGGACCAGTACTGTACACTATAAGGCGATGTTTAAAATTATCCTGGGTTGGAGAAAAGTGTTCGTTCTTTTGAGCAACGATGTGGTAAAGTTGCGATATGTTTGATGGGTATGACCTGGCTAAACGACAGAAATTTTTTATCACGCTTGCACGTTCTAATATTGAATTTACTTTGGTCCTGCAATTAAATTTGCTGCTGCTAAGTTATTAATGAATGGTGATTGAAAAAGTTGAAATGATGCTGAACAGCAGAGTGCTCCACAGTCAAATTTCATTTCGTTTGGCCAAGCCTCCAGGAATTCACTGGTCAAGATATACCAATCTTTATATGAGAAAAGAGCATCAAAAAGTCGCGAACAATTCCTTTTTTGCTGCCATGTTAAATGCGTGGCCAAAGACTGAATAATATCACATCATAAGTTGGTGTCATTTTTGCAATCGTTTGCAGCAATATATCTTAAAAAGTTCAATAATTGAAAAAAAGATATTTGATGAACCAGCATTGGTATTTGATGAACCAGCAACTTTCCTAGAGTTTCTTTCTAAAAAACAGCACAAATCCCATATGATTGGCCTTTAGATGCATAAAGCAGCTCAAGAATAAAAAAGGAACAAAGACATTATCACTATTTTTTAAGGTTACCTATAAACAAAATCAATATCTTATAAGTCATTATGTACCATTGAATTTCTGCACTGTAACCAATAGGCTGCCCTCCTAGCTTTGGGACTTACAACTCCAGTTCTTGAACACAAGGTTGGTAGCTTCTTACCATAACTTGATGAAGTTAATTATCTTAAGTGCCCCCTTGCATAAGCAGCCCCTTCCCATGCAAATAAAAGCCCTAGCTTGAGTATACTAGATTGAATCGAGTTTGCATCCCTGATAAATTGTTGTTGCTCCACTTTTTAGAAACATTGATAGCAAACAATTAATGCAGTTGTGTACAAACATGTGTGCTTTTCATTTAATTGTCCTTGTATACATTTACGATGAAGTGACAAAAATATCAAACCAATATTGCCACAAATAGCAATATTGCCACAAATAGCAAATTTTTTCCATGATTTTTATACTGATGAGGATATCAACACAATTTCCTTTTGCTCCCATCTTAGTGTTGAAAGCTGATTAACTGACACAGACTTAACAATGCAATTTAAAAGGCATCCAATACCTGTCTTCTCTTTCTTAAACAAGTCCAGTAGTATAGAGAATGCTGCTTGGACATTACCAGGGCAATTTTCATCTGCATTCCTACATACCTTTTTGGTGTAAAAAGCAAAAAATTACATGATGCAATTGGTGATACATGAGACAAGTGATTACAATAATTATGATAATACAAGTATTGCAGACAGTGGTTAAGAATTACAACTTCAGAGGGAAAACATCCAAATAATTTGAGTTTTTAAACAATAATTGACAAATACAGGCAACCAAAGTCATAAGGACAAAAACAGCAAATAAAAGCCAAAAAGCATACATTTGTTACAGCTTGGAAAAATTCTGATCTTGGTCTGTTGCCAGCAATCGTATAAAAAGGAGCACTGCTTGCAACTGCAATGTCAACAATATGAGGGTATTTATACCTCATATATCCGCTTAACATTCCCCCATAGCTGGAAAAGAATGTTATTTTTGAGTTAATCCAACAATTGTCAAAAATGAATAGAGATAGCTTCTGATCTTGGTTTAAGTATAATCCATAAGTGAAAGTAAAACTTCAAAAGAAAGGTCATAATCAAGGCTCTCAAAGACTAAGGTACTTGATTGATTTCTTAGAATTTTAGCTTGATATTAGTAAGGAAAATGGCTTGCATGATCATTTTGTTTAATGGAATTTGATAAAAAACTTGCTATCATTGCACTTTAAAAAACAAACCTGCCACCAAAGGATACAATTTTGGAGCCATCAAACTTGTAGAGAGAAGAAAGGGATTTTAGCAAAACTGCATAGTCTGCCAAGGCTTGTTCCATGTTTAGAAAACCAATGTTTTCTTTTTTGAATGAATCTTGTCCAAAAGGTAATGATGACCCATAATATCGCTACAACAAATAAAAGTTCTTTTAAAGCATCTGTCTTTGTTAACACTGCAAAAATAGACATTACTTTAGAACAAATATGTCAAAATTTACAAGCAAACCACCCTGAACTTGGTTTCTCAATTTCAGAACATTTTTTCTTTGCCATATATTTGCTTGGGTACAAGTTAAATTAAACTAAGGTTGTTAAAATAGTATATACAATATGAGACATAGAATACACCAATCGACTTACGACCTTGTTTTGGAAATTTCTCCAAACTTAGTTATTTGACTTTGTTAAGCTCAGATTTGGTTTTATCGTCATAATTTTAGGCGGGATACCATTTTTCATATTGTTTGAGCTTGTATTTTAGATTTTATGGAGAAATGAAGTTTGAAAACTTGTTAGGGATTTGACCGCAAAAATCGTTTAGGGGGGGAAACTTTACCCCCCTAGTTGCCAATCACGGTCAAATCCTTTATAAAGTTTTTATCTTTATGTCGTCATAAAATCAATAACTGAGCAATTTCATAATGAAAACTTACAATTAGACTAAAATCATTGCTCTCAATCTGAATCTGAGGTCAAAAATTGTGTACAAAAAACTTTGAAGAATTTTTCAAAACGAGGCCGTAAGTCGAATTGGTGTATAGTCTGATAGGCAGGACAAAAAGTTCAAATCATCTCAAATGGCTTTTCAAAGAAAAGATTATCTTGATTAATACTGCTTTTAAATTAAATAAATTTTAAAAACACCTTTGATGTGATAATATCCAGTTTAACCCTAAATGTCTTACTTCAGTTGACTTGACAATAGAAACAAATAAAAACTCTTTGACAATATCAACAGAATAATGTTTTGAAGGAAATAAAAAGCATACATGCTCTGCAAAAATGATAAGGGCTTGGTATTTTGCAGCAAGTTCATGAACAAAGCCAGATGCTTTCCAAAAACCATCTATAGGCCCCTCATTTCCAGTATAAAAGAAAACAGGTCCTTTTTTGTTAACCCAATACTTCCCTGAAAAGAACAAAACACTCAATTTAGAACCAGGAATTCAGAATCATCTGAAACTAATATCAAAGCCATTAAAGCAAAAAACCAGGCCAGATCTGTTCATGAGGCACAAAGGTGCAAAGTAGCCAAAGAAAAGTCCAAGCAAAGAGCTTCAATATGACAGATGCAGCAGCATTGGCACTGTAGAGTAACCATCATAACTAACACTGTTGGTATGAAACTTTGTGATACGAAGAAAACAATAAGGTGTTTCTTAAGCTTGAATTTGAATGTGAACTTAACTTTCAAAACCTTACAAAAAAGCTTATGCATTTTCTTAGGAACTCTGGCGATAAAAATGTTCTTTCAAAACCAAATATAGTATTCAAAAAACTTAAGATGGTGATACCTTGGATAAGAAATCTTTGAGAGTAGGTACGATTTGAGCCAGGAGAGGGTCCCAAGTAGTTGAAGTGGTCAATATATTGTACGAAATACTTCTCTTCATATGGGAGAATAGCTTGGTCAACTTGCGAGCTTTTTGGTCTCAAAACACTAGCATTTGCAGCAAGTGCATAGAGAAATATGATGCAGATACACTTTGTCAGCTCCATTTTCGGTCTTTTCAGTTAAACATACACTACCACTTCAGCAGCGCTGACTGAATTCAACTGAATATCATGTGACGGTCCACAATGTCAGGAAATTTCCTGAATTTCAAATCTAACATCACAACAATATATGTTGTTGTTGTTGCTACCATATGGAACATAATGCGACATTCAGGGGCGGCGCCAGGAAATCGAAGTTGGGGACAATGGCGGCTCCAGCCAGATAAAAATGAGGGGGGGGGGTGTGCCAGGGACCACGCCCATTTAGACCATGCCCTTATCCCCTGTTTATAACATTTTCTTCAGGAGGAAACACCTCTTGTCTCCCAAGGAATGTCATTTAAATGTGATGATCTAGATAACGTACATATCCCCCCTCCTCGAAGGTTTCTCGTCAGGTTTGCAAGAATCTCAAAGACCAACTTTCTGAAAAAGTGGGGGGGAGACTAGTCCTCCCATTCCTCCCCCCGTGGGGGCTCTAGGTGATAGCATTATTTGACTAAAAACCGACTTTTGAAAACCTACTTATATGCGTGCTTATGGTTTCATAGGCATTGTTGCCGAGCAGTGGTGTAGTGCTATCAAAATAACAAAGGGGGCTTTTGCACAAAATGTTGCAAGAAACGATAGCAACTTTCGGAATCAACAAGGGAAGCTCCTTGGTTGGCGGCGTGAACAATTTTAAGCTTGACATTCTAAGAATGGCCAGAAAATGCATATAAAATATTTGCAGCATCGATAAAGAACGATTTTCTTTAACAATGACCCATTGGTTGGATTTTGAATTGACACATTTTCTCACGTGTTAACAAAACCGAGCAGGTTTTATCGGCTAATGAACCGTCTAGCTAAAAACCCGATGCAGAACTGTTATTAAGTGGACTTAGAAACATTCATAGTTTGTAGATATACAAAAGCCAACTTTGAAATAAGAACAACATTAAGAATACCCGAGCTTGAAATTATTCAAAAAATAAGAACATCGAGCGTCGGGAAAAATTATCTTGTTCTTATATAAAAGAGTGTAGTGCATCAAATTTTAGAAGTAGGCAAGACTGAGTCAAATTTTGTTGATTCAGGCAATTAACCCAATTTCTATATGCAACAATGACAAACCAACTGTCTGTACAATGCTGCAACTGAACATACTTCAGTAAGAAATCTTTCAAGAATTTTCTATATAAATCAAACTTTGTATACATTTTCATGCAAACAATTCCGAGAATTGGGAGGCAGCGCCTCCTGAGCGCCCACACTACAACCCTGTTGTCGCGAGGTTTTGGAGGCGGTGGGGAAAAGGGACAGAAGGGGCCTCCTGCGAGCGCAGCGAGCAAAAGATTTTCGCGACCACGCCCTTTAGATTAGCCTAAAATGCAAGATTAGCGAAAAAAATGTTCGTGGTATTTCATTTGCAAACAATATTTTCGTGGTGCAGTGAAGATGGTTGCTTTTTCAAAGCCATTTAAAATACATATCAGAACAATTCATGCAGTCATTTTCTTGCAAGCTGACGTTTGAAATTTGACAATTGTAACTTTTTTCAAATTATGCAAATTGCGAAAATCACAAGAATAGATGCCAAGGAACGCAGGAATAAACGCAGGAGGGGCTTCCGCACCGCCAATGAACATAACAGCAGATCAAGTTGTTACCGCAACAGTTCCGTCGAAAAGGGGGGCTGGGGAGCATTTGCCACCAAATACTTTTTGTGCCAAAGATTATTTATTGTTATTTTGTCAAAGTCTAGGAAATTCAATTCAGTTTTAATGCCCGTGGGGGAAAAGTCTGATGTGACATCACAAATAGAAGCTGAAGTGCCTAGAACCATCTTCGCACATTTCTGTGGTCGTCACTTGTACCTTGCTGTCCGTGATATGGCAAAAGAAGTTAAAAAATTTAGGAATGCACTGAGCAAAACGTCAAAAATTTCCATTTTCTTGCAGTCTCACATTCAATTTCCAGTCTCATATTCACCAAAAAGAGGTGCTTTTTCAAGGAAAGAACTGTCCCTGAAACGACAGTTTTCCGAATATTGTGTCCAACAAGGTGGTGCTTCCTGCTGCATCCTTAAAATGTGTAGCCTGCGTGTAGACCAATTACATGTAGTGGCTAAAGGGCCGGCGAAACCAGGGGGCCGGGGGGGAGCAGGGCCAGGGGAGAAATCAGCTGTTGAAGAAAAAGTAACAGCTGGAAAGATCTTTTTTTGAGGATATGAGAAATAAAGTATGGGCAGATTTGTTCTTAAAAAGTATCATCAAGAAAATGTCAGGGTTTGATCGTTTGGATAATCCATTCCTACTAAGAAAGAGAAAATATCGACGCAATTATAAATTCTAATTTTGACAAACCCAGTTTGAAGGATTTTGCAAAATTTTGTTAAAGCGCTTAATTTCCGGAAAAGTTAAGATCAGATGTTTTCTTCTGTTGATATTCCAACGTTAATGTTTTTGATTAACCCGTGTTTCATTTAATTTTCTCCCCCATCTTATTTCGGGTTCTTTTAAAATCCCAAAAAAGGTTTCATAACGCGCTATATGATAGTGGTTATTCTAAAACTTTGCAAAACTTTTCTATTTCAAGTCAACATCACAATAGACGCGACTATGCGACACCTTCAGTCAAAATTAATTTTAGATACAGTTTCTGGCTATCCCTAAAACCGCTCTTACACGGTCAGATTTTGTCGAATATGTAATCCTTTCCTTCGGTGAAGCGCAACTCGTTCAAATGTGTATCGCATGTTCCAAATACAGGACTCTGACTGTGTAAGAGCGGCTTAAGACACCATGATTCTGAAATTTTTCTTGCCGCCATGATGGCGGCCTTTTCTAGGCCCTTTCAAGATTTTGGTATTTTGGCCCCTCCACTTTCAAATACGTTTCGCCGGCCCTGGGCTACATGAAGTGCGATTGACGATTGACAAGTTCTCCAAGAACCATATGATTGCATTCTAGAAATTAAATTAGATCCTAGAATAAGGAAATTATTGGTGTGGAACTGTTTAACTATTAGGGACTTTACGCAGCCAGAACGATAACAATAACGATAACGTTACGGGTCACGAGGTCAGACAGCTAGCGTTTCCGTTCCCGTTGTGAGACAAATCGATTAAGCAAAATCGCGCCGCGTGTGCTAGCCAGCCACAGGGGCATGAAGTTTCAACTTTGGCCGGGAAAATTTATTTCTTTAGGAATTTCAGCCCGATCGATACTTTCTATTCTGTTTTGTCAAAAAACAACGATGCCAAAAAATCAGGACGTAGTAAATGCCTTACTATTCGCGCATAATTTCGGATATATCGATGATGTAGAATTCGCATTGCTTTATGATGTAAATAGGCCTAGAAATTTGGAAATCCCCTACTGGCAGTATGATCAATTCGACCTGGAAAACTTATCAAATGACGAATGCAAAGCTGAATTCAGGGTTTTAAAGGAAGACATTTATAGATTAATAAACGTACTTCAATTGCCTCGAGAGCTTACTATGTACAATAGACTCAAAGTAGATGTAGAAGAGGCAGGGACGAAAACAAGTTGCTAATTTTGGGGGGGCGTGGAAGGATGAAAATTCCAATCTAAGTAAGAAATTTTTTTCATTTGACCAGTAAATCTACTATACCTACCAAATTGTATTTGTAAATAGCCCGAACACCATAGTTCTATTTTCTTTATAATTACCAAAACTTTACTCAATAATTAGCCTAAAGCATAAAAGCCTAAATCTCTAAATTTTGATTAACATGAAACAGACATTTAAACTTACAGTAAGATTTATACAACATTTAAGCAAAACCAGTATTAGATATATTTAATGATTAGTAGTATTCTTTCAGATCAATTGATCAATTTTATCTAAAATACATTTTTTCACGATATAGAAGCACCAAGAACTTGAGCCTTTAATTTTTGTTCTTGATCGAAGAAAACTACTAACAATTTTCAGAGGGCCAAATGCCTTTTCATTCTTTACAATTGAAATGATGATTTGAGAACAAACTTGTGCATATGCCTGATTCGAAAGATGAAACACTCTTCTTTGATCAAATACTTCTACTGCAGTTTTGCAGTGTGTTCTTGCTTTACAGCAGTTTTGTCATAGGAATTTATGATAAGGGTCAAGGGCGTTAACAAATAACAGGGGGAGTTTAGCATAAACTCGTTTTTTATAAGAAGCGTTGAGAATTTTTAGCACTAAAAGATCATTGATCTTTTATTGAATTAACTACTCGTAGTTTCTTAAAAAACTCCCACTCTAATATTTTCTGATCAATACGGGAATTATTATTCCAAACTATAAAGTTTCAAGTTTCTTATCCGGAAATTCACCTTGCCTGTTTGTAATTTTTTTCAACTCCCGTCAGAAAGAAAGCAAACGAGGCAATTGTGCAATTTGGATCCAGTAGAGATGGGATATACAATAGAAAACGATAAGTGGATGGGTCAGCTTCAGCCTGTGAATTTCAATGTTTAGAATTTTTACATTCAAAATAAAAAAACTTCTTAAAATATAAAATTCACATGTTTGGTCCTTAGAAAAAATTCCAAGTCAACCGTTAAGTTTTCCAACTGTAACTGGATTTTCCAAACTTTGGGGGGGCGTTACGCCCCCCACGCCCCCCTATTATTTACGTGCCTGAGAAGAGGGCTTGTGTTTATTGCTGAAAAGGTTTCCATATCCATGCAGATACTTGGACATGGTTCCCCGTTTTGCCAGACCAATATCGGAGATGTGCATCATATTCAATCACATGATGAAGCTTATAAACGATAGATGGGGGTTTCTTCTTACCCGCTTTAACCAGCCTCATTTGTCCTCTGCCAACCTAATAAAGTTTGCAGCTGCCATTCACGCGAAGGGCGCTCCTTTAACAAATTGTTGGGGATTTATTGATGGTACCGTGCGACCCATTTCAAGACCTGGAAACAACCAGAGAATTGTTTATAACGGACACAAAAGGGTCCATGCAATAAAATTCCAGTCGGTTGCGACCCCGGATGGAATAGTTTCTTTGCTTTCTTGGCCTTACGAAGGGAGGAGCCACGACAGTGGTATGCTGAGAAACTCAGGACTCCTCCCCCTCCTTGAGCAGTTTTCTGTTTCTCCAGAAGGGCAAGTAATGTGCCTATATGGGGATCCTGCATATCCGCTGCGGCCCCAATTACAAGCCCCATTTAAAGGGGCACAACTAACAGCAGAGCAGCAGCTGTGGAATGCGAGAATGAGCTCAGTAAGAGTAAGCGTCGAATGGCTCTTTGGAGACATCATAAACTATTTTCGTTTTGTTGACTTTAAAAAGAATTTAAAAATACAATCAAGTGCTGTTGGCAAATGTACAGAGTATGTACACTGCTTAAAAATGCAAGATGCTGCTTATATGGAAGCATGACATCTGAGTATTTTGTTTTAGATCCGCCTCAAATCGAGGACTACTTTGCTATTCCTTGAAAAACAGATAAAATTTTCACAGACAACGATATTTTTTATGACAGAATCTAGTTAAATTTTAAAGAATCATGGCAAAGGAAAGTATGACATTGAAACTGAATACAGAATATGATATGAATATAAAAACTTTTGATTAACAACTGTAGATAACTGAAAATGACATACAAACATTTTGTGAAGGTTGAGGAAATAATGACAAACGCGACAAAATGATTATAATTATAAGCATTATCTTATTGATATCTTAATTTTTTTGAAATGTTGACACGTTTAATTTGTATATTTAGCAGCAAAATGGCTTTTAGTTTAGCGCGTAGAATTTACAGTAGTAATCATTTGTCTAATAATTTTTCTCAAGCCTTCTCAAAATGTCTGTTAGCATTTGACTATGATGTTGTTGATTTTGCAGCATCTGCAACATAATCTGATTTTGCTGCTGCAAATGCTGCTCAATCAAATCCAACCTCCTTTCCAAATTTCTCCCACCCAAGCCCTCCCCATCCCTCCCTCTCTGCTCCTCTATAATTGACTCCCTTTGCCTTGCATTTTCCTCGATCTCTTTTTTTCAATTCTAGCTCCTCTCTTTTTATCTCTGCATCCTCTCGCATTTTTTTCTCTAGAAATGCAAAGGTGTCATTGCCAATCGACTTCGTGTTTCTAACTTTTTTTGTTTGCCATCTCCTGCTTCCTCTTTTCTTCTTTTACGGGTCTCCCCCAATGTTTCCAATGACTGCTGTCGTAGTTCTTTTGCCTTCTCCACATCTTCTACTCTCTTATCTACCTTTTCCTTCTCTGCTGCCTGTTGATCAAATGCAGCTGACGAAAACACTTCAAGAAGCTCATCTAGCAAAATGTCAACTTCTGTTATTTCTGGCGAAATACCGCTAGCTCGCTCTTCTTCCCGGTTTACCACCTTTCTTTTCTCTATTAAGGTCTGAAAATTCTCCCTAACCGACCGTGCTGTGCATTCAAAGTTGGGAGACTCAATCTTATTCAGCCTGTCAGCTATTTGCTTCCAACCATCTCCTCTTTCCATACTCCCTGGCTTTGTCATCCAAATTTCAGAAGCGTTTACATCTCGCAACATCAAAATGTCATGCTCCTTCGACCATTTGAATCTTTTGCTAAAAATCCAACTATTTTTTAGGGCAGTCAAGCTGAATAAGGATGATTGAGAAAAAAATTCTTGGCAAAAACCTAGCTTTAGAGAAAGAACAAATGTTCCCCCCTCCCCCAATAAATCGTTTCTGGTCAACATGATTACACTCTTTTTTATAAGAACCAGTAAATATGAGTTCAAGTTGATTGTTCTCAATTTTTTCGAAAATCTGAGGCTGGATTGTTCTTAATTTATTCTTGAGTTTATATGGTATAAGCAGTGCGATTTATAGCTTTTCGTTCTGGGGTGGTGTTCAAGCCTCTTTTGCCAACAAAGTGCGTGAGACAACCTTCATTTGCTGCCGTGTTTGAATATTCACCGAAAAAGCACCAAAATATGGCTAAAAATCTCGTTTTTGAGATAAAACGTTGTTCAAAATTTCATTTTACAGTAGCTCAGTCACAGGTTGATCTTAAATTGTTCTTAACTTTTGACCAATTTTGAGGCTCGTGTTCTTATAAAATTGCTCTTTAAAAGAAGACTGTAATAGGGCCCAGTTTATAAAATACAACATTATTTTGTTGCTAGAAATCCCTAAATCCTTTTAATCTAGACCAAGTTGAAAAGGGGGCTTTAGTAAAATTCATTTTTGTTTTGAAATGTAAAGATTGATAGCAAAGAAAGTGGTATGGCCCTTACTGCTCGATCAAAGAGAAAGAATTTCGTAAACTTGAAGAATCATACCTTTGTGTCTTGACAGCAGCTGATATAGACGCCATTTTTAACGAAAAGTTGGAGAAAAATTGAACAAACGTAAAATGACTAGACAAATTTTCTAACGTTTTGCCAGAACGCTAACCAGGGTGAACTAAGGTTGTAGGAACAATAGGGCAGGACGGGAACGGAAGAGGCCTCCCCGCAAAAAAATGCCAAATATGCAAAAGCGTAGGCGTCCCTCCAAAAACAATAGGGCGATGACGCACTAAGGTTATCGTTACCGTTATCGGTCTGGCTGCGTAAAGTCCCTATTTTTTGGTGTAAACTTTTGTTGGCGTAAAATATTTTATAGAAGCATTTCTCTTACGCCAAAATATTCATGTTTGTCTGCTTGGAAATGCTCTTATGTTGCCAATTTAACAACGAAAGTATTAGCATAGATGCTTTTTATCTTTTTTTTGGAAAATTCAAAAGGCGTACAGCAAAAAGGCGCACTACCTAAAAGAATCAACTTAGAGATAAACAATGATAAGTTACGCGAAGCCAACAGTATCCAATACCTGGTGTGACAAAAATCTAACTTGGATTCGATAATGAAATAGCTTAAGCCTAGCCATCCTAGATAAACTGAGATATATCACACCCAGTAGTGTCCTTCTCAATACAAACAATGCATTTATTGCTCCTCACATTATAAATTTGTCTCATAAATTCCTTTCAACATTTGCCTTTCAACAATTAGACTGTACAGATTCCTACAAAACCCCGGGAATCAGCACATGGAAACTTCTTTTTTCTAAAAAGCTAAAAAACATTTCAAAAGTAACTTTGTTACAAATCTAGGAGTTAATAACATGGAATGACATCCCTCCTTACATTAGAAATCCAGAACAAGAAAGTCTTTCTGTAAGCATCGTAAGAAATTTTTATTTCAAGACTACAGACCTATTCGGTAACACCTCTACTAATCTTTCTGTTTTTACTTCAATTCTTTCTACTCTTTCCTCTGCCCACACTTCATGTTTTTTTTCTTTTTTATTGTGATTTATTAAAAAATTTATACTTTGTTCATTAATATGCATATGCCTCTTCGATTAGTATATTTCAATCTTATTTTAGCAACCACATCTTACCAAGGGCATGCAGCTCGAAAACTCTGAGGAGTTATTTTTGTATATCCTCTTCAGCATTGTTAATCTGAAATTTATTGATGCGCATTTTTCTGTAACCTTATTGTAATTATACCCAATTAAGCTTCGTGCATTTTTTGTTGCTATGCACATAAGCTAATGCTGAAAATACATTTGAAATGAAATTAAATGAAATAAAATAAAATGCAAAACATCTTCGTGCCTTGTCGCTGCCTCACAATTATTTTCCAGAAAATTGTAACTTTAGCCAAGTTCCTTTTTGTTGTACCTGCTACAAATGCCATTAGTGGAAGTTTTTGCTCGACTTTGAGAAGAATAAAAACATATATTCGAGCAACGATTATCCAAGAATTACATAATCACACCATGATCTTGAATACAAACAGAGAAGAATATCGCTAACTTTGTCTTCTTGACGTTGCAATTGAATTCTGCAGGAAAGCGTCGAAATACATTTTGTGTATTTAACAGCAAAGCTTTTAAAAACTACATTCCTCTAAGATTTCTGTAGCAACACGCAGACCATTCAATATATTTTTCCTTTTTTGCTTAAATTTTAGTTATTTTGAAGTTTTAAAATTGATAAGTGCCCTTTTTGCGTTGCCCCCTCCACCGTAAGACCTTCCGACGGCCCTGCACAATGAGGATTGCTTACCTGAAGCATCTAAGAAAATTCATTATGGGCAATATTGACCTAACGGTGGAGCAAGGGGATTTAACAACCCTTTTTTAAAAAAAACTCAATGTAATTTCACTGCTATTCGATCCTTTACCCATATTATAAGATCTTTAAGGAATTTGAGCTTTCAACGATTTAGAGATTTTTCGAAGATTTCTTTAGATTTTAAAAACGATTCTACAGATTTTTCAAACTTTCTGTGTATTTTTGACATTTATAAGGAATTTTTGAGATATTGTTAAGACTTTTACTTGCTTTTCAGCAAAGTGTACGATATGTATTCAGTGATTTGCCCCTCGAAGATGAGCAGCCTTTTGGCAACTTTAGAAGATTCTGTAAGCAATTTTTTGAGCGACTCGGGCAGGATCCGTTCTGTCTCTTCCCTGATAAGGGTCAGAAAATTCTTGTCCCCTATTTTGCGTCAGAAAATGGCCAGAAAAAGGCAGAATTTCGGAGATACGCTATTGATGTTAAATTCAGCAGTAAGACAACTTACACAATTATAACGTCAGAACTTGAAGAATTTAACGCATCAGAGTAATTGTTTGACACTGGGCTAATTTGTAGCAAATATTTACCTGAACAGTGTCACTACTCCTTATGTATAAAATTGCAACAAAATTAATTACATTACTCGTCTTAGTTTCCACAATATCAAAATCCAGCAGTTTTAAACATTTCAATTACCAAGAACTACATAATGATTGATCTGTTCATTTTCAACACAGAAAATTAAAAAATTTACTATAAAAAATAATTACAAGGGGGAGCCTTAGGGGGAAAAATGCTTAAGGCTCCCCCTTCCTAGCGACTTTCACAGGTTTGCGAGTATATCTTGCGTAGGAGTGCGACAATAATGTTAGCATTGTTCTTGCCTTTCCAAGGCTAATACGCGATTTGGTCAGCCCGCGTAGCAGGCTTTCTGTTAGAAAGTATATTCACTAATTCAAAGCAGATGAAACAGCCTTTTCAGTCTGCACTTGCATCAAGAGCTTGAAACAGACGATAGGTAGCAAGCGATGCATCATTACAATTGCCATGCCAAGTTCTCTAAATCACACACTACGCAGTAGAGGATCACTGTATATTTCTCTTCCAATTTTATAACAAAAGTATACTATCAATCATGATATCATTGAATTAGAAGAGTATTATCTTGTTTAATCAGAAAATATTATCAATCACTTTTGGCATCAACTACAAATAGCCTTTTGTATTTGAATATGGCAACACGTGGTTTAGATTTGTTGCAGTAAATAAACGCCAAAATAAGAGCCATCTGACTTAACTATATAAGACTGCCTGAGGAAGGGCCATCTTGTAACCCATACTCTATCACCACTGAGCAGCCTGAAAACGCCACCGACATACTTCGTTGATTTATCATGCCTGGGAGCTGTCCATGTCGTGAGGCCCATCATAAGAGCGTTATTATTGCTCATTACCAGGTGTTGACCAATTTTCCCCTTGGACTCGTAGTACATCTGTAGAAGTTGTCAATCTTTTAATACTTAGGGCTTTACTACCTACAATGCATTTGACCGTCTACATGCAATCCAAAAGCAGGGCTGCTTACGGGGGGGGGGGGGGAGGCGGGTTGCTTGGTGGGACAACAATCTGCTGAACAATGAGATTTAGCCACAGAGATAACAATTCAAAAACAGTGTACAGAGAAATTATGAGGGTTTAACTCGTTCAAAGCCAGAAAAGACTGGTTGTGGGAAGAAATCCTTGCTATGATACTCGTGTCTCTGAATGAGCAGCCTCTCTTAGGATTGGTGACAACCGTTCTGCCCATGACCCCTGCCTAAATGTCTTCGTTAAATGTTCTGACAACAGGCTTTCTTATCCGTTGGTTTCCATATTAAGGATCGAAGTAAGCATACATAACATATTTTCTCACATCTAGGTGGTAGTAAGAAACAATTTGACTGACGCCATAATAATAAACATATAGCAATCTAAATAGATGCACGTTTTAGGTGAAAAATAAAATATGTATGCTATCAGATTGCTTGCAAAAGGAAAGCCCCCAAAAACGAAGATTCTTTGTTCGTAAGGTAGGCTGTAGAGTGAAGATCGGTAGTAACCCAAACTTTGGATCCTGCATTCAGCTTAAAAACACCTCCAACATAGTTAGTAGACCTTCCAACAAAGGTTGTCATTCCTTGCAACTTGATTTTGCTGTCACTCATTACCAAATGATGATTCATAACCTCCTTTGTCTCGTAGAACATCTAAACAACGTTGACTAATGTCAGGATGTACAGGTTATATGAGACTATGTACAGATCAGCTTCAGAGCATTACTATATCCTTGGAAAAGTGCTCACAAAATGGCCTTTGAGTGTCTTGTGATAAACTACTAAATTAATTTCATGTCTGGCGATTAAATGAAAATTATGAAAGCATAGGAGACTTAATCTTAAAACACCAATTTAAAAGTACGACCTCTTGAAGTACTTCAAACAATTTCACAGCAAATTTTGACTAAAGATTCGGACCTGGGACCAGAATATTTTAATCTAAATATTTTATAATGCTTATGCTTATCATGCATGGTTTTATCAAAACCATGGTAAATTTTAGAACTTAAAAAATCTTCCAGTGAAGTTTGGAGTAATTGCAAAAATGAGACCGTATATTTAATTGGCGTATTCAATATTTCTGCATTGACTAAACCACGCTTCAAATGTGCAAATTCAAATTCCAATCATAGTACCTTGATAAGCATATGTACAATAGAACAAGCTCTTTTCAAAATGGGATCTTATCGATCTCGCGTGTAACCACCACAACAGATAAAAAGATAATGTTATGCTACAAGAACATGCAGAATCAAAACAGGAAGAAGTATTACAAAAAATTCCATGACCTTTAAAGGCCTAGGGGGAGGGTTCCCCTATTAAGGCCTGATTTGAGGGGGTCTTGTCGATTTGAGGGTCTTACCAAATGGCTACCAAATGGCCCAGTTTCGATAATAACACAACGGCTTAACTTAGCTTGCGATTTATTAAAGACAATGAACAGGGTCTTTTCATTCCCGAATCAACAGCAGTCAATTGCGAAGAAATTTGTCAAAGAAGGACCACGACCAGGCGCGTACAAAGAAATGGATGCTACCAATGACATAATTGCCGTCCTTGTGCTACCATTCGAGGGTTATTGTCAAAAAACACTACCATTTGAAGGTTATTTTTTAACATTATAGCTTTGGCCCTCTTTGACCCTGACTGGACCCCCTGTTAGGCCATAATGGGAGTAGCCCCCGGGCTTAAAGGCTGCAAGCACAATGGTGATTATTTACAAACTGGCGTTCACTGGTATAGTTTACATTGTAGAGCAATTTTAATCTCCGGACTTAACAAAAAATTAGCCTTGAAACATCATAAAAATCAATATATACATTATACAAACTTATACAAACTTGTAAATGGCTTTCAGTTTCGAATCTAATTAAATGTGACAGGGCCATAATGACGTACACAATGATGAATGGTCTTTGCCCTGACAGCCTTAAAGGTAAATTTATTACTAGATCAGAGATATCCAGGTATTCGACAAGGAATCAGCTTGATATTGACATCCCAAGGCAAAATTTGGAAATCTCAAAGGGAAGTTTCTTTCACTCTGGGGCCAAAACATGGAATGAGATTCCAAGAAACATCAGAATGAGCCCCACAATTTCCATTTTTAAAAGAAACTTGAAGGGATTACTACAAAGTTAATAAATTCCCAAAACACGATCCCTAGGTAGAACAGCAACATCTTTATTTTATATAATTAAAGAATTAATTTGTATTAGAAGTAGTTTATTTATATTATAGCTAATGGAAAATTCGTGTATAAAGATTTTAAAATGAACAAAAAAAATGAAATGAAACACCAGAATGTTGAAAGACAAATAATCGATCAGAAATGATTTAATCGAAAAATTACAAATGCACAAGCTTTGGTACATCAATGATAAATTTCAACTTGATTTTGGGTGCGATTGTCATTCTCAGGCTTCGATAGTTGTGCACAATTTCCATACAAATTGCTCGTAACCACTTGTAACAAGAGTGTTCGAAAGCTCAGAAAACTGCAATGCCCGTTATTGGTATAGCAAATATGCGCCAAAGTATGTCGACCCTTGGTGCAACGTATACTTGGTGGCAATGCCAAAAACACTTATTTGGTCGCCTCGGATCAATCGAAAAATGCCTCCGGTAAACTTTGTGCTTGCATTTTTGTCGAATATATGCGTCGGTCTTTTAAAAGTTTCAAGTCCCAAGAGAATCGGTTCGTGGTCATTTTTTTTCACAATATGCCGGTTAAACTTAAATCTACCAGAGTAGTGAATCTGCAGAAAAAATTGTCATTAATACGGATCAAAGTTTTCTTTTCATGCTAAACCAACTTGCACGTACGGCAAATAGCCTGTGGTGCCCGCAGCTAACACAGTTGCGTCTAGCATCGACACTCGTTTTTCGATTGAATATTCTGAAAGCACTATAGCTCTGTTTACTACACAAACTATCATGGGTTCGCCTTATGTCAAAAGTAACCTGGGTTCAACCCTGATGCGTTTTCACTTGAAACTGTCGATTTTGTAGTGTAAACGGAATCAAGGGTGAACCTTGGTTAGCTTGATAACGACGCATGCGTAACACAAAAAATTGAAGGTGAAAATAAACAAAATGGCGCAGCCATTGTGTAAATTGTTTGTGAACTTTACAGAATACACTAAAACGACTTTAAAAACAATTATTCCGACCGCAGGCTTCGTAAAATGAGAAAACTTCGCATTCGCTTTGTTCTGTATTCGGCGCCGTTTCTGTAACTGCGCATGCGTCCTGAAGAAACTAACCCAGGTTCGCTCCAGGTTTGCGTTTACACTACACTTTATCAAAACCAACCCAGGCAGGACCGGGTTAGTTTGCGTTTACCCTACAAAAATCTAACCTGAGTTAGTTCTAACCTGGGGCGAACCCAGGTTAGCCTGTGTAGTGTAAATAGGGCTTATGTCTTAACAGGGCTTACTATATCAGAATGAAATGAAAAAGAGAAAATTCGAAAAACGGAAGAGGCAAGATGTTTTTGCTACAGTTAAAGCGTGGTTTACTGCAAATGCAGAATAGACTTATGAATCTCGTTTTCTTTAAATCACAGGTTGAATTCGCAACATCCTGCCTGCTGAATAATTACATTTAGTGTTAAACAAAAGAAAGACGGCATTAGCAAAAAAACAAGGAGTTTTTCGATAAGATTAGACAAAAGAATATCCCTTGACCATCCTTATTGCTTCTCTATATGAGCATGAAATATAACAGGGAGCTTTTAAATTGCTCTTCTTGGTATAGAAAAAGCGCAAATCTAACTCACCTGACAATAAACATAGTAATATCCAGTGACCCTGATTTTTATGTATCCATTATCGTATCGTATTTCTCCATGATGAGCTTCCGTCTTCCAAATCTTGAATCTAGCATCTTCTGCAAAGGGGTTTCAAATGTAACATAGCATTCGTACATGGTTAGCATTCGTTTTATTTGATTTATTTTGAAAATTTATTTCATTACATTGGATGCTCGCCATCGTATTGGTTTGTTCCTGAATATCTTTCTAATGTAATATTAGTTTTAAAAAATAAGCAATTAAGCCTTTAAGAAAATGCATTATATAAATGGGTATAAATGGATGTGACTGGTGATAAGAAACAATGTTTCCAAAAACATGTCGAAGATTTGTGCCAAAAGGCTTCACGTGCTTGCTCTTTTCACTATGTCATTGGTCCTATCATAGTCAGGTCCTATCGAACCAAAAACCGTAACGAATACTAGCATTAGGTCGCAATTCAGTTTCACTTTGTCCACTTATATTGATACAAAATGGTACGGAAGCTAACTATTCAAAGTTAAATCGCATACACGAAAGAGCACTGCATGCAGAGATAGTGAATCAGATATGGAGAGAAAAGTTGTATGAAACGTGCGATATTAAGCAAAGAATTCAGGCAAAAATCCAGTTATAAGTGATTAAACTGGAAAATCTAAAACACCTACGAACGTAAATAATGGGATTTTAAGGAAGATAGCAAAGTAAAACATAATTCTGGACATTTACGATGATGGTACAGACCGTTGTTTTGGAGGATCTATAGCGTTTTTTCACAGTACCTAAACATTTTTAAACAAAACGAGTTTATCGATCTGATGGTGACTACTTGGTTTGTTCTTATTTGTGACTTGTTTTTTTATGAACCTTAAATTTTTGGTGTACCTTCGCATACAAACTGGCAAATATTTGAAGCAGATGTTTTTACGAGGTGTATCGGTATGCTTCACTGCCTCCCAAGAGTGTTTTCCCTCTAGCGTATTCTATACACCTCATTGGTCAGTTGAATTTGGCGACCCAGCCCCAGATGGACGAAAATCGATTTTCCCTCACCTTTTGTTTTTGCAGTTGTCAAATCTAGTGTCGGACTGCCAGCTACTCCAACTCCGACCAGGTGAATCAGTTCAGACGTCTAGAAGTGGCAAAGATAAAGAATTCAACAGAACACATAACGCATACTTCCTGTAGCAAGAGGATTTATTTTTTTTCATTTTATATTATATTCTTTATACACAAAAACCTAGTTACATTAATACAATTTATGTACAGTTAAAGATAAATTATGCACAGTAATCTATACAGCAGCTGCTCTTCCAGGGAGTCGTGTTTTATGTTGTGTTCAGCTCGTATAATAACTTTTCAATTGCTTTTTTAATTTACTAAGTGTAGGGAGCTCTCTGATATTGATGGGAATATCGTTCCAGGCTTTCAGAGCCGAATAGTGAAAGCCTTTCTTGACGTATTCAAGGTTATTTCTTGGGATTTGAAGGTCCTTGCAATTCCTTGTTCTGTAGTTGCTGGCTCCATTGTGTGAGTAAGGGCCTGTTTACATGGAAGCGAGTTTCCCGGCTAATCATGTTTCCAGGTTAGCCTAGTTTCCCAGCATGTGTCGGAAATCGACAGTTTCTCCCTTAACCGTTTACATGGACAGCCGGGAAACTCGGCCCTGGATGGTTTCAATAAACATTTCCAACAACTTGAGCCGGATTTTGATGATAAACTTATGTCTTAGCCTGTTTTCATTTCATCTGCAAGGAATTTGTGATCTTGTTTTGGCTTACAGAAAGCAAGGGATGATATTCTGTTAAAATATCTTTTGCTGAAAGAAACAGGATTATCAGAAACTTGAGATACAAAAAAATGCCAAAATGTTGAAAAAAACACTTCACATGGTACTAAACATGCGTATGTCAGACTATTTTATCCCAGTAAGGGCGGGAATTTCGGCAAATTTTTTTTTGTAGATTGTTGGTTTAAATTAGCTGTTGTATTTAGCTATTGTGGATACCAACTTTAAATAATGTAATAATAATGGAAACTTTTCATTTTGAATTCCAGTTAAAACTACAATTACAAATCTCACTATTACAAGGTAATTTGTAACTGGCTAGCCTGTTTTTACAAAATAAAAACTATTACAATCGTAGTAATGAGAAAAGAAAAAAATTTTAAAAGGGGAGTAGCTCTGGATTAGTCCAAGTTTTGTTTTTACAGCAGAAAATGGCGCCCAACTACATGTGTTGGCCGGGAAATTTGGCTGACCGAGACCCCGCCTGTGTCTGCCGGCATCCCGGCTGGCTGAGTTTCCTGGCTGTCCATGTAAACGGTTAACTGAGAAACTCGGTTAGCCGGGAAACTCGCCTCCATGTAAACAGGCTCTTGAAGATGCATTTCCACAGCACCGCTTAGATTGACGTCACCGCTAAGATTAGACTTTGCTATGTTACTTCCATTTTCACAAATGACACGCTTCCATTTTCAAGAGGGCTTAGCTATAGACAAAAGGCTTCGAACATGGGATGTTGCAATGCAAGATATCCCGCTCGTCTCTTATTTTTCATGCGTACTATGAAAGATCCCTCTGGTACCAAGAAAACGCAAGGCCTAACGATACCAAAGTTGAATGGAGACATACTCCGTTTGTTCATGTGACAATACTAAGCCTGACCCAAACCAAAAGAAAATAACTTCAAATTCAATATGCGTCGTAAGTCCATCAATATGAGTTCGGTTAGTAGATCCAATAATTCCACAAATTTCCATGGGAATGCAAGGCTAAAGCGCGCCAAAATTTAAATGGTAAAAAATGGGATCCACCCTGAGAGTGGATCCTTTACGATCTAGTCGAATGACTACATGTGAATGGTTCTCAATTGTGAAGATTTCTTGAGTATCAGGAACGTTTTAGCATGAAACGTACTGATGTTTCTTAGCAAATTTCAAAACATTAACTTAGGACCGATAAAAAAATGCAAGGCTTTTTTAATTTGATTAAATTATGCTTCTGAAACAATATGTGAAACAGTAATGACTAATTAACTGGTTATATAGAGTGCATTTCTTACCGGGGATTTTCCGCTATCACCTGCAAGAAAAAAGGAGATAAGTCTAATGTAAAACACAGCACATTTATAATAGAGCGTTTAAACTATATTCTATATTTTAGGCAGGGATATAAATGAAGACTTGGTTTTGTGAATTTCTAATCAAAGGTAATAGTTTTGTGAAATTCCACGACATAGCAATCGTGTTATTATGTAGTCTGGAAATGAGGCGGGTCGGCTGAACAAGCAAAATAAAAACAAGCAAAATAAAACTCATCTATTCCAGCAAAACTCAAATCACAAAAACCTTGTTCATACACATCGACAACTTGGTTTACAAAAGCTATTTCAAGGTATGTAGAAACAAGTAAAATGCCAAAATAAACACTGTGAGAGTAAGAAGCAGTTGAAATAAAAACGTCTGTTCTCGCCTTTTTCACCCTTGTCACCTTTTTCTCCTTTGCCACCTATTTTACCGCTAGCACCTCGGTCACCTTTCTCTCCATTTGGACCTAAAAACGTGGAAAAAATAAATTTCAGCAACGTGCATCCTAAAGTTTTTAAAGTCATCAGTTGATTCTTGAAGACAACTCAAATCGAAAGAACATCGGTCTTAAAAATTCAACTTTCCCCATACAAGACCAGCCTATACAAAATTTAAGAGACAATACGCACCATCTTCGTCAAGAAAAATTTATAAGCATTGACAATTAGACAATAGCAAAACTAAGGCGTGGCATAGGATGAAAAAGACGGCAAAAGATGAAAAAGGAGGATGTAAAGTAATTGCCCGCACACATTTTTTACCTCTAGTATCATTAAGCTTGTTCAACCAGCAAAGAAAAAGAAGAATCGCCACATTAAGGAGATTCAAATGCCATTCTAGGAACCGCATCACAGAGGATTTCACCTCAGTTTTAAAAGAATGTTTCGAATAAAAGTTCGCCACTCTCATGTCATCATTTTTGCAAATATGCAGTAATTTATAGTATCAGTAATTAAACTCACCTCGTGGGCCAACGTTTCCTTGTGGACCTTTAAAAAACAATTAAAATCATGGTTTGATGGTTCTTAAGATTTCTTAAAAAACAAGCAATGATTTTGATAAAAGTTTTATCATAAATAAAATAATCCATTTATTAGAACAACGAAATTCAGAGAAAGCGAAATAGAGAAAAACGGAACTTGGTCTGTTTATGCCAGGTACTGTCAAGGATATTATTTTTAAAAGAGACATTGTCTCACACCTGCTTTTCCTCTGACTCCAGGATCCCCCATTTCACCCTTCGGCCCCCTTTCACCTTTCTGCATTCTTTTACCTTCAAGAATAAAAGGCTAGTTTTTAGACGCTGTAAACTGCAATATTTATAGCAATAGTTGAAAATAAGTCTAAACATTGGTTGAAAGCGGTTAAACTTCAAAAATTTCACTTATCAGACTTGGCACAAATGCTTTTTATGCAACAAAACTTATTTGAATTTACTTTATTAAGAATGAAAGAAGAGTATAATCATGATACACACCAACAAAAAATCACTAAGGTTATAGGAGAAGCAAAAAATTCGGCGACAGAATGCCCCTAACCCAGGGGAGTCCCTTTAAGGCAAGCCCCGTAGACACTGGGGGCAGGGGGCAATGCCCCCCAATAATTTGCGAAAATTGTGTTTGGAGATTAAATAAGGAGCAGCTTGATCTGACAGTATTCGTAAGGCAGGTAAACTGGATATCAATGCCCCTCCCCCTCAATCCAGTTTAGCTATCTACGGGTCTGGTCTCTTATGATGCGCTACTATTACCTTTTGTCTAGCTTTTATCAGCTAGCACTTGCAGAAACAATTTAAATTGTTGTGGACCAGGCTCGATAAGCTCTGCTGTTCAAGGAGCTAAACTATTGTATATGTGAACAAAATTCGCTTATGTAGCAATTTATAAAAAAGAATTTAAAAGGGCAAGGGAATGGGAGAGCCCTGAAATGAGAAAAGAGGTAATGAGAAAGGGGGTGAGAAAATTAGAGCAAAGTAAAGCTCTGGAGAAGAGATAAGTCGGACGATCAAAAAGAGATCAGTGGAGCTTGATCTGCAAGAGCTAGAAATACAAGGAGCCCAATGAAGGTACAACCAAGATAAACGAGGAGTCGATGAAAGTCAAATTCACAAACCAAATCGAGTCTACACCTGGTTTGTGAAACAAAGAGGCTTCTCCAGTTCTGTCATGTGACAAAACTTGGCACTGGCACCTTTAGCAGTTGTCTGACCCGCCCCATAACAACTAGAAATGATTAAGTTTTTATCAGTACTTTTAGCGCATCTTTGACCATATCACAAAGTCCAGAAAAGTTGTTAGCCTTCCTCCAGACAAAAACATCCCAGAAGGTAAACCCTCCTTACAAAACAATAGAAAGTGGGCGTGTGAGGTAGGCTGGGGTGTGTGATAGGAGCTTCAATTGTTTTTCGTGGACCTTCCTCCGGTCAGTGGCCGTGCGACCGTAATGTTTTCCTAACTCTGCCATAGCATAAAGGAAAATCCTGTCTTTTTATCTTCAAACGGGCTTTAGATATTAGAACATCTTCCATAGTCTGCCGCGCCATATATTCTAATTTCCAGTGAAAAAAAAACACGGAGTCACACATGAGGATTCCAGGAAGTCACGTGTCACGTGCAGTGGCATAACAGACTAATATTATTTCTGGTTCAAAAACGTATTTTTGGTGCAAAAATTTTGGCTACGTTATTTTACAGCTGGTATTCTAGATTGGATAAACGAGTTATGGGGCGGAAGCCTGCATGATATTTCAGTCTAAATGAATGGAAAGGCAGTCGTTGAATCTTAGCTTCATTAGTATTTCAGTCATTTTAAAATGTCAATTACTTCCCAACTGGCTACAAATAAATGCTAGAAAGAATTGTTTCAGGCACTTGGCCGTGGTATTAGGGTAAATACCTGTCACCGTAAGGGTACCTATACAGATTACTAAGCAGTGGCAGGGGGGCAGAGGGTCAAAGTAGCGCCTCTCATTTAGCTATCTTCAAATTTTCCTTCAAAGTTTTGGAAATATGCAGAGCTATATCTATCTATCTGTGGCGTACTGAAAGACCTTCAATGAGGGGTGATAGAGAATTCTCAAATACTCAGATGAGCAAGTTTCCTTTAAAAACCATTCTCACAAGTGAAAATCAACGCGCCCGACACGAATTTCATGATATCATGTCGATCCTGCAAGCGGTTTTTGAGTTATTGAGTTCATTTCGCTTGTTTGGTTAAATATCACTCTTTCAAAATTGTTCAAAATTAATCTCGGTTGGGCAAGTTTACATTGATTAAGATCAGGGGCGAAACTTCACTATTTTCATTAGGGGGTATGAAGCTTAGATGCCCGACAAAAGGGCGTGTCATGCTTGATGAAAGGGCTTGTCATGCATGAACTTCATTTTGAGGGCACATCGTCCCCAGGGCTGAAATCATCGGGGACCCCGAGAGAGGGTCACTAAATATGTTAGTCCTTTAGACTCAAGCTGTTTGCTTAAAGTCAATAAATATGCCTTTGGCTATAAACATTTGTTTCCGAAAAGCAAGCATTTGTAAGGCCTCTCTTTTCTATAAAAGAAAGAATAGTCTTCACTTTCTAAATCACCTAGCTATTAAGATAGCAATTTAAAAAAGAGGTTGAAGTAGGGTCTCAATTTTATCAAAGTGGAGCAACAAAATATAGCTTGGAAATCTCGGAATTTAGAAACAGCTACGCAGACTACAATGTTTCAACAAAAAAGAGCTTCAGTTGCATTTTCTGAGTTTGATTTTCAACTTTCCGTTGCTCCCAGGGATGTCGCGACCGGGCGGTGTGTGGGGTCTCACACCCCCTCCCCCCAAAAAAATAGTATCTCAATAGGATAGTTGCTCTGTTGGTTAAATATGATAATCCTTGATATGAATGAAGGTAAACAAACTAATGATTTGAAGATTTGAAGATTTCTTGTTGGCAATAAATCTAAAAATCCAGGCCCTCTTTAGGTAAAATTGTGTCTTGTGTCCATTTCCCCTGGAGTTTCTCGTTTGAAGCGTCAACTGCAATTCGCTATGAGCTCCAGATTTATTTCAACATTCAAAAGGCGTGCTAAGATAGAAAGAGGGATCTAAATTTACAACCAGTGCTTCTTGTTACCTAGCTTTAGAAGTAACTGACAACCAGGGGCGCAGTGGCTGGGGGGGGCAGGGGGGGCAGCCGCCCCCCCTGGCAAAAATTTTGTCGGATTGTCGGAAAATCCAACGTTTGTCGGAAATTTTGAAATATTAGACAAAATGTAAGGTTTTCATCGATCCTGTCCGAAAGGTCGCATATTTTTTTAAACCTGTCGTAAAATAGGGCATGCTCAACCCTTCTTACTTATTTTCATTAGAGTATTTATCGGAATCATCGCATTGCTGAAATTTTTAAAGGAAATTAACGCTCTGGTCTCAGTTTTTTTATAAACTCCCATTTCCGACAGTTAAAATTCAACTCAGTTCATTTCGAAATGAATTCGCTGGTGTTGTAGAAGACGCAAAAAGTTAATATTTTCGCCATGACTTAGCACAGGAAAGTTTTGTCGAGCGACGAATACGCAGAAAGAAAAAGATGCCAGGGGAAAATTGCATAGATGAACTAGAGGGAAATAGGGAATCCGTATATCATCGTGATAGTAGATACAGCTATCAGCTCAATGAATACAAGATTCACGTCTCATAAGGCAATTTTGACAGATTTTGCTTTGCTCAACCCTGAATGTTTTCAAAAAACAATCGAAAGGCAGTTGTGTGCAGTGTAATTCAAAAAGGTTGCGAAGAATTACGGCCGGGATGACGAAAAATTAAGAGATGAGTACAGCTCTTTCGTCAATAATTACCGTAAATTTTGGAGAGTTGCAACTCTCTCCCGGCTGCAGGAGAAAGAGAAAACTTTTCAGTTCCATTCAGTTCTTCAGTTGATGATAAGTATAACCTGCAAAGTGCCTTTCCACAGCTGGTCCTTCTTTACAAGGTTCTCGTCACTTTGCCAATAAGTTCAACAAAGTATGAAAGAGCTTTTTCAAAGCTGAGGATTGTAAACAAATCGGCTACGGCCAAAGATGGGACAAGACCGCCTTTCCTCTCTGATAACAATCAACGTCGAAAGTGATATTTTACAGTCGATAGACTATGGTGACATCATCGATTTGTATGCTGCCACACCTCTTTTGAGAAAGATGCTGCTTGAGTAACAGTTTATATAAATTTCAGTTAAAAGAAAACTATTCTTTTGGACGCTTTATATCTATTTAAGGTTTAGCATAAATAAATGCAAAGTAATTATGATGGGATTTAAAATTTGCCAAAAAAACTTTTTGCTATAAACAGCTATAAACACTAACTTGACAGTTTATTGTCTAGAATAGCGAGAAGACTTGTAGGGTGTAAATTTATAACTAGTTGCAGTTTTGTTTATAGCGATTTATACTTGGTAAGTTTTGTTAGAATAAAGGCTATTGTTGAACTTGAAGGTGTATAACGAACGATCCATTCGTTAACGATTTCCAGATCCATTCATGATATTATAGTATCAAGTGTTGCAGTATATGTAGCAAGGGTAATCTTCAAGGAATATATTGGGAAAAAATTTGTCGGAAAAATCATAGTTTTATCGGAAAATTTTCAGCTTTGCCCCCCCCCCAAAAGGTTAACTCCCACTGCGCCCCTGCTGACAACATGGTATTTTTCAAGACCGCGGTGAAATTGTACCAGTTATTTTCATCTGCTGTTCAATTTGTTTGAAAAAAATAAGTTTCAATACGATTAGGAGGATTTCTTTATTGAAAGAGTGCTTTTTCCAGGGAACTAAAAGCATCAAAATTCGAAAATTTCCTGCTCCTTCGGCGGTATCTCTGAATTCACTATACCAAAATTCCTCAAGCAAAGAAAAGCGTTTTTATTGGAAGTATTTTACAGGTACACCTATTATCAAAGCTCAATTTTCGTGCTTTCGTAATCATGGATATCGTTCAGAAATAGAAGAAACTTGAAAGTTTTTTGCAATTCATATCTTAATTACAATTCCTTGACAAATTTTTCATTATTTCCCGCTTGAACTGTAGGCTTAAAACTTTCTGTTACTTGTTACAGCTATTTCAATTTTTTTAGTCAAAAAACCTTGGCGGCTGTACGGCCGTTTTTTGGCGAAGAGTGCAATACTTTCGGACCGTAAGTGTAAAACCTTAAGAGAATTTCGGGGCATAACTCCTTACGAATGTATGATAAAAGTTTCATACATTTGGGAAAAAAATGTTGCTTGATTTTTCTCAGCAACCTATACCTAGATTGCATATCCTTCATGTTTTGATTGATTTATGATGCTTCTAAACATGTGCACTTCGAACTCGAGACGAAAGCGCTGATCAGTGGACGAAAGACAGAAATGTATGTGTTGCTGTTTCTTGCCTCGTTTCTGTTATGTTTTCCCAACTGGGTGGAATTGAAAAAAGATGGGGGGGGGGGGGGAGGACCATAAATTCAAGCTAGGGCAAAAAGTAGCAGTGAAAGTGCGACCTAAAGAAAATTTACAAATTTGCCCGAAAGATACACTAGCAGCCATAAATTTGCCCGACAAAATCTGCTTTTTGAAGATTACGGGGGGGGCAGCACCCCTCAATACCCCCCCCAGCAGTTTCGCCCCTGATTACGATTTTCCCAAGTGAAGATCAATGCTCCCAAAAAGAATTTCATAGTTTCATTTCGATCGTGTAAATAGATTTCGAGCTTCTCTATCCGTTTCGTTTCTCTCGTTAAAAATCACTTTTCGTTTCGTCTCGTTTCGTTTCGTTTTGTTTCGTTTCGTTTCGTTTCGTTTCGTTTCGTTTCGTTTCGTTTCGTTTCGTTTCGTCTCGTCTCGTCTCGTCTCGTCTCGTCTCGTTTCGTTTCGTTTCGTTTCATTTCGATTTGTTTTGTTTTGTCGAATATGATAAGCCATACAGCATAGATTAACTGAAATAAAAATGAATGTGATGTACATCTTCCCACTTTCACTTTCATCCTTTAGAACAAGTTGGAAAGGAAAGAGTAACTGACATAAAAGGAAAACTCACAGCGTTTTTTCCTTTTGCAACCATTTCTGTTCTTTGATGCTGCCCTTTTTACAATGTTATGATCTTCCTTGTTCTCATCATTACCATAAACAGGATCAGTAGTTCCTGGTAGAAACAGTGGCAAGTTCAGTAGTTATTGAAGTTGGCATGTCATCTAAATAGGTCAGATCAAACTAAATATGTGAGACCAAAATCATCTCTAAATATGTCACACAATTTCATATGACAGATGTCATCTAACTATGTCAAAATGTCATTTTAATATGTCAGGCAAGTCTCATGTGTCACACTGGTGTCATCTAAATATGTCAGTCAGATGTCACATAAAAATGTCAGACAGGTGTCGTCTTAATATGCAAGACAGATGTCATCTAGCTAGCTTATACAGTCACATAAATATGTCAGACAGATGTCATTTTAATATGCAAGACAGATGTCATCTAGCTATGTTATACAGTCACATAAATATTTCAGACAGATGTCATCTTAATATGCAAGACAGATGTCATCTAGCTATGTTATACAGTCACATAAATATGTCAGACCGATGTCATCTTAATATGCAAGACAGATGTCATCTAGCTATGTTATACAGTCACATAAATATGTCAGACAGATGTCAAATAGATATACAAGACAGATGTCATCTCAATATGTAAGACAGATGTCATCTGAATATGTCAGACAATTTTCACTTTAATATCTCAGACAGATTTGATCTAAATTTATCAGAAGGATTTGATCTAAATACCTCAGACAGATGTTACCCTAATTGGACAGGCTGATGTGATCTAAATATTTCAGACAAATGTAGTCTCAATATGCCAGGTAGATGTTATCTAAATATTCCAGATAGATGTTATCTAAATATGTAAGACCAACCTTTTGTCAGACAGACATCAGTCTTGATAATTTGAAATTTGTTGGTTTGCTGGTATTTGCATGCAATGTTGTGCAATCCATAAAACAGAGACCTTATGATTTTTACTAAGGCCTGATAGTCTTTGAAATGTAATACATGTGTTTAGTCTTTGAAATGTAATACATGTGTTTAAAGGGATGTATCACTGTTCGAAAAAGTGTAAAGGTTTTTATAAGCCAAAAGGAATTCACAGAAGTTAAGAAGACGTTTTTCCAAACAAACAAGATATTTGATGTTCTTGTTCAGTTTAGCTAGATTTATAAATCGAGAAAGAATTCACATCAAGGATTGATCAGCATTTAGGATCTTTGTTATGCTCTCATGTAACTGGAACAATACATAATTGGCACCTCAATCAAGTGTTGGGCATTTAGCAACAGCTGCAGCTGCTCCTAACCCATAATTATTCTCATAAAAAACAGATTTTCATTGCTACAGAAAAGGAAAAAAGAATCTCAGGCCATATTTGCATATAAACAAATCTAAAAATGATATTTCTTAAAAGTTTCAAAGCAGCAAAGTCTGCCGCAATAGTTTCAAGCTCAACTTCTTCTAAACAAAGTATAAAATTTTACCTTTGAGTTGAGGAAAGATAATCCCATTGTTTGCAACAGCAACATCCGGAGGACCTTTTGGTAATGATACTTTCTGCAATGATAATTGTTTGTTTGATATGGGGCTGTTAAAAGTGGGAAAAGGGGGCTGTATCATTGTAGCCCCTGAAATGTTTCAAAATTTTTGCTATATTTCCTAAACACTGGGGAGCTGGGCATAGAAAAATTGAATGGGTTGGGTAGTTCTTCAAGTGCATTTCATTTGGTCAAAATAACACAAGCCCTTAAGATATATAAAGGTGCTGGATGCCAAAGGTCCAATGTGGGACAGGGGTGCATTTAAATATCAATTTGCTTGGTCCTTTATACTGTCTGAAATCTAATTTAGACTATTTTTTAAACACTAGCAGTTAGCATGGTGAATGGGGGGAATCCAGGGGGAAAACGACAGAAACCATAACATGCAGTCATCTCAGCAAAGCCAGCAAAGTGGTTGGTACAGTCTTTTTTTGAGACTCACTGTTGCATTGCACAGATTTACAATGTGGAGAATGAAATCCTTGGGGTATCAGAAAGTCAACTTTCAGATTGCTTTGATATTCAGATCAACCAATCTATTTTTTCAATTTCAGCAAACAAGCCTCATGAGTTCTCAAAGACGCTGAGTTTTTTCGGAACTGGCCTTACCCCCAGAGCTGCCGAGAGGGGGCCAAGGAAGGGGGCAAATTGCTCCAGGGCCTCAAGGTCTAGGGGGCCTCATAAATTAATGGGCCTCATTTTAGAATGGAATTAATCAATCTTAGCAAAAGTGAAAATGACTTCAAGAATATTCTAAAATGCATTTTAAGCTAATCTGTATGGCTGGGTCACAAAAATCTTCTGCTCATTCCGCTGCCAGGGGCCTTTGTCTACCTGTTTTGTCCCAGGGCCTCTGAAACTTTTTGGCAGCCCTTCTTACGCCGGAGCTTTCATTCTTTGGACGACCCTGGAATTCCTTTTGCGTTCTCTATATAGTAAAATCTTTAGATTCAACTCTTCTGCTTTCTTTTTAACCGATGCTTTTTCTATTCTCCTTACCTGATGAAGAGTAATGGAATTAATTTTCATTTATGAACCTGGGCAAAGCTCAGAATTGTGGAAAGAGCTTTAAAAACTTTTCTGTTTTAAAACCTTAAAAATTTCAGTCTCTAGACAATTCAACTTTTCTACATAAATCAAGATTTTTCAAATTTAGGAGGGAGTTCATTGCTATCAGCAGAAACATGTGACCAAAGGCTAATATTATTTCGCTGTATTTCGCTACCATATCCGATATCTCAAAGGTTTCGATTGCAGCTCCCTTTCCATTTTACAAGATAATATATTTTCAACCAGGAAAAAAACAAACTGGTACTAGGAATAAATTGACTGTATTAACGCTATTATCAACCTGGTTCAGTTCTTCATGGAGTACATTCGATAACGACAATTTGCGGGGCTTGCGAACTTCGAACCCTTCATGTTTGTTATTTTGCAGGCTCTTGTGATCTTTGGTATTGTGGAGATTTCTGCCAACTGATGAAAATGCTTCACCCTTATGCTTGGCGAGAATATCCTTGTCTCTTAATAGCTTGGCGAGAATATCCTTACAGCTGACTTCGAATTTAGCAAATTTTTCCAAATGGTTTTCCAGTCTCAGTTCGATATTCTTTGAATACAAAATTTGCAAAACATTGCCAACAGCGAGGACAATGATCGCAAAGATCAAACACGGTACGATCAATTTCTTCGAATCCATTATTATTATTCGCAGAATTAAATGTCCGAAAAGAATTCCCCTTCGCTCCTGCTACAAACTGCATAAGCAATTTGCAATCAAGACCTGAGCGGTTCAATGTATTTTCTCTTCTGCCAAGTAACTTGTTATAAGCTTTGTTTACCACGAAACAATTTATTTCTGAGAAGGAGAAGCTGGGTGATTGACATATCCTTAAAAAAAATTGCAGTCATAAAGATTGCACGGAAGACGACTTCCGTTTCTCAGAAAAAACTATTTTCAGGCAGCCAAAATTTAACCCACTTATTTTCCCTTTTGCTATGTGGCCACTGGTTTTCTATGGAAAAATTTGGACTTCATCAACGATGAAAGGGTCCATAATGTTCAGGACCCGTTATGTTAAACATATACAAAAACAAATAATTAACCTATCCATAATATGCTATAAATTATTTCCGGATGATCGCAAAACCTTGTATATAAAATAAAGGTTTAACTGCCTTGAAAAACGTATTCCTCAACATTGGTCCATTCACGTGAGTGCTGCAGTAATCGCTTGCGTCAAACCCTTCATGTTTATAAAATTTATAAGAATAAAGGAAGAAATCGACGTTGTTTTTCTCTGTCAATGACACGTTGTGTTGGATCAATCTGGACACAACATAGCTACACAACACAAGGACTGGATGAAACAGAAGATTTAATCTCTTTTCATTTATTCACAGTCAAAAGTCATAAATCAAAATAAAAAACATTTTTAAAAACCATACCAAAGCGAAAACATTGCAAATCTTGTGAACAATTGAATAAATCTTTTTATTCAGCTTCAAAATCTTTCATCTCAAAACGTAACGCTTATATGTCAATAAAATACAACCATGTTTATTTCGGACAAGATCTAAGTTTTCCGTCTATGCCATTCCAATCCATTACAATACGTGTAGAAGTTACATCTACTTTGATAAAAAAGGGCTCAGCTCTAGTCTTTTTATTTCTTGCACCATTTTGGCTTGTTTAATGTCTGTCCAGGGGCGCAGTGGCTGGGGGGCAGGGGGGCAGTCGCCCCCCCCCCCTGGCAAAAATTTTGTCGGATAGTCGGAAAAACCAACGTTTGTCGGAAAATTTGAAGTATTAGACAAAATGTAAGGTTTTCATCGATCCGGTCCAAAAGGTCGCATATTTTTTTAAACATGTCGTAAAATAGGGCATGCTCAACCCTTCTTACTTATTTTCATTAGAGTATTCATCGGAATCATCGCATTGCTGAAATTTGTAAAGGAAATTAACGCTCTGGTCTCAGTTATTTTATAAACTTCCATTTCCGACAGTTTAAGTTCAACTCAGTTCATTCCGAAATGAATTCGCTGGTGTTGCAGAAGACGCAAAAAGTTATTGTTTTCGCTATGACTTAGAAGAGCAAAATTTTGCCTTGCTCAACCCTGAATGTTTTCAAAAAACAATTGAAAGGCAGTTGTGTGCAGTGTCATTCAAAAAGGTTGAAAGAATTACGGCCTGGATGACGAAAAATAAAGAGATGAGAACAGCTCTTTCGTCAATAATTACCGTAAATTTAGGAAAGTTAGAGAGAAGAGCAGCCTTCAGCCGACTGCAGGAGAAAGTCTTGATTTAAGCCCCGGCCAAACCACTCGATTTTTCACTCGATTTTTTACTCGACATGAAATCGAGTGAAAAATAGAGTCGTTTGGCCACCTTGTCGAGCAAGTCGATTGGCGTTGAGTGATGTCGAGTGAAGTTTGATCTTTAGCAAAAAAGTCGAGTGAAAAGGTGTCGTCGAATGAAAATCGAATCGTTTGGCCACCTTGTCGAGTGAGTCGAGTGAGCGCGTGCGCAGTTATCATCTCTTATGCTGGGCAAGGAAGCATACTACCCTGGGGCCTCGAGGTCCAGGGGACCTTTTTAGGTGATGAATTTTATTTTAAGAATGGAATTAGTCAAAAGAAACAAAATTTTGCCTGAAAATAGTAATTTATTGAAACGAAATAAGTATTTAATGGCGGTTCATGCATAAAACGGACGAACAGGGTCTTATGTCGCACGAGTTCGTCAAGAGATTGTCAAAGGATATTTGCACGCAAGATAAACACGGCAGCCGATTTGCGTTTCTTTGCCTTCATTTTTTGGCGTGAGTGAAAAGTCGAGTGAAAAATCGAGCGAAAGATCGAATCATTTGGCCACCCATGCTCGACTTCGCTCGATTTTGAGATCAAATGTCGAGAGAAAGATCGAGCGAAAAATCGAATCGTTTGGCCAAGGCTTTGAATAGAGAAAAATTCCATTCAGTTCTTCAGTTGATGATAAGTACAACCTGCAAAGTGCCTTTCCACAGCTGGTCCTTCTTTACAAGATTCTCGTCACTTTGCCAATAGGTTCAACAAACTATGAAAGAGTTTTTTCAAAGCTGAGTAATTATGATGCGATTTAAAACTTGCCAAAAAAAACTTTTTGCTATAAACAGCTATAAACACTAACGTGACAGTTTATTGTCTGGTATAGCGAGAAGACTTGTAGGGTGTAAATTTATAACTACTTGCAGTTTTGTTCATTTGGTAAGTTTTGTTAGAATAAAGGCTATTGTTGAACCTGAAGGTGTATAACGAACGATCCATTCGTTAACGATTTCCAGATTCATTCGTGATATTGTAGTATCAAGTGTTGCAGTATATGCAGCAAGGCAAGGGTAGTCTTCAAGAAATGTATTGAGAAAAAATTTGTCGGAAAAATTTTCAGCTCTGCCCCCCCAAAAAGTTAACTCCCACTGCGCCCCTGTGTCTGTCTACTTAATCTGTTGTTATTTATCGGTTGCATATAGTTATTAACAAAATAAGGCCTCTGTTCCAACTTGTTTCGAAATAATTTGTTTAGAATTTTGTTTGCCTGCGCGCAGACTTTGCAAATTGGAGATATTGTCTAAATATTTACAATTTTCTTTACCTCTATGTGCGAAGTCTGTACGCTTAAACATTTCCATTTCTTCCAAACTCTTTATTTTTACACCTATTGCGGCAAAACATCGAAAAGAGTATTATCATGGAATTTAAATTTTAAGATCCCTATTTGTTTGAATTTCTTTACAATATGTAAATATAAATTTTTTAAAGATTGGCAGCATTATCATAATGATAGAGACTTGTCACTAGCTGATATATTCTAGGAAGCAAAAATTATCAAAAAAATCCCCAACCTTTTGATAAAGCAGTGACTTAGATAGCAGTGGCGTAGCGTGAGTTGCAGAAGCGGGTATGCGGCGAGGGATCTGGGGCCTGCTGAAGGCCCCAATGGGGCCAAGGTGCAACGCGCTCGTGGGGGACCAGGGGGCGAAGCCCCCAGAAGGTATAGCTTTTTAAAAACACCTGATAGTTAAAATAGAGCCTTCTCTATAATCCTATCATGCCCAAACAGAACATCTACAGCACACTTCGAAATGAAAATTATAGACCACTTTTTCATACTTTTATAAGGATTTTTGATAGGTCACAATTAGAAAATAAAAGATTCGGTCAAAAGATATCCGCCTAAACCCCTATGTTCAAATGAATTACCCCGTACCATCCCTATTTGAGTACCCTCCCTATTTGGGTACCCTCACTAATTGAGTACCCTCACGTGGGACTCAAGCTAACATGAAAAAAAAACCATTTATGCAATCATCTTATATTACTCTATCTCTATAACCCTATAATCCATATCTTCTACCTGTTTGAATCCACATTTCGAAGACTTATGCTGTGATTCAATTCAACTAGGGCATGCGGATCGGCAACCGCATGCCCTGGCTCTTTGTTGATCAGTATCTGGTCACGTGACTTGGCTTGCTGAACAAGAGAGCACGAAGCAAGCTGAGATCAGTTGCTTCCCTTTCAAAGCTCTATCCTCAACGCTGTGAGTAAAAAATTGGAGCAATCTTTCATTAGCATGATAGATTATTCATTGATACAACCTTCTATCCTATATTTTTGCAAAATTTTACACTAAAAGAGGGAAAAATCAATCGTTTTCCGGTCAGAATTCCGCATTCCCGGAAATGAGAAGTGCTATAAACAGAGGTTGCTAGCCAAAGTCAATAAAGGGATCTTTAGGACTCAGTAAGTTGCAAGGGGCATATTGAAAGTGGTGATGGGAGGGGGGCAAGTGCCCTCTGTCCCCCCGGCTCCGATGTCTACGGTATGGATGAAATGACCATTTGAATAATGTGGATTAAGCATTTTAACAAACAAATAAACACATTTATTGACTTAGCTTTACAAGTTTTTAAACGTCATAATTGATTAGAAAATATAGTAACTATTAAATTTACAATCATGCATAGTACGATAAATGGCGAAAATAAACGATATTTAAAAATGCAAAATGACGTTAAAAGCAAATTGGTGCAAGGATACAAATAGAATGGAATATAATGACTATATTTAGTCTACCGTACAGCTATGAACATTGTTTGCCCGTAAGGGACAGCTACATTCGCTAGACAATGTTCAATTTTTCTTTTTCGGGTCTTAGTGCTACGGACTAGTGTAAATTTCTATTCGTCCTTTTCTGTCCTTGTGTCTTCCTTAGCATATTTTTACGACTATACCTTTCTTGAAACGTAAATGCCAATTAGAAGTGGAATCATTATAAATTATGCTTACCATGCATTTGGGTTTAGCCAAATACGTTATCTATAGATATCTTAATCAACATCTTGCAAAAAAAATAAAATAAAATTTGCTTTTGTGGGTAAAGTCACCAAGCCGAACTTTTCTAACTTGACAAAGCATACTTGTCATGCTTTTACAAAATCATTGCTTTCTTTAAAACGCATCATCATTCCAAAATTTTATAAATCATGATTACCATATTCCCAACGCTGACTAAAAGGACCGTATAACAATTTTTTAATCAAAAACAACCAATCAAGATAAAGCGTTAACAAATAATGATTTTGCGAATATATTATGCATTATGAAATTATGAAAACAAAGCAAAACAATGGTTATGCAGAACGAAGAGTGAATGTTTGATTTAGTCTTAGAAGGCAGTTAACCGTTGATTGTCAACTGGTTGTCATCGTTCCCACTCTTCTCGAAGAACATGAAGTCCTGTAGTTTAAAAAAGGTAGATTAGTGTTGATTGAGTGCTGCCCGCAAAAAATGTCAGAAGCTTGTGAACTGAATACCATTGCAATAAACTTTAAACGAGATTTTTATGGCACGGCATACGGTATGGCAAAAACTGACAAAACAACGAAAGCTCAGCCCAGCTAGGGAAAGCAGATCTGGCTACATTCCCAAATACTTTTACTTGGCATAACAGATATAATAAAAATTAGGGAAACTGGTATGGCAATGCCAGCCTCAAATACAGAACCAAGAGGGCGCTTTCCTTATTCGGGTGCATATTTTTCAAAGATCATCATTCGTTACAAAATGAAAACTTTAATCAAATATTGAAATTGCGTTACATTCGCAACGTTTCCCCGAGTTGCTGTTATACAGGGAATTATGTAAAAAAACTAAAATAAAATTTGAGGTTAGGTAGTTTGCTAGTTTTTCCTACAAAATTCTCTGTCTAATTAAACTGCCTCTAACAGAGCACCAAAACAAAGGAGAAAAACAAGACCCTCCAAGACCATACTTCCATAACTATCCCAAACAAAAAGAGGGAAGAATACACAGAGAGCTTGATGTCTTTCATACGCAATGAATGTATTTCGTGTTTTACAAACAATCTTTACTTTGTGTAAGCAAGTTTTGTGGTTATTGATGGTTCAAAGGAAAGGCAATTTTACCAAGGAAAACGTTATTTCCATTGGCTGTAAGGATTTGTTTGCCAACTTTACATAGAATTGCTCACACTAACATTGCCCAACATTCAAAAAGTTATTCTAGCCAATTAACAACCAGCTTGGATAGACAATTGCGTGCAGAAATAATCAAATCCTTCCTGGAAATTGTAAGAAAATGCGCAAAGATAAAACTCACAATCAAAAAGCAGGCACCAAGCATGACCGCCTTCATCTTTACATCCAAGTCCATTGGAACTGCAAATATTAAAAAGTAGTTATCTATTTGAGCGAACTCCTCGTGCCTGCCTTAAAAAGGCCGGATATGCAGATAATTAACTATATCTGGCTCAGGCAATCGACTCTGAAAAAACTGAAACGGTAACAAAACACTCATGTGTACATACATGTGATACCAAAGTTGTCTGCATCAGTGAACATTTCTTTCGCCAAACCACTCCATTGCTTAGAAATCTTTCCAACATTTGTTGTCCCATCAAGGGCTGTAACCTAATAAAAAAAGGAATTCCATTTTAAGAACTGAATTTTAAAAAAAAAGCAACAAAGTATGCCTAAAAAAATTTAAAACGTTTTAAACGATTGCAAGAAACATTCTGAAACGTACTTCAAGCTAATCTAAAGTGCGTGGCTGCAAACATTTTCTGTTCTCTATCACGTTTGTGCACCTAAGTTCTCTATCGCGTTTGTGTTTGTATCAAATGTACACTACAGCAATGGATTTCTTCGCGAAGTCTTAAAGAGATTATGACTTGAGAAACACGATACATCCCTAGCAAATATATTCTTTAAAAATGATAAAAACTGGTCACTTTTTAAATTTTGGCGACCGATGGTTTGTGATTGGAGATGTTCGACAAAAGAGCAGGCCCCCTTAATTTTCTCCTGGCCCATTTCTAGGAGCCACAACGCCCCTGCAGATTAACATACAGGAGATTTTGGGTCTCCTGAGCGAAGACAATGTTCAAACTTCGATTTTTAAATCCAGTTCTCCAATTAAAGGCCTCTCCATGTTTGCAACTCTTCTTTATTTACTTTAGTTGAAAGCTTTGCCTTGAAAATTGACGCTCGGTTTGTCCAGCATAAGGCACAATTTACCATTTTGAAATGTGAAGCAACTAATTCTACCATTTGAAATGTTACTCCAAACTCTAAAAATCACCCTGGAATAGCTTTGTAAGCTGAAAATCCCCCCGTGGATACCAATTGTTATGACACATTCCCCTAACATCTTTGCAACGGACAGACGACACCGTGATTGGTCAATCCCAACTAACGGGTGAATTATTGAATTTCTTTTTTGGTTTTGGATAACATTATGAGGAAGTCAGGACAAGGACAGAATTCTACAGGTTTAATGATGGGTCGGATGCTGACTACCATACGGAAATAAACCTTTTTTAAATATGGCAGGTGCAAGTGCACTCTTTGCACCTGTCTGGATCCGCCACTGTCAATGATATAGAAGCGCCGAAGGCGCTAGATGTCTAACTTGCTGTTTTCAGCTGAGGCAAAATCACTCAAGCGGAAATAATGGCAAAAGGAAGATCCCGCATAAGGCCTCAGTGCGGGAAATTGCAAGGCGGACGAAGGAAAACCAATATTTTCGAAAATCGGCATAAAATTGAGAGGTAAGCTATACTGTATCAGCTTGCCATATTCATTTTGAAGATTTTACGCTATAAATTGTTTTGGTAAATGGGGTTTTAAGATTTTTAAAAAATTTTACTTGCTGCGGCGTTCGCAAAGGCATTGGCCTAGGCAATGTTTATGCTCAAGGTTTTCCAAGAATGAATGGACAAGGGCTAGAATAAAAGTAGGGAGTTGGACAATTTTCAAAAATTAAATAAAAAACGGGGGGGGGGGGAATTATTCGGTAACATTAAAACAGCTGTGTTATTTTTTTGAATTTTTGAGACATTCATCGCTTTCTTGATTTTTTGGGAATATCAAACCTCATAGAATTCTTCCATTGAACATTTGAGTTGATTTCAAAATAAAAGAAATGGAAGAGTTATTAGTTCTACGTACCTGAAATTCAATATCCCCACACATATTGATAGTGCAGATTGGGCCTTCAATCAGCAAAACTGGATTTCTGCTAGCATCTTGAATTTCAAATTTTGGGACACACAGAGACCATCTAAAGTGGGAAATGAATAAAAAATTAAACCAGGGTTTTGGTCAACGATGACAAATGCAGAGGCATGAATAATTTATACAAATGAAAGGTGGCTATTTAGGAGCAGGTGCAGAAGCGGACACTTGATCAAATATTAGGGGGGCAAGCCTATTGTTTTAATACGATGACGTCACATTTCCCATTGTTTTAGAACAAAAGACCATTGTCCTCTAAAGTATTGGGGGGGCCGTCGCCCCCCTTGCCCCCCAAGTGTCTGCCACTGAGCAGGTGTATAAAATATTTCGTAATTCAAAGTCATACTTTTGCACAACATAACCAACTGGAGTTCCTGGCGGGCTGGTAACTTCAAGCTCTTGCAGGAAGCATGGAAAACAACATCCAGTGCAGCGAAATGGTCTGTGTAAATGAATCACTTCTCTTTGAGAGTTATCAAGAATTTTCATTTCAAAGGCACGGGCTGATCCACAGCAAATTCTTGTACAACAATCTGTATCTTCTGCAGCAAAATATACTTGCTGCCCCATTGAATTTTGAATCTTGTACTTGTTATTGGTTTCAAATCCAGTAAATGCTGTTAAAAACAATAAGCTGGTGTAAACTGAGAAAGTAAAGAAAATTCAAGAAATTTAAAGAAATAATTTGACAAAGAATAAAGTGGTGATATTCAAAGTTTCTCATTCTTATAAACTTATTCAGCTTCAATGTTTTTAACAAATTTGTCTAAACATAATTTGAATGCACATAATGCTTGCCACTGACTGATCTCAGATGTAAAAAAGGAAGAGCTTGTTCTCTTCTATAGACAAACAATAAAAAAGGCTCTTGTTTTGGTAACTGCAGTAAAATTGTAAGAATGCAATAAAATTGTAAATGAATCTAAACAAATGGGAATAATATCAAAAACCATACTGAATAGAAATTTAATCACAATCATTAAGAAAAAAGGATATGTAGATAATAAGAAATTGCAATATGGAGTACCTTCAAGTAGTTCAACTTTTTGCTTCACAAGTAACTGATCTATCTGTGTGAGATATTCAAGACCAGGAGGACACCCAATTGGGGCCTGTGGTATTGCCATCCATTGCCCTTGAGGTGGGGCTCCTGAAAGAAAATGTCTTTTATAAACAACCGCTTACTGATTAATTCTTACATTTGCTCACATAAACAATCCAAAGGTTAGCACATAATGTACACAGGCAATGATGATTCTCTACAATATAATGATTCTTTATAAATAAACCAAATGGCCAGGAAGAGACCTTTGCTCCTAGTAGAAAAATCACATACAGCTGTCATTGTGATACATATTTACACTTTTGTGCTTTCCTTGCCTCCCCCTGTCCTAGCCTCCTCATACACTCTCTGCCTATATGCTGCCTTTTTGGTATGCTCCCTCAGCTACTCTAGCACTTACCATAACCTTAATGTGGTTGGGCTCCTTAAAAAGGAGCTTGATCTACCTAATCCCTTACTTGACAACTGGCCACTAACCACCTTGCTCACAGGCATCAAACGTTTCCTTGGGCATACTCCTCCCCAGAAGCACCCTATTACTTTTGATCATCTTCCACATATCAAAAGAACCCTAAATCGTGTAGATGCCTTCTTTTTGGCCTCCCTCTCTGGTTGTCTTGTAAGGTATGTTTTGCAAACTCTACCCGATTGATTTCTCTTTCCACCCAAAGGGGGTTCTCAAGTTTGATGGAGTAAACTAATCCCATTTCGTGCAAGAGTGCTCTATGTCTAACTGAGAGTGTTCTATGTCTCACTGAAAGTGTTCTATGTCTCACTGCGGCCTTAATGTTTTTGTTATGAACTATACTGTCTGATATCGGTAACTTCATATATATGCACATAAATATGCATGATGTGCTTCTAAATTTGACTTCTCAACAGGTGGAGCATTTTTGAGCTATTAATCAGTATGCACTTTTACAAATGGGTTCCCCTTAACCCTGGCATCCAGAGATAATGGCAGCAAAGGTGTATCAATGTACTAAAGTGTTGTTTGTAACACCAATGAATTCCAACTGAACAACTGTATGTTTGTACCGTTTTATTGATATAGTGTGGCTGCAAAGGTACATATATACAATTATTCACATAAAAAATAACACATTTCTGCACGCATATCGCATGCAGAACATTTGAGTTGGATACATTGTAATATGTGCTAAACAAGTTTCAATAAAGTGCATGACACAAATTTAGTGTGGATTAACCAATCTCCAAAACCATAATGGACTATAATTGTGATTTGCAACCATTTACTTTGTAATTCTTTGTCCTTTGCAACAATCTCCCAGTGTTTTTTAGATGAGTGTCATGGTGAGACTGTCTTACGGTTTAATTGAGGGTAAAATGTGGCCTAAGGACCACATAAGACCACTGTTTCCTGTTTTATTTGGTTTAAAAGCTTAGACTGTGACTTTGTCCGTTTGCTGAATCGTTACATTGATCTGATATCCCCTCATTATATCTGAGAATAAATATCCATTGTTTGAAGCATTTTATTTGCAGTGATTTCCCCACAAAGATTTAATGGCATTGTGGCTCAGCTTCTATGTCCTTAACTTGAAGAATGTTTGAGCGTAGTGATTTTACATCTGGGATAACCAACCACAAGTTCAGTGGTATGACAGCGTGCATATTGAAATTTGTTTGTAAAAATGAATTGTGTCTTTTATATGGGAAGCACATTTCTCTACAACAGGCCTGAGAAAATGATCAAGGTAAGATGAAAGTTTTTCCTAGGAGAACAAAAACAATTTATTAGGAGAGGGAAATTCTCTGAAAGTAAATCGCAATCAAAGGCTTATTGTCAAGTAGTCTGTTCACTGGAGATGGTTGGAGAGGATAGCAGTTATCCTTGAATTTCTTGTTGATTACCATATGCAATAACACTGATTGACATAAAAAATTTAAACCCAAGGCTCTGCTGACTTGATTTGTAGTTGAAAGTACTTTTATATAGACAAAATGATTTTTCGTGTATTTGAAAATGCACAAGAGCAAATCTTTTCTTTTAAAACCCTAATAAGAAGTAAGAATCAATTATATCATGTGGATATATAGAAGTATGTAGATAAAAACATATGGATGTTTTTGCTTAGCTAGCCTTTTTATAGGGTATATTTTTATTAAGTCTAACTTCGAAGAAAATATTTTGCAATTAAGTAATTTTGTTTTAATTTCCTATATTTCATATCAAAATTGACATTGCATTTTCATTGGCCCATTTGTTTTATTCATCTGTCAGCTCTATTGGGGTTGTTAGTTAATCATGTTGGTTTAAAAAACCTTCAATAAATATAGTTAAAGAAAACTGTGGAAAAGATGACCAAAAAACTCTTCATTCAGTTTCGTGTGATTTATTGTTTCATTTGCAAATTTGAGCTGAATAATTAAACCTTACAAAAGAATTTAAGCCAACTGGAAAGAATTTAAGGGAACAACACAATTTTTGAGATAAACTTACTTTAACTTCTATACTGAACTAATGGTTTTTGATGTCTCTCCTACCATTTTGTTTGGTAAATGTCAGAATTTCGTTGAAAGGAATTACCAACAAACCAAAACACACTTTTTTATTCGAATACCAAATTATTCTAAAATTTTAGCAATCTTGAGCTGTTATATTCTTATTGAAAAAAGTGTGCAGTTGCAGTTTTGTATAGATGATTGGTTTGTTATTGTTGCATTAGAAATGGGGTTATTTGCCTTAATCAACAACTGGTTGCTATTATTTGACCCTGTCTTGCTTACTTTTAATGTTTGATGCATTTCACTCTTTTTCAGAATTGATTTTTCCATATCTGCAAACTATGAATTCTTTCTAAGTCCACTGAAAAACAGTTTTGCAAGACACCTAGTAGCAAGGTTCATTAACTGATAAAATCTCGACGAAAGAAAGTTTCAAATTCAAAATCCAACCATTGGGAGATTACTACTAAAAGTATGTTCTTCCTTATCGATGCTGCAAATATTTTAGATGCATTTTCTGACCATCCTTAGAATGTCACTTTTCAAAATCTTTCTCCCTTCAACCATGATGGCGGATTCCGCTAAAACTCTGAGCCAGGGCTGTTGCTAATCACTTTCACTCAGGGGGGTGCACAAATTTGCCAACAAAATAGGGCATGGCCTAAGGTATTTAAATTTTTGGGTGTGGTATTTTGACGCAATCGATTTTGTTTATAAAAGAATGTGTTATCTTTTGTTAATCATCGCTTCAATTTTCAAGTGACTGTGGGTCTTAGTTTGTATGAGTAGATCTTACTAATAGGACCGCCAAGAGGTTTTGAAGGCCTTGAAGCAAAACCGAAAGACGAGGCCCCCTGCAATCGGAGCAAGCAGAAATTTATTGCAACCACATCCTTTAGATTGTCTTAAAATGCATTTCAGAATATTTCTTGCAGTCATTTCTTGCAATTGTTCGGAACTTTTAACTATTTAGGCATACTTCTTATATGTTTCATTTGATTTCATTCTTAAAATGGAGTTCTACTACTTAGGCCCCTCCACCTCAAGGCTCTGAGGCACTTTGCCCCCTTGCCCCCCTTGGCAGCCCTGCTTACAGTGGCTTCCAGCACCTCTAGGGTCAACGTTCAGAGTTTTTCAATAAACTTCCTAAACCCCAAACTTTAGGTAGAAATTAGGTTGCCTTGGATATTGGGCATTAAATTCTAGACTCCAGCTGCCGACAGGGAATAATTTGAAATTTTTGGGGACATTTGTCCCTCTGAGACACCCATAGCGCCATCTATTTTGAACTGTAGGTTTTTGGGTGATACTTTTTGGGCCTTATTCTCATTTTATCCCAACTTTTTGCTAAGCTATTGCATTGAGAACTTTGAAAGTAAAACCCGACAAAACTCTACTTTTAGAAAAGGGCCCTACTAGCGACGGCCCTGCTCTGAGAAGTTTAAACATTTTGCCCCTCTTCTCAATGTTCGGTCAATGTTCAATGAAGCTTCCACAGGCAGTGGCGTAGCTGGCGGTCATGCTTGTCATGCCGGGCATGACCATCTATTTCCAGAGATAACATTTTTCAAAAAATTATATTTTCAAGAATAAAATCCTATTCTCCTGATGAAATAGCTCAGGCCATTCGCCTTTGGAGCCCTATGGTTATGGTTCCACGCATGGTCCCTCCGAAGGTGCTCTTCTATTGTCGGGCATGACTAAAACAGAGGGTTTCCAACTTAGTCATGCCCATAACTATGAGCATGACCAAACCCTGTGTTTTAGTCATGCCCATAACGCTGGTTCCCTATGTTTGGTCATGCCTAACAATAGGAGTGACGCAGGAGAGAACAAAGGCTAGTCATGCCATTTCGAGAGGGCATGACCATCATTATAATCATCAGAACCGTCCTGTGTTAGTTCGTGAACGCGAATGCGAGGCATCGATGGCGGCGCTGCTGTGCCTAGATCCCCGAGCTGGGAGGTAATTCTCTGTAAGTAAAATGCAAGCAAAAGCTTATTGCCAAGCAGCCACGACTCATGTTAATCTCCAGAACATTTTATGGCAATGAGAGGGTTTTTCAGCCTTAATGGTGAACAGGCACGAAAGGCCATTTTTGGACATAAATTCAGCGAGCAGGATCATTTTATGCAACCAAACCAAACTCTCAGCCTTTTCAGTAATCAATTTTTACTAGTTGAACATTTGCAGAGAATCTTCTTGATTTAATGAATGCCAAATCTTGGTGCTGTTCACTGGAGATGGATGGAGGAGATAGCAGTGTTATTTTCCAAACCAACAGATTCGAGAGCTTAAACTTTCCAGACATTTAGCAGCATATTCAGAAACTGTTAAGCCCTTTAATAGCATTGTTACCATATTATGATTAGGACAATACAATTGTAATTAATAGATAGGGAATGCCAAATCTTGCTGAAAGTTATTCTTCATTTTTTTGTTTAATATCACATGCAATAACACTGTTTTTATACACAATTAGTGTCAAACTCAAAGCTCTACTGACTTCACTTGTAGTTGAAAGTACCTTTTTACTACTTATAGCTGTTGAAATAAAATGACCAGAGACAAGTCAAGCATGTTACTTACTGATCTTGTTAGTTAAACAGTTTTATTTCATTAATACAACTTTTGATGTATTTGAAAATTTACAAGATCAAATTATTTCATTTACAACCCTTTTTTGCTAGATTTAGTAAGGACAATCAAATCATGTGGATATTTACAAACAAGTATATGTGGAAACATCAATGTTTTTGTTAAGCTAAACTTATTTTGCAAGGTATTTTCTATTAAGTCTAACTTTGCAGAAACATTTTGCAACTAGGCCTATCCATTATTTTAGTTTCCTATATTTCATATCAGTATTTACATTGCATATTCATTTGCCAATTTGTTTTATTCATTTATCAGTTCTATTGGGGTTGTTAGTTAATCATGATGGCTTTAAAATAACTTCAATAGAATAATGATAAGACTATTTGTGGAAAAGATGACCAAAAAGCTCCCATTCAGTTTCATGTGATTTGTTGTTTCATTTACAAATTTTAGCTTATCTCTAAAATTTACAAATGTATTTCAGCCTGCAAATTGAAAGAAATTAGGAGAACAACACAATTTTTGATTTAAGCTAAGTTTATCTACTATACTAAACTAATGTTTTTTAATGTCTTTTGTACAGTTCTGTCTGTATAAATTACCAACAAACCAAAACAGTGTCACAGCTATAAGATAAAGGTCATTTCATGGTGTAACAAGATGATTGCTAAGAAATAAGAAAAGCTCATTCCAAAAGTTAATCAAAATTTTTTTTATAAGTCACAAGCCTTAAAATTGAAATTTTTCAAAAGGAACTCATCAACTAAAAAATTGGGCGTGGTAAAATTTGGTCACACCCATTTTTTTTCAAATTTGAGGGGAGGGCATGACCACTGCTATTTGGCTAGCTACGCCACTGTCCACAGGCCCTTCCATGGTAGCGAAGTTCTGATCTCAGCTGTCGCTTAGAAAGTCAATGTATCTGGCTGCTTAACCAATGATCAGAAAAAATATCAAACTCGTCATGTTCAAATTGCAATGATTACATGATAAGAACAACTTTCAAATATTATAGAGCCCCCTTTGTTAAAATTTTACCACTACATCCCTGGAGGTTTCTATGGCGATTGATGGTTTTGCGCAAGTGTTTTCATCACTCATTTGTGAAAATGTCATGTTATCACACTTACATGTTTTATAAACATTACTACAATTCAAAGCTCCAACGTGTTCTCAACGACACTAGAAACTTACATCAGCAGGGGGCCAATGTGTTGCTTATCCTAGTGAGGACGTTAGGAGGCATCAAAATCGCATACCTGGCTGTTGAGCAACCACTCCTGGCGGAGGATAACCGGCCTGTGGTGGGGGATACCCGGCTTGTGGAGGAGGGTAACCAGCCTGAGGTGGTGGGTATCCTCCTTGTGGATTTTGGTATCCTGGTTGCGCCATCTTCTCAATTTCCCTGATTCTTTGCTAACTCCTCTCAACTGCGCTTATCACCATATGAATACGGACGTTGTTATGTGATGTAATCCCAGCATGCACTTCAAATCAATGAGGAGCATATATGGGAGCATCTGCGTAGGAGCATCAATGGCGCCGTTTCCCCTCAATGAGGTAAAGATAGTTTCCCTCGGTTTGTCTCTCTACGATTGAAATTGGAAAGAAGGAGAATCCGAAAATGAAAACTCGAATAATAAGCGATAAAAGCTTAATAAAACTGCTGAATAAAATTGATTTTTTATTCGCCACAAACAGGGGAGAAAGGGGAAAACCCACCCTATATTATAGTATTATTTTAAGAACTACACTATGGATTGACTCAGCTTATACATACGTATCTAGACACGTTCCTATTGTTTTTCTAGCTTGTTTTTCCTCTTATGTAGATACCTAAGATTAGCACATTTACATCTTTCATTTGTACAAGGAACCAGGGGCGCCTACACAAGGGGGGCTGGAGGGGCAGCTGCCCCTCCTGCCCTCTTCGAAGAGGGGCAGAGGGGGCAAGAAGTGCCCTGAAATATGATGACTACTTTGACTACTCTTGTTATGTTAATATCTATTAGAAAATACTAGAAAGTTGACAACACCAGCACAAAAATGCAGAGAATGAAAAGTTTGTCTGTGACAAGGTCGGTCACCTAGGGAGAGCGGCAAAGATAGTAAATGACAAACAAAAGATGTGTTCCCTCAGAAGTACTCCAGGAACCTAAGGAGGATAAATCGGTATAAAAACTTAGCGGGCAATCAAAATTTTAAAACTAGCCCATTTATAACAGCTATGATTTTTATAAAACCAAAACTTGTGAATAGTGAGTGGCAAAGCAATTTAATAACCATTTTCATTTATGGATAATTTCGTCAAAATTGTCTTTATGTTTAGAATCTTTGTTGGTAAAAAACCCAGCTGTATGGGTGGCACATATTCAAGTTAATATTTTATTATATTACCCCACCCTCGCCCCCCTCCCACCTAGGAATGCTCGATTATGTTAATAGAAAAATTCAATGATTTGCCTTCGGCACCAACACTGCCCCTCCTGCCCTAATCTTGTGCAGGCGTCCCTGCAAGGAACTAGTTTAACATATATATATCGTTCTCTACGAATCCTGAGTTAGTTAAGAGTTAGAGCTAGCATTGTGAGCACGTACACTTCGCTCTTGTGAAAGGCTTAGTGGTACAAGTCGTTCAACGATATACGTTTGAGAAAACTATATCTGTGTTAATTTGTTGTGTCATTCTGAAGTTTTGCCGAACATTTAGCTCGGAACCTGCCGTATTTAGAAACCAATTTACAGAATAAAGAGAAATATACAACGTGTTTGCTCTCAGTTGGGAAAAATGTAAGCATGGAGATGCAACCAATCGCTTATAAAACATGCATAACATTCGGTAACATGTTATATCTTATCACTCAGTGCAAGGCCATCAAGCCACACTATTTCTTCACCGCTGCAAGTTTTGCTGAAATCGATCGGTGCGAGCAGGGGCGTACCCATCGGGGGATATGGGGTGGTACACTTTTGGAAAGTTGGTCGGTAAATCTAATGGAAGATACGGAAAAGGACCAACTTTTAAAGAAGAAGACAATGTGCGGTTGCAACCTAGATTCCCTGGCAGTCTGCCACTGATCGTAAGCTAATCATTGTAAACGTGACTTTTGGGTTTTCAATAAGTTTGGACACGAATCTGTCTAAACTTTCTGTGAAAACTTACTTCTGTAACTATGTCGCAGATGAGTTTCATTCTACAATAATTCGTCCACTGTATGAAAAAGAAAAAATGCAAAATATTTCAGTTGCTGACTTTAAAAGACAAGTTCTTTACCTTACGAGTCAAGAAGGACAATTAAGTACATTAAGTCCTATTAAAATTATAATTTATTGCTAAATTTTCGTCATTCATACTTGTAGCTCTAGCTCTTGCTCTTTAAGACCAATTAATACTATCAATGTAGGTTGACAAAAACGACAAAAAGTCCCTTCTTATAGTGTGAGTGCGAAACAGTCCTTTCCTACATGGGCTCCGACGAAAGTTGAAAAGTGGGGGGGGGGGCAAAGGGAAAATTTAACACCCATAACAAAAGATTTTGGAAAAAATCTATTGTTTTGCAAAAAAGTGGGGTGGCCAAGGCCCCCCGGCCGCTCCTTTGTCGGAGGCCCTGTCCTAAGGTTTTGATAGTCATTTGCATGCTAAGTTAAATGTTGGATGGCAAAGGATGAGTTGGCTTTGTCCATTTTTAATAAGATACCCATGTAAGGACATGAGGGTAATTAGCCGTCACGTGACAAATTATAGCTCATTTTGCTATATTTCTACCAAAAAAAGATAAACTATCCTTCATATTCCACTGCTAAGACCAGGGCTTTTTTTTAAAAACGTCATTCCAGCCACGTTTTTCTTTGCAGAGAATACACGCTTTTTTTTTTATAAGGAACCTAGCTCGGGCCTAGTTCTTTAAATTCCTTATTTTGAGACCTGTTTTGACCACTTTGTAGTTCTAAAAGTTCCTTAATAGTTCCTTAATTTTAAGTTGGCATTTAGTGGACAATAATTAGTACAGACGCAAGAAAAACAATCAAATTCAGCGTTTTGCTATAAACTTAAGCAAAACGTTTTGCATCACGAAGACTTGCTTATGCCTTGTGCTGGGTCTGATCTTTTTCATCATTTTCCTGTGGCTATCGGCGGCTGCATCAGTGGCGAAGCCAAAGGTCCTGCTGGTCCTGCTGAGCAGGACCAAGAATTTCCAAAGATAAGATTTACTGTAAACAATAAACAATTTCTTCTTTGCAAAAAGAAAGTTTCAAATTGTTTTTGATAAACAGTCCCCAGTTCCGCCAGCTGATACAGGCATCCCGTGCTAATCTCAAGGTCCTGTTCTCTTCTACGGCAGCCCTGTATTTCGGTCCTGCTCATAACTATGATACCCTATGTTTGGTCCTGCTTCACAATGGGCTTTTGTGAATTTAGTCCTGCTTCACAATAGTCTAAAACAAAGAGCAGTCCTGCTCAATCTCGAGAGCAGGACCTCGTCGAAATGACCATCATAACATTTCGTAAGCAGTTGTGATTTGATTGGTTGAGGGTTCACCCACGTAGTTCAAAGAGCATTGTTTTGAAAACCGTTGGTCCTGCTATTTCTGAGAGCAGGACTGCAAGAATTGCCCTGTGCATTCTCGTTCTGCTATGAGATACTAGCAAGGAGGCCAGTATTATGGTGAGGCGATGTGAATGCGGATTTTCTGCTGCTTTGGCAATACCAATGATATTATTATTGACAGCAAAACTTGCCTCAGTTGAGCTGCATAAATTTTATTTGTAACAAGACAGAGTCCAAAGTTCGCAAGAAAGAAATGCAATCAACAAGAATTGGCTGTATGAGGCACTCTGATTTCGGCCTTTGTACGATCGTTTGAGGCACGGTATATCATGGTGGCCTAAATAGAACTTTCTTAGACTTGGACAAGGACGATGAAAGCATAATTGAATTTACTGTTGTGTGATTGAAAGTTTTGAGTTGGAGAATAAACCAATTTCAGCGGAATTTGCATTTTTCTACCTGAATTGTTTTCTCGTCTAATGGTTTATCTAATCAAGTTTTTTTCATTGATAATGCGACACATTATTCGATTGTACCTCTCTTTATCAGCTGCAGAAAAATTGTTCTGCAGAATATGTGAACTTGCCACTACAGACTTTAAACTCTGTTGTTTATTAAAATTATTTTAATAGAGTATCTAGATTGGTCAGGTTTATACGACCAAAATCTGGAATAACACACATATATTATATGCAACTTCAAATGCCACCCCTACCCCCCTTTTATCGTCAAATTTAGTTATCACCAATTTGAACTTTTACTTCAGCTGTAGAGGCTTACTACAATTTAAGATAGAATTGTTTGAAAAGTTTAAGTATGGGTTTATTTTTAAAAAGATAGACATCGATTTAAAATTTGCTTTTTACTGAATTTAAGAAAAAATTCATCTGCAAAATAGAATTTTTGTCCATGAGCTTTTCCTATTGAATAAGGGCGTGGCCCTGTCCATATAGCAGGACCAACAATTTTTGGCTAGCTTCGCCACTGGGCTGCATCAGTAATTTTCTTCTCATTTTTAACCCAGGTCGATACCATCGATTTAGAGATGTTGTATTTGAATGCAACGTCATTCTTTTGGTTTTTCTTTGCTTCCTCGATAACTTTTAGCTTAAATTCGGTGTCATAAGATAGTCTGTTCTTCTTCTCTCGATGGTGCTGACTGCTTTCTCCTGCTTCTGACGCTCTAGCACTTTTCTCTATCTCTTGACATTCCTCTACAGTTTCTTCGATGTTCTCATCCACATCAATAGCAGTTGGTTCTTTTTGTGGCTCAACAGCCTCGGCGCTACTTTCCAAGATCAATGGAATTTCATCGATTTTTTTAGTTGGTTGTTCTTTTTCTCTCTCACTGTCTTTTTTCGAAGTGCACCAAGACACGTGCATCGTAAGGCCAGACTTACTTTTGAAATGCTTGTTGCATGTGTCACAACGATACAAACTTACATCATCATCCTCAACAAACGAACGACCAGGGACTTCTTGTAACTCATTTCGATGAGGTATCTTTTTAGAAAAACCGAACTTGAACAACGTTGACTGCTTTTTCTTATCTCCCATATTGCAACTGTAATACTCAGCCACACACACAGAATAAGAATTCTATTTTGTTGTGACTAACCTATTTGACTAAAACTAAAACACCTAAAGTGTGAATTCACAACAAAGCACAGCTGCATGTGAGGTGAGTTAAAACGGAAATTTCTCATGTTGATTCTTGGCCCCATGAGCATGGCCGGTTTTACTGAAAATCAATGGAACCGGCTTCCTAATTGTAAATTGTGCGGAAATATAAATATATTCAAAATTAAAAAGTTCCTTAGGGATTTGGCCTTTAGTAGTAAAAGTTCCTTAAGTTTTTTGACCTTCTACATGTAGGTTCCTTATAAACGGTTCCTTATAAAAAAAAAGCGTGTAAGCAGGAACTTCTCCTGATTTAACTCCCATTTTACCCCAAAAAAGCGGCAAATCTCCATTTACCATTTCAATTCAATATCCCCAGTTGATAAAGAACTCGAAACTGGTAATCAAAATTTCCCCGCCCCAAAGTGGTACTCCCCTCCATTTCCCCCTGGTCAAATACATCCGTGTCTGACCAAGATTGTGCCTTGGCCTGTCTTGATTCTTTTGATGATACAGCAGATGATTCTTTTAGTGAATTTGAGCTTTGTAGTTATGTATAATTTTTACCAAAAAGTTTTGTTTTACGCATTAGGAATCAGGGTTGCCAACTGGCCTACTGGGAGGCCAAATTTGAGAAATCTGGCCTTTTAAAATAATATTTGGCTACGTAATTTTACCTTTGGCCTCCGGCCTCAATTTGGCAATTTTTTGGCCTACTAAATGAATGTTTGAAAATGAATTGGAATTTCATAATATGTGAATGAACCAGACAGAAACTTGAGGCGGCATTGATTCAATCCAAATGTGACCAGTGCCTGAATTGCTTATGTTATGACGTGAAGTCATTGCTATAGCCTTTTTTCACACTTGAGTGACTAACTTTTCGAGTATTTTCTTTGACAATGTATTTTTATTAGTAATCAATAACTCGCATAATAGCAGAGATTGATCTACACATTTGTAATAAGTCACAATAAATAGTGAATAATTCTTCATTTTTCTCGAATTTTTAATTTATGATTACCAAATGGCAAGGTAGATATGACAGTGCAAGTAGTTTATAGAGCGCATTTGGCTTACTGAATCTATTGATGGGAAAGGAAACGGACATACTGCAAACTGTGCTTGATGTTTTTTCCAGTAGTTGCCTCAGACTTAAAAAAAAGGACTTTTAATTTTTCTGCCGTGAAATGAAATTTTGCCTTTTCACGTGACCGGAAGTAAAATTTGAAATGGTACCTGGCAGATTTGAATTCTCTAGCCTACTGGCATCATGAATTCAATTCAATTGAATTTCATGTGTATTCTCAGCTTAATTACAATAAACTGATCTAGTCAAACAATTAATCAAGATACAATTTCAGTTATACTTCAATACATACAAGGTCAAGATATTTAAAATAATTATTTGTATCTATAAAGTTATAGCTGAATGACACATGGAAATAACCCATAGGGGCTTTCGAGCCATGTGCCATCTTACGTAAATTTTGCCTGAAGCAATTATAAATCAATACACAATATTAATAAACAACAATAAAAAAATTTTTAAACTTGGAATAAAAATTTTCAAAAAAGAAAAGTTGGTTCCGAATATGATAGTTAAAACGTAAATCTAATCTAATCTATTTTTTTGTGGGAAAGGGGGCAAAAATTAAAAAGGGGATAAAAAAAGGTGGTGGAATGCTTTTAAAACTTTGTTAGAGTTCTTCTCTTTCTTTGTGTGCCAATAGTATAGCATATGTAGTGGAAGGGGGTACTAGTATATTGAAGTCATAAATTTGTAAGGCTTTAGCAAAAGTTGTTTTTGATCCTGATTGTCTGATGTCTTGTGGAATGGGGTTCCAAACATCTACACCAACATTTTTTATGAAACTTTTACTAAATTCTGTTCTAAAACTTGATTTAGTAAATTTTCCTGAGCTAGCATATCTTGTTTTGTAATTATGAGTATTTTTGGCTTTTTTAAAGAGTCAACTGAAAGAAGTTTTGGCTTTACTTTTGTTAATATCATACATAAATTTAGCACTCTCGAGTTTGAAACAGTCTTCAAAATTTAAAGTGTTCAGGCATTTGAAAATATGTTTACTATGTTCGGCTTTATTTTTAAATGTTATAAGATGTACAGCTTTTTTCAACTCTTTATGTAGTGGATCTAGGGCAGTTTTAGAGGCACTCTACCCCAGTTTAAGAGCCCATAAAGAATGTTTGGTAGTTCAAAAGCATTATATATGTCAAGCAATATTTTTTGCAACAGTTTAGGAATGAAACAGTTTAGAGAACCTTGACAACACCTGCGGTTAGTTAGTTACGGTTATTTCCCTGTCTAGTAGGTTTCCGTGCCTCAGCAATCTCATGGTAAAAGTAAAAGAAAAAACAAAACTGAATTTTGTTTCAACTGCGATGTCAACAAAGTAAAGGAAAGTTGAACATAAAGGATAACATTCAAGGCAATTAATTACCAAACAATAAGAGCGTCACGCTACATGAATACATGATGACACAACCTCGAATCATGCGCTACCGGTAGAGACTGACCGATGGAGAAACATTGATTATAATCAACGAAAATGTGATATGCGTTCTTCAAACGAAATTGCAGATGAGTAATGTGCATTACTTAAATGCCCTGCTTTGAAAGATTCAAGAATAAAGTACATATCTGATTATTTACCCGATATCCATCAGATCATAAATTTGATTCTCTGATGAGGATAAGTGAGCACAATAAACTAACAACAAATGTTGCCAAGTTTTTTAGAGAAATAATCAGACAATGCATCATCAAATGAACGAAATAATCAGAAAAACTGAATCGGAATTCCATTGCTAGGCATAGATTTTCACTCATTACTAACTTTTGATTGTACACTATTAATTTTCGCAATTTTTTTATTTATTATTGCTACTGTTGTTTAATCTGCTGCAAATTGTTGCTTATTAATATTATGTTTGTAAGAAGAAACACTCAAATAATGTCATTAGCTGAAGCTGATGTATGAATGGTCCTTCAACGATATATACACTCTTTGTTTATAAGAACCAGTAAATTTAAGTTCAGGCTGACTGTTCTTAATTTTTTCGAAAATCCGAGGCTGGATTGTTATTTTAAATTAAGAGGGTGTAAGCAGTGCTATTACTAGCTTTTTCGCTCTAAGGAGATTTTCAGGCCTCATTTGCCAACAAAATGAGTGAGACATCCTTAATTTGTTGACAAATTTTGACTTTTCACCGAAAAAGCACCCACGCATCGCTAAAAATCCTCGATTTTGAGAAAAAACGTTGTTCAAAACTGCATTTTTCAGAAGCTCACCCTCACCTTGTTCTTAATTTGTTCTTAACTTTTGATCAGTTTTGAGGCTCGTGTTCTTATAAAATTGTTCTTACAAAAGAAAGTATATATTTAATTTCACAAATTAATTTTTTATGATGATCATGATGATGATGAAAGAATACCCAGGGCCGTTTTCTTTTGCTAGGCCGCCATTGATTTGAATCTATTATTATGACAACAATCATAATCCATGTTGACAATTTTCATTGGCCAGGTATTTCTGGCTTTTCTGTTGCCAAGAGTGATGATACGGGTGAACATCCATTTTAGTAGATACTTTGCTGTTTACTGGTTTGTCGATCAGCCAGAAACCTAGAAAGATCATGTATAATCAAGAGGTAGCCGTTACTGTTCAGCCGGGTTCTAAAGGTACTGTATCCAATTTTCATGTCTTAATGCTTGGGCAACACAACAGCGCCATGATATTGGAGGGTGTGTAAACACAACAAGCTTAGGCGTAGCGGATGTTACACGAGGGAAGCGTAGGCGTTTGTTTTCAAAATCGCTTTGTTTCCAACAAAGTGCGACAAGGATCGGCCTAGTGTAGAATACTTTGCACTCGTATAACTATTGTAGAATGGTTTTGTATAAATACTTTGCAATAGGGTTTAGGACCAGTTGAAATATTGGCGCCAAATCCTGGAACAATTTTGGAGTTGTTTTGTTATTGCTTTCAAATGGACTTTGTACTTGTTGAATATGCCCTTGTTGGTAATCTTCTAGTGATCAACTGACTAGGCTAAATAAAATACCGTATTTGCTCTTATTAATGTCGTCCTCTGACAAACGCCTCCATCTATTAAATGCCGCACTTTCAGACAATCATTTGTAATAAACGCCGCTCTCTTTTAAACACTACATCTTGAACAGCGGTGTTCATTAGAAAATAGACCAAATAAGAATTGTTTGCAAAAACGGAGAATGAGGCCCTTGCGAGCGAAGCGACCAGAAAATTTTTGCGACCACGCCCTTTAAATTAGCTTAAATTTGTTCATTCGCTTAAAATATTTTACTGTTTACTGGCAAAATTGTGTTTCTTTTAATTAATTTTATTTCAAAACAGAATTCATTACTTTATGAGATCTCTTAAACCTCGAGGCCCTGGAGCAATTTGCCCCCTAGCTCCCCCTCTCGGCGGCCCTGTGTTCTGACTCGGACTTTGACATGTGAACTTTAAAACCTTTTTTCACATAGCCTTTGTGAGAGCGAACACAGAAAGACTACATTGTTAGTAGGTGTGGCCAAAAAGGAACTCTTTATACAGACCTGTCAACCCTCCCGGTTCAGCCGGGAGACTCCTAGCCTGCGTGCAGACTCTGTTGACAAAATTGAAAATAGGAGAAAAAGTAGAGTCTGCGTCTGCGAAGCCGAGTCGATTTTCTTGTTCACAGGTTCCTCAAAATCAAGGAACCGAATTTGATTGGTTGGGGGAATTTCAATTGTTTTTTTTTTCAGTTTTCAAAGTGGCGCCTTCGAGCAGAACTATAAAATGAATGGTATCAGGATAATAGAGTAGGTCTGTTTGTTCTTTTGAACAACTAAAATTACAGAAAAACATTGCACGCTAATGGAGTTGTTGTTCTAGTGCTCAGAATAAAATGTTGATGTCAGTGAACAAGAGAAGCGGCTCTGTTGCGCAGACTCTACTTTCTCTCCTCTTTTAAATTTCAGAGTCTGCACACAGGCTAGGAGACTCCCAGTTTTGACTGCTTTCTCCCAGTCAAAGTTCAAAGATGTCTAGCAGAATGTCTAGGAAGATTCTTCACCGAATGTTCAATTGAACTGCGCATCTTATGCTTCAAAGACAGGTCCGTTGTGTATGTTTTTTTTGCTCTAGGTATAATTAAGATATTTTGGCCACATTGACTTCCACATGACAACAAGTTTTTGTTAGTGCTTACTGATTAACAAAAAAAACACTTAGAGTTATTAACCAAATCTCCCTGTTTTTCTTTAGGAAAAATCTAAAATCTCCAGGTTTTGAAAATTTAAGGTTGACAGGTCTGCTTTATCTAAACTTTTGAGAACAGTCGTATCTTGAAACTATTGCAAAGTTGTCGTGCGAAGAAGGAATAACTCTAATTTGATAAAACTCTAATGTGAAATATATCTATCGATGTCGTCAAGCCGAATGGACTTGTGCTTCTCTTTTAATTGCTTGCTTGCTGTATGATGCTCTGTGAAGTTATGGTTATTTCTAAAGACAACCAGGTGATTTCTTTCCATGCTTCTCTCATTTGTCAAACTATTTATCTCATGTGAGAAATTGCTATATACGCTGGTGGCTCAAGTTCAGTACTACAGATAGTAGATAAAGGATAAGAAAGACAACGATATATTGTTTAGGCTCCAATTCTAATTCCAATAGAGGACTGCATAATTCCGTAAATTCTAAGGCCTGGCTCAAACGTCGCACTTCTCATGTGCCGAACCTAACTCTGTTTGGAGGAGCGACACTTGAGCATGTTTAGCGCAACTTCCGTTTCAAACGTCGAATATAATTATGTGAATGAAGAACGAACTTAATTATGTCGCACCATATGTGTTACTTGTGGTTGTTACTTGAAGTAACTTGGTTAAGGCGCGCAATCTCAAATATTTGTTTGAAACGCATGCGCCCTCCAAGAAGGAAATGAATTCTGGGAGGGAAAATAAATTAAATATAATTTTGCATTGAGTTCGGTACATGACAAGTTCGACGCTTGAAACCATGCCGTGCTGGAGTCGTGCAGCTCGGCAAGCGCTGCCGATCCAAACTACACTCTTTTTTTTGATAAAAAATTTTATCAAAAGAACAAGCTGAGGCTGAGCTTCTGCAAAATGCAATTTTGAACAACGTTCTTTCTCAAAATCGAGGATTTTTAGCGATGTGTGGGTGCTTTTTCAGTGAATATTCAAATTTGTCAGCAAATTAAGGCTGTCTCACTCACTTTGTTAGCAAATGAAGCCTGAACACCTCCTTAGAGTGAAAAAGCTAGCAACAGCACTGCTTACACCCTCTTAATTTAAGAACAAATTAAGAACAATCCAGCCTCAGATTTTCGAAAAAATTAAGAACAGTCAGCCTGAACTTAGATTTACTGGTTCTTTAAAAAGAGAGTGTAGTCTGCCGCTTCTAACTCAGTCTGCCGTACCAAATTGATTCAAACGTCGCGCCCCTCGTGTACTTAATTCTCGAGTTAGGTTCGGCACATGAGAAGCGCGACGTTTGAACCAGGCCTAACTTAGGTTCCAAATTCGATCCGTTCTAATTCTGTTTTCCCTAATCAACTTAAACTCAAATCTAATTTCTAACGCATACTTCACGTGTACATTAAATGACAACATCAGCAACAACTACTGTAGTACGTCATACCATACAATTTCTTACATCTCACAACTATCGTTCGAATATGTACAGTCCTCTAGAACTTCACTTGCTGCGAACCACTCTAAGGTATATACTTCTTATTTACGCTTTGGAGTTTCTGAAAATCGTTATTATGTTCTTGGAAGTCTGTATTTATCTTTTTTATCATTTCTTGTCATTTTTATTTGACACACATCATAAAAGCTCTATTAAGCTCCGAGGGGCTTATCTATTTTCTCAGTACTAGAGGGGGAGCTTACAAGAGAGGGGGCTTTTATGAGAGGAGGGGCTTAATAATAATTCAAAGTGTCTAGAAAACTTTTCAATAAATAAACTTTTCATGTAATGACCATAATTAATGGACGTGATGTTACCGTCATCCCACTTGTCAGGAGAACAACTCAGTACGCATGTTTCTTTGTTTGACATCAGGGGCTAAAGAGGTGGAGCTTATTAGAGAGGAGCTTATTTTAAATTTTGCTCGATGGCTTAATAGAGTGGGGGCTTAAGGTAGTACTTCACCCTTTTTCTCCCAGGCGCACTAATTTCTATATCTGCTCATAAGTTAAAAGGTTTTACTGATATGGTATTGAAATTTCAGAGTAAATGCACTAGCTCCTGACCTTCACAAAAAATTGAGCTTTGACTTGAATTATTAAATATGCTGTATCCATGGTAACTGCTACCATTTTTTAAAATTTATCTGTTCATTGCATTTATTTATGTATCCACCAGTTATATGTATTGAAAATTTCAAATGAATAACTCAAGATATACAAACGTTTCTTCTGCCCAAATTATGTATGTCTGCAAAACCAATGGCGGCGCCAGCCACTACGTTCTGGGGGGGAACAAAGCAAAAAAAGTCACGCCACGCCCTTTTAGCAGTAGAAAACGCCCTTTTAAAAACAAGGAAAACCAATTTTACCCGACATGTCTCCCCAGTCCCCCTGTGGCGCCGCTACTGTGCAAAACACAATTTTGAGAAAATTGCATTTAAAGTTTGAAATGACGCTTTTTTTAAAATAATCAGTCTAAAAAACCTTAAAATATTGCTAAATCTTGAAACTCCTTTTGCCAGTACATGAGGCAACTTCTTGATTAAACTTATACAGTGTTATTTCAATCAAACTAGTCGTATATATGCCAGAGGTAATGCCATCTCATTTGAACCATCAGTTGTTGCTTGAATAACGGAAAAAATTAATGTAGCTTTTGGATACCTTTGTGGGATAGGGCCTCTACAACAACTGGTAAAAAAGTCAGAAGAAAAAAACCCAGACATCTTTTAGTCTTTTTCAATGGCCCATATAATTGAAAGATTCGTAGAGGACCTATGCATGAAACAAGCGAATGTAGAGAAATATTCGCGGACTGGTATTAGCAAGCAGTGAAGATACCACAGTAAGTTAATGTTCAGCTGTTCCATTCCTCGCTGAAGTTGATGTTCAGCTGTATTACAACTCAGCTGAAGTCAAGACTTGCAGACAGAAACCAGCTGAACTCTAGGCTCGTGGACCTGTTAAACCTCCTCCCATCTGTAATGCGAAGCATATAATTCAATGTTCTTAAGGCCGTTCATATTTTAAAGAGCAAATTGTTTTCGGATATGGAGAATAAAGGACTGATTTTTAAAAATGAGCTGCCGCCGAGAGGGGCAAGGGGGCAAATTGCCCTAGGGCCTCGAGGTCTAGGGAGCCTCATAAAGCAATTAATTCTGTTTTAACATGGAATTAATTAGAAATAAAAAAAATACACTTAAAAAGTAAACATTTTGAAAGAATTCAAGCTATTCATAAGGGCGTGGTTACAAAATTGTGTTGCTCGTTTCGCTCGCAAGAGGTATTTTGTCCCCCCTCCCTCGGGTCTCCAAAACCTCTCGGCGGCCCTGGATGGCAGACAGAAATGAGAAGTCCGCTGAGATTTGAGAAAATAGACAAAGGAATATAATACAGACTCATACATCACAATTTTTCTCTATTGGTCAGTTTTCTTTGTCTGGCGCAGAATATTTACAGGTATACTAACTGCTCATATTTTTTATGTAACTAAACAAATGCCCCGATGGACCTTCGGCGTACACGAAATGCACCCTGGCATCTCTTTTGTTGAACGTGAACGTGAATAAAACTTCATTAGTGCCCTTTTTTGTCTTCGACCCCTGCCCTCTTAAATTCCTGGTTGCGCGCCTGAAACGGATCGATATGAAAACGGATAAAAACGAATACGGAGCAATGTGAACATAGCTTAAGAATCGGGCATGTATAGTTATAGAATCATATCTTAATTTATTTTTCTCATGTTTTTTCCTTAGCAACCATGTTGATCTCGTTGCTATAAAAAATCTCCGTTGCATTCAGACTGCCCCCAATTATTGTTAATATAATGTTAACACATGTTTTGTAGCAAATAAAAAACACCGCAATACGACGAGAATGAACAACAATGAATACAAGTAAATTAATGAAGGCTAATATTTCGCCCCGGCATACGGGGCTTCATCAGAGTAAAAGTAAACGGACTAAAAATGTACACATTTAAAAGAGGCGATGGTGGTGTCGGGTTGGTTGATGTGGAATGGTGTGAATGCAGCGCAGCGGTGGAGGAGGGAAGGATGGCCAATGAGAGAGCGGTGGTGGTGAAACGAAAATGTAAAGAGGTAAAGTACTGTAATATGAAATAATGATTTTTCCCTATGATATCTCAGCTTCGTATTTAGATGAAAATTTGATCAAACAAAATAACGACTTTGTACAAGAAATGAATATTTGGTACAACGTTTCGAGCTTAATTCTTCATCAGGTAAATGAAGAATAGAAGGAGAAACGGTTAAGAAGAGTAGAACAGTAGAATCGAAAAATAAACTGTATAGAACTAGAAGGAATACGACGTGGAACGTATTCTCCATATACGAAAACAATTTGCTCTTTAAATATGAACGGCCTTAAGAACATTGAATTATATGCTTCGCATTACAGATGGGAGGAGGTTTAACAGGTCCACGAGCCTAGAGTTCAGCTGGTTTCTGTCTGCAAGTCTTGACTTCAGCTGAGTTGTAATACAGCTGAACATCAACTTCAGCCGAGGAATGGAACAGCTGAACATTAACTTACTGTGGTATCTTCACTGCTTGCTAATACCAGTCCGCGAATATTTCTCTACATTCGCTTGTTTCATGCATAGGTCCTCTACGAATCTTTCAATTATATGGGCCATTGAAAAAGACTAAAAGATGTCTGGGTTTTTTTCTTCTGACTTTTTTACCAGTGGTCGTAGAGGCCCTATCCCATTCAAGGTCTTGTGCCTTTCTTCTGGTTTGAGTCCCAGAACAATTCTTCTTCAAAACTAGTGCGTAGCGCAATCATAAAACACGCCGTAGAGTAGGAGCTTGAACATAGACGCCATTACTGCGTGAAAGTCTGACAAATCATTTATCTGTATTTCTGAGAGGTCCATTACATCGCCGGGATGTGTCATTTATGACGATTCTCTTTAATGTGATCAAAAAAATATTTAAGCAATTTTTTCAAAAGAAGGGCACTTTTCCTCCTTTGAGAAAAGGGCAGGGGTCTGGACCCCCAGGACCCCCCCCCCTGTTGTTGTGCGCCTGCGTTTTACCTGTTCACACTGCTCCGGATACATTTGATAACGGTGTGAAACAATGAAGCGTTCACATTGCTCCGCTCTGGATAAAAAGGAAAACGCCACGAACTGGTCTACAGACTTTGTGACTGCTAATAAACTTTTGAAACGACTGACTACCACTAATATTACTCCAAGTAGTGTACTAGCTTCGAGTTGGTTGTTCAAATTGGCGCGGTGTACGCATCTTGCTGTGTTGTTGCTATTGTTATCGTTTTCAAAAATATCCATTTTCAAAAGTCTCCGTTTTCGAAGTGCGTTTTCAAAAGTCTCCGTTTTCGCAGCGGAACAGTGTGAACGCAAGGTGAAAACGAATACTTTTTTATCCGTTTTCATTGGAATCCGGAGCAATGTGAACGGGGCCTTATATGATTTTTTGTAAAAATTTTTTCAAAATTTGTTTTTTTTTAAATAAAGTTTGAAGTACACAGTGTGAAGTGGGAGAAACTGCTAGAATATACAGAAGATAGAGCTATTGTTTAGTTACGAACAATGACGTTTACTTAAGCTTTTATTGCACGCTTTCATGCTGTGAGCTTTAAGAATTTATTTCGTCTAAATTTTCTGTTCAAGTTGTAATCGCCGTTATGTTATGGGTGAATTTATCTTAAATTGTTGATTTTTTTTATTCTTTTTTCATTGTTTGATTTTTTTTCAATTTTTTTTTTCATTTTTTGAACTAGAATTACCACAGCAGAAATGGTGTTATATTACATCTTTGTTGGTGGTTCACTCACTGTCGGCACTCTGACATTACAGCCCCCCCCCCAGCATTTCTTTTCTGGCGCCATCCCTGGTCCCATAACCTGAAAATCGTCAGGGGAAAACCGCTACAGTGCAAAATTAGCTTAATTTAAATGTGTTTGCTGAGATATGGCCACATGAGCACAGGCTCTCCCCCTGTCAAAGCTCTCGCTGTTCATAAGGTTTATGAGCAAAATAATAGAAAACTTCACAACTTTGCTATTATTTTTAAACTTAAAAATTTTTTAAAAAAAATAACGTTAGCAAACCGACTTTTGATATATTTATTAACAGATATGACATATTTAGAACCATTATGTTCTTATATGCTTCGTGGTTAAAATATCAGATTTCCAAAAATGATTTTTTTGTGTGTGAACTCCCTCCTACTCGAATTATTACAAATCTCATCAGAAGTATATCGCGTAACGTTCACTAAGTTGATTTTTCCTGATTATATATTTTTTTTATTAAAAAGGTATCTAGGCCAAAATGGCCTCTAACCTATTTACAACATTAACATAAAAATAAAAGTTAATAGAACTACTCCTATAATAACTTGTCAAACGCTAATTCAGCTTATTTAAAGCAGATGCGATGAAAGGCACAAAGGGATTAAAACATAACGGAGACAATAACGAGCCAACAAAGACAACATTCTCCTTACTGGTAGAAAAGCAAACAAATATCAAGTTAAAACCTTTTTTTTTTACTCAAGGTACCGATCTCGTACGACAAAAGATGTCTTCATGCTTCTGTCACAAGCATGAATGATTCACAATATTTTTGGTTCTAACAGCCCTGTTTATTTCTGAAAGATAACAATATAATGATAAGGTGGACAAACTCAGTGAGTGATAGTAACGTCAATGTTGATGCCCCAGCTTTTTTGGGTATTGTTTTTGTCCCTACTCGCGCGAAAGCCTAATATTACTGTTTTGTTGTTTCCCAAATGAATCAGAAATCAACCCAGATGATTGGATGCAAGACTGGATGCAGCCACCATCTCCTGAAAGAGTTCCAACCAATTGCCCACCTGGACTAGAGCATCTCGCTGTAATGCCAGAAATTTTCATTCATCAAAAAATCAGCTGGGTTGAAAGTAAGATTAAATGTTTATTTTGGCTGTTAGAGTTAATGGAAGTTTGTGAAAGGATAGCGGGCATAACTCAGCAAAGTGAACAAACAACATAATTAGATGAAGTTTCTCTTGGCAGCTTACAAAAGATATATTAAGCCTGTTTTCTCAGTAGGTCTGAATGCAGATGGAAGTTGAAAAAAAAAAATTATAAGTTCAGCTATGGTTCCTCTGATAACAGTAAATCTGATTCCTTTGGCCTATGACCGAGAAACTTTTAAGTAACGCATCTATAAGCCAATTAGCATCATATATAAGTCATTTTTGAAATATTTCACTGATACTTTCTGTCTTCAATCTGGGAACTTACTTTTTGCTTTTCAAGTTTGCTGTGACTGGGAGGCAAACCAGCAGTATGAAATTCTACACCCAGAAACAAATAAAAGGCTGTACAAGGTAGTTGAAGGTTGGTGCATACTTACATAGAATATCTTTTGTTTTGGAGGCTCTAATGAAATGATTCAGACTAACTGAAACACTTTGAGAAATGGTACATGTCAGGTCTTACGCTGTTTTCATCATGTATAGTTCGTGTGTCAAAAGAAAGAATTGACCAAATAATATTCAGTCTTCTCGTCGTTATTGCAATTTACTCGAGTCGAAAGAAAATCGTCATGTCAACTCGAGTTCTAGTTTACCACTGTAAAATGCACTGAATGCAAATGTGAGTAAGGTTTGTTGTGAAGTTTGGTACGTTGGTATCCCAGTCGGCTAATAGAACAGAATGTAGCATGATATGCGCAAGGTCATGTAGCCTCGCATAGGAAGATAATTAACGGAAACACGTCTGTAAGCAGATATCGTAGTTAGTTAAATGAAAGAAGCCTCAGGACAAAACGTCATTAGGTGTCAAGAGACGCCACCTTTCTGTGTAGGCAGTAAGCTGTAGGGAATAGGTCATATATTTGTCGTACCGTAAGTCGACAGTTCTATGTAAAGTGCAAATAAATAATGATGTATTTAACTTATCGACAGTTGTCTTCAACTGTCTCTGCCCGCAGAACCAAGAAAGAGAAAAAACTTTGCAAAAAGTATGAATCCCATCTAGATCTCCATAAATCCTTGTATAAAGGTGACCATTGCAGGTTGCTGACAGTTTATGGTGTGAAGTGAAAAAACTTTAATTATCTCTC